ATAACGTACGATTATTGCACTTTTAGTGTCTAGCGTGTTTTTGGGCGAAAATATGAGGCAATGCCACACGAGAAGGAGGAAAATATTGTCCCATAAAACATTGATGGTTCAACAATAAAATATAATTCGGACATCTCATTTGAAATGCTCCTCTTGGCTTCAAATGTGAACCGCGCGTGAGCAAATACACCACGAAAAAGCATTATTTTGCGCGCGTTCTCTTGGATATTTGCCATCTTCTGCATTTTATGTTAACGATGTGGACGTTGACAAAAAAGCATTTACTACATATATATTGTGTGTTTGTCGAGTGAAAATTGTCGTGTTTCTGCTCTACCGGAACAAATATTCGCCCGAGCCATTAAACTGTAATGCCACCTCTTTGAATTATATCGAAAATGTTGGATAATTCCTTCTCGCACATGGCAATTTTGTCTCTCAATTTACAGTCACTTTTCACAATATTTCCCTCACGTCGACCCACGCAAACGACCAATAAACTCTATCATAATTGAAAATCTACCAATATTTATGAATATTAGCGGTAAATGATGCTCTGAAGTGCACTCAAGAGCCATCGAAGCGACAAAAACCTCTTCGGGAATTGCAAGAATGTCTCAAGAGAGAGAGAGAGAGGACTGAAAAACTCAAGTGGAAAACAAGGACACGCCAGATGAAAGAAGTTGAAGGACTCATAAAGGGATTTTTCACGTGCATCAACAATAAGGAGTGTTTTCTCAGGAGTTCAAAGCGGACTTTTTGTCGAGCTGCCTTTCAGCTCTTCAGCATTATTCAAGAGTGATCCCAAATCAAAAGCAGTTCGGATAATCTGGTCTGTGTGTGCTGCAGAAGAAGCCTCTCTTGTACTCCGATATGGCAGAGGAATGGAGAGAAACGTGTGTGAAGGCTACTTAACAAGAGATTAGAGCACTATGAAGAATTGGCAAGGTGTTTCTCGTCTCTTTGGCAACAGTAAAAGTGATTTGGAAATTTCAATGCCCAAAAAATGTGCTAATTTTTATAGAATCCTCTTTGCAATATTCAATTCTTGCAGTCCCTCGTCTGCACTGTGTGTCTTCACGTGTCAGTGAGGAATTCAAGGAACCCCCCAAATAGCTCATCACCCACACAGTCAATTAATGAGTTCACTTTTTGTCTCGTCTCCACTTTGTCCATCAAAGGCGAGATTATCGCCTGAGAGGTAAATTGGATGGAACTCCCTGACCATCCTTCTTCTGGTGATTCACAGAAAATTGTAACACGACAAGAAAACAAGGAGTTTCAGTCTGTTTTTTTTCCCCACCACCACCAAGTCGATCTCTTGACTTTTTTTTCCGGGTGTTTTACAAACAACAAAAATAACATAATCTAAAAATCTAATCTGTGAGCTGTGAGCAGAGGGAAGATGTGGCGGAGAGGAGGAAAAAATTGTTGGAATGCTGAATGCAACACAAACAGATATGATCGAAAAGGTGACTTTTAACTTTCATCTTTTGGATTCTTGTCTCTCTCCTGTTGTCTTCTTTTTACCTCTCCGACCGCACATCTTCCACCGTCAGCATCGAGACCCAATATTGCATCCCTCTCTCGCACACCTCACAGCCACTCTCCCATTCCCGAAAACCCATGGCATTATATATGGTTTCAGTTTCTCGAAATGGTCAAGCAAGAGAGAATTATAAAATATGACATTTTCAATTTAGATGATTTTTCACGAAATATACCTGAGATTTCGCTCGCAGACACACTGGGAATGGAGTGAAATTAAACGATCATCGCTCGAGCGGTGGGAGGAGGTGTTCTGTGAAATTCGATTAGTCGCCGGTCACAGGACTGGGAATTGGGCCTGGAAAACAGGGAGTCAAGTGCCCTCGAGAAGGGCCAAATCATCCTCCGCCGAGGCACGTGGCCCACTCGAGAGTGTCACGCGGGAAATGGCCATAAAGAGTGGGATTTACACATACTTAATTGCCCGAGAGCACTCGAAGAAAACGCACCTCAGCCAGCCACAGAGGCACCCCAATCCCGCCGCAGCACAGAAGTTCTTGAGCTGTTTACAGAACCCAGCCTCGCTGGAATAACAATCAAACAAACAGATGTTCACATGGGAGAAATTCATCAATTCCTCCACCCGCGCCACACATTCCAGCCCGAGACGCGAAGCGATCAAATATTTACACCCAATTGCACATCAATTTCCCCCCACAAGTCCATATTCTTTGTCACTGTTTAGATAATTAAAGAGATACCCCAATGGCATCCCCATCATCACCCACCGACTCATGATGGAGCCCGTGGCATTTGATTAATTGTCGACAAATTCATCTTGTTAGGAATAAATTCTCCAATTCCCCAATGCGTGAAAAATGTTAAACACACGCCAATTGCTTAGTGATTCATCTTGGCATATGCAGATGGGCACAGCTCCAATTGACAAGCCACTGATCGATATATGGCCGCGAGAGTGAGTGTTTCTCACCCGCGTGCCCCAATCGATGAGTTAAGAGTTGGTAAATAAACATTGCGAGTTATAAAATCTCCGCACTTCACCATTAATTGACGATTGCACAATTCACTCGGGAGCTGCAGTTGTAAATGTACTGAAATTGTCTTCCCCGCCGCATAATTGCACCAAATATCCCAGAAATGGGGCTGAGAAAGTGTGCAATGTGAAGTAATTACACGTGATAGTCTGAAGCATTATGTAGTTTAACGTGAAATGCACGAGTTAGATGGAGAAAGCAGAGTTGAAGTGATTCAGACGAAACTATCTCAGATAAATCTGTGAAATCAATTAAATGCTAATACGGCTTTTATTTTATTTATTTTGTGTCAGGACGTAAAGACAGGATTTGTTGTTTTTCTCTGTTGTCCAGGAGTAAAGAAAAAAGTTCATTTAATATTTGCCACATTCATTGAGTTTGTAACTGTGAAAATCCTTGCTTTTTGTATTGATTTATTTTTGCTAAATTCGTCATCACACTGAATTGTGTCGAAATTGGAGATTTTTGAGGACTTCACCATCAGAGAAATAGCATGAAATTTGGCATCTTTCTTTTATTGACTGCCATAAATCACTCATCGCTTAATCCCTTATCTACAAAACTAGACAATGCTTTCAACTCTACCGCTACAGCCATAAATTCGCATAATTTCTGCATCTCATCAGCGATGGAGAAAATAAACAAAGGTGAGCCTCCACGAGTGCTACTGAATGCTGTGCTGCGGCCGGAGAAAACAATTTTCGCGCATAATTGCCATCGCCCTGAGGGATCCTAATATTCCCACTTCGCTTTATCTCCACACATCGCACGATCATCCTCATCGCCTGATAATATTGGATGATTTTGCGCCCCAGAACCGCCTACATTTCACACTCTGAGGCCTCTTTAACTTCTCCATTTCTCGCTCACTCCTTTTTCGCCCTGTAATAGCCGAGCCATTTGAGGCGGCCACATATCAAGAAAGGTAACATCATCATTTTTTCCCGAGACCTCTGGCTTTCCCACCCTCGGTATCGGTGGATGGATGAATCTTTTATTCGCGAACAAGGCGTATCCTTTACATCATCGTCTGTTTGCACACCGCATATGGAGAGATTCGTGCCAAAGGGCGTGTTGGAGGATATGGTGAGCTGGGAATTGGTTCCAATTTCACATTTGACACCCTCTCTTCGGCAGTGATTTAGGGTGTCAAGAGATCAGCGGGCATGGGAACAAAAAGCGCGACACGAGAAATCCGCCCAGGAGCAATCAAATGAGTCGGAAGTAATTAAAATTTACATCTCACAGCAGGAAGATGATTGCATCTTTGTCAGCTCCTTTTCGCGCGCGACTCTCGCCCTCCTCTCTTGTCCTCAATCCATCGCCACACAGTGCAAGAGTCAAGACTTTTTGTCTGACTCCTTCAACTTCTCGTGAAATCATAAATTTTGCGTCCTTTGCAACGCAACACACACACACATATAGGAAAAAATGGGGAATTTGGCCCAAAAAATGGCTGTGTGAAAGGAGAGAAGGCACAGAGCAGAAAAAAAGTACCAAATATTTTCCGGGAACAATGAGCCTTGTTAGACCATCTCATACTCTGCACGCTCTGCTTTTTTTTCTTCCGCCTAACCGACAGAGTCAGGAGAGGAAGGATCGTCTGAAAATGATGAAAAACGATGCACAAAATACTTCATATTCACATGAAATACCACGAAGAAGTTGAACGGGACAGAAAGGACGTGAATTTATGATGCAAACAATAGATTTTTAAAAGGACTCTGGCAATTTCTCCTTCCTTCTCACTCCTCAGCGACACTCATTGTTGAGGAGAGCCTCAAGGGATCCTCACAGTTTCATTTTTCATCCTCGAGACACTCTCTTTGCTGTAAGGACTTCATGGGGGACAAAAAGCCTCAAGATCAATTGGCAATCACCTCGATAAATGAGTGCGGAACGAGGATCGGATTGTGTGATGAATCTCCGCCAGATGATTTAATAAGTGTGAAGTGTGTGAGTATAAACATACCCTGAGCATTAGGGGACAGAGTCACAACATTGAGAATTTATCTGCTATTTCGGGGAATGATTTATCCAACTCTTCGTGCATCGTAAGATGCGAGAAAGACGCGTCTCGATGCCCTATATTGATATCGAGTCACCACTCTTTTTCACACTCGGAATCACATTCATATGGATCAATCACACTCTCGCATTCTCGGGGGTGAATTGAGGGCAACAGTCGTGACTTCATGAGCAATAAAGCGACCCTTGGAGCTTTACGAGCCCTTCACCCGCCCCCAACTGACCCTGGGTGTTGGCGAAATGACGACCCGAGCTGGGATGAATGGGGGATCATCGGCGGAATATCAATGAGATTCGCTCGGCCGTCGGGAGAGTGAGTCTGAGAGAAGCAAGACAGATGTTCCTGGTCCCTTCCAGGAATCACAAGGCAATTTCTCATGAGTGTCATGATAGGGGCATGGGAAGCTGATCGGCCATGATAAGACTCACCAGTATGTGTCCGCTTGTGGATCTTGAGGTTCTCGGAGCGCGCGAAGACTTTGCCGCAGCCGTGATAGGGACACGGGAAGGGCTTCTCGCCCGTGTGCACGCGGATGTGATTGACGAGCTTATACTTGGCTTTGAAGGGGCGCCCGTTGCGCGTGCAGCCCATCCAGAAGCAGGCGTGCGTGGTGCACTCGGGGCCGCCGACGTGCTCCACCGTGAGGTGCGTCACGATGTCCTGCATGGAGTTGAAGGTCTTGCCGCAGGTCTTTCTGCCAGGGGCCGAGCTCTGGTGGAGCATGGGTGTCTCCGGATCCACCCAGAGACACGTCATCTCCTGCTTGATGGCCGAGGGCTGGTGGTGGCGCATGTAGCGGATGAAGGCGCCCGGCTGGGTGTTCATGGGCAAGTTGGCCAGGTTGTGGTGGTGCACCGACGGGAAGTTGCCCTGGTGCGGATGATGGTAGGCCGGATGCGAGTAGTCCGGGGCGATGCCCATCCGCATCTGGTGCTGATGGAAGTGATGCTGACCCACGGGGTGGTGGTTGAGGTTGTCGTGCATCGATGGGTGCGGGTGGTGGATGGATGGGAAGAGCATGGGATCAGCAGCCTGACTCGCACCTCCGGGCGGGATGTACTCATTGTCGCGCCGCAGGAGGAAGTCCCTGGGGTACAGGGAGTTCTGGCCATTCAGGTGGCTCATGTGCGTGGGATGGTGCGGCGGGTAGCCCGCCGCGGCGGTATTCTGATAGTGCTGGCTCGCGGACGAGGGCATTTCGTTCATTGGGGGCGCTCCCGCCATGCCAGCGGCCGCTTCCTGGCCCAGTCCCGTTGGCGACATCTTCAGCCCGTACGTGGCCAGATGGTGAGCCGACGCTCCCGTGTCCATAAATGCATTCATCATCATCTTTCACCACTTCACTATCATTCAGTCCTTGGGTAGATTTCTCACTTCAGTCCTATATCCTCCCTAAGCGTGATCGCAAATCTTACACAAACACTGCACACCAGAGTCAGGGAGTCAAGTCATGGTTGCCCATCGAGTACCACTTGAGTCAGAGAATATTCACCAGGGATTCGAGCGGATTTGTACGGAATAACAGAAATGTCGCGACCGTTTAGCTTGTGGGAAGCAGCAACATGGTGCTTCCAATACGACAATCGCAGCGGGACTAACGTCTCAAATTCTATCAAGATTTGACCTCACTACAGGAAACCATGTCCCATAGTGAGCTCACAGCGCCAAGGCAACCAACGACTCGACTCCGTGACTCGAATACCGCGAAGGGGCGGAACACACCGCAGCCGCATGGTCGTCTCGCTCCAGCTCACGTGCTCGTCGGTTATATTCTGACTTGCGTGCCTCGGGTTGCCCGATGACCGTCGCCACGAGCGAGACGGTGATTAGGAGTCGTCTCGGGGTGAGCGAGATGAGCAGAGTGGTGCGACAGAGAGAGATGACGAGGATGGTCCGGAGAATACGCACAAGAAGCATGTCGGGGAGCAAAATGAAGGTGGCAACTGGCCACGGACCCCAGTCAGCCCCCACGCGGAGATGGGGTGAAGCATTCCAAGTGGGCATCCTCATGAGCTCGTGATCCAGAAACACAGCAAGCCTGGTGATTCGACAAGAGGTGCCCAACTGCGCATCGCGCCAGTGGGCGCGGCGACAAGAAGTGCCATGGTTGGTGTCGGAGACGCACCAACACGAGATTCCCCCGGATTGCTCGCACTCCCACCAGGGCGGCGCTCGCAGCTTCCGTTGCGCGATTGGAAGCCCTCTAATCTCTGCGCTCCCGCGTTTTGCGCGCGCGATCATCTCGCAAGGGCCATCAGTCGACCTGGGCCAGGTCAAGCTCAGGAGAGATGCCAGAGACGGTTGAGCCTCCTGCTGGTCACACAACACCAATTACCCCAGCAATTGACTTTTTAATCCCTCTCTTGCCACCATTCAGGGCCCGTAAAATTGTTAATCCTTGCTCCTGGCCGACTGTGAGGGACAAGAATAACATCATAAGGTGGTCCTGCAGACCCAAAGAAAACAATATTTGCCCAAAGATCACAACTTTCCGAGAAATCCTTTGCAAACACGCAATAAACACTCATAATTACCCACCAAACCATTGTCAAACTGCCGGGCTTCGGTCAGCCCGGAGTTTGTGCAAAAGTCCAATAAATCGTGACGAAAATCACTTGTCAGTGCACAAAATCGACGCGATCGCGATCGCTGGAGTCTTGGCGTGGCGAGAAAAACACTCCTCGCGAGAGTGGTCAGTAAATAAAAGCGACAGACATCAATGGAGTGTCTCTGGTCAACTGACGACTGCCCGCTCTGCAATCGCACACGAGACATGAATAAATCACCGAATAATCCAGTTCAATGAAAGGCCAAATGCATGAAGTGAACTACAGTATACTTTGCGGGAATACAAAACTGCGCTCGGGCAGTTTTATTTCCCCAGAACCGGCCAGAAGCCCGGCAAAAAGTGAGGCCAGAATTCCAGGCAAACAGTCCCAAATGGAGTACGAAAAGTCAATTGCTTTATAGCATCCCTTTTGACTTCATTTTATGCCTTTACAGGCTTTACAAGTAACAAATTCCAACTATTTCTGCTTGCACACAAAAACCTAAATAATTTACAACTATGAACATTAGTGAAACTCTTGGCTTTTTTCACTCGCCTTGACTTCTTGGCCTCTGCGGAGGGAGAAAACTTCTTGACTTGAATATATTGCTAAAAGTTGCAGAGAATTGGAAGGAAAATATAAAATATTGCCTATGGCTTTTTTCTTGGCTTGCAAATTTATTGGTTTCACTCGTGTAGAAATGCCAAGTTTTTCTCTAATGCTTTTGCGATACAAAAAGGGTTAATCATCAACGAAATAGAAATAAAATTATTTGTCTTTGTCTCACTGTCATTTGTTTAATGATATTTTCTGCTTAAATATCTAATAAAATCACTCAATTGTGCCAAAAATAAAACAATTCTCCAAATTTTTTATGATGATTTTGATGATGTTTTTTTATGAAACACAAACGAGATTTCTCACACTTCTTAGTATCTTTGGGTTTACTACACCAGAAAAAGAGTGTTTTTTATCCATCAATTAAACTGATAATTTTGATCCAAATGTCCAGGCATTTTCCAGCCAATATCTTTGAGGGATCTCGCTTCAAATCGCTCTCTTTGAGTACGAAAATTAATGTATTGAGGCATCTAATTGAACGCCAGAGAATAATATTACTTTGTCTTGGTGGTCTTCGTCTTTCCCATGCCTCGATGCAATTGTCCGTTGATTTGGGGCCCGTGACAGGGGGTGTTTCTTTGGGTAGCCACAAGAGCATCCGGATGGCGGGATATAAATTGATGAGAGAACTTCATTGAGTGTGCGCGAGGGAGACGATTGGAATCACAAATCAAAAGCGCGTTGAAGAATTGGTTTGAATTCGATTTGAATTTGGTGTCCATAAATTACATTGGGAGCCACGGAGGAGAGCCACGTATCGCGTTTTTTTGTTACCCTTTACTCTCTTTTATAAATAACTCCATCTTTCTTGAGCGCAGCGGTTGTCCGATGTAAACATGTCCAGCAGAGATGTATTTGGAATGTGTGATTGAAATGTGAATATTTCCATTTGTCAGGTGGTGGATTTAATTCAATTTTAATCGCCACTCTTATCTCGAGAGATCCCATGGCAAACACCTTCTGGGATGAGCCATAGAGCACCGCTCATCCGTAAACACGAAGCATCTTTTTGCCGTGCTGTACCTGAGAGATTACACGAGTTCTCTGCTGATCCCATTGAATGTCTAAATATTTGGGATTTCCTCTTGGCTGCGCGATAAAGCTAATCTCCCTCATTCGGTCGACGCTTTTGTCACTCTCCAGTTTGCGCCTAATCCGGAATTGAGAGATTGTCGAATCATTGTTCCCGGGGGATCGGTTTTAATCCCAGCTCCCCGAGGGAGGCAGAGCAGCTTCTGGATTTGCTGGCGCGACTTTGCGTCTCGGCTCCTCATCAAGACTCTACGCAACTCTCGTGGTAATGAATTGGTGTATGATAAATAATCCCTGGCCGTCATTTGATGGCTTGCTATGGCTTCTTCTGCGCCTCCTCGCCAATGCTGCCCCACCAATTGCCCCACAATATTTTATTTAGTGCTTCGAAAGTCAAATATGTGCACACCAGTTATTAATTATCCCAACATTTGATGAACACAATCCATTATTCTTTTGCCCCCTCACACAAATATTTCTTGGGTACATTCTTTCAATTTGTGCTTTAACCTTTTACCATATCTCTTAAACGTTCCTTTTTTCCATGCCATCTCGCTCGCGCTCTCGACTGTGCCGTCTAGAGAAGATATTCTCTTCCTAATGTAAATAAATAACTCATAAATTGTTTTTACCGCACGTCTTTTTGCTCTCTCGCGCGCTCATCCCAAGTCCAAACTAATCACATTGAGGATGATTTTTTTGTGCTCTCGCCCGGCAATCATTTCTCTCCTCTCCGTGAAAGACTTATGGGAAAAGATTAGTTTCAAAAGGAGGCTGGCTACTGCATCGATCCCAACATGTGGCAATTAATCTCTAGCACTTACTGTCCAGTAAGCAGTTACAAATTCTCAATTAGCTACGCGAATTATTCACCTAATTAATTGTTTGGTAAATTTTCACGTTGTTTTTCCCGCGACGCGCCGAACAATCACTCGTGATTGTTTTACCCTCAGAAACCGTAAACACAATCACTGAATCGCCGAGTGATTGATAAAAAATTATCCATACATTCGTTCTATGATATTAATTAATTGATCTCTCACAGTCAAAATGTTTTATACTATTTCACTTGTGCACAGTTTCATAAAATATATTGGGATATGTGGAGAGAAAAAGTCCGTGCAGGTATTTAAAAAAAAATCGAGAGGCATGAGAAAAAGAGTTTATGTGAGACATAGAAAAAAATTTGGACAGAAAGGAATTGTTAAACGTCTTTTAATTTTTCATAACCTGCCAAGGAATTGTTGAAAAAATCAATCAATTTCAATATTTGAAAAATGACCACTTCAAGGGAACAACTTTTCTTTTTCTCTGACCGTTTTTTCTCGGCCTCTTTTTTTTCAATTAACCGTCTCTTGGCAAAGACACTCTCGCGTGTGAGAAAATTGATCATTATCTAATGGTTCATCTTGACGAAAATTCCCACCCAGCGAGTTGTGAGTTTTCGCAATTCCGTCGTTTGCATTCTTGCGCCCTGCAAAAAAGGCATAAAATGACAATTTGGAGAAGTGTGTAAAAACACACGGCGAATAGTGAGAAGATCACGGAGAAGGAGAATAAAACGACAACGAAACTTTTGGTGACATGATCACGAAGCGCCACTTAAGAGGCCTTTTTTGTCATGTTCATCTGATAAGACGTCAATAATGCCTGGTCTCTTCATCTAATTATTCCCACTCGAGAGCCTGTGGGATTTTGGGCGAGAGAGAGGCAGATCAGAATCAGGAGTCACATGAGACGCTCTTCTTTCTCATCTGCGCCCAAGCGAATGGGAGGGGGATTTACGAGATGATCGTGTGTTAAATGAATTCCTTCTGGAGACAAGGTGTCGTGTGCCACACATTTTGATAAATCAGCCACAACGGCCAAATCTCTTGCCTGCGCGCAGTCCGACAGTGATTTGTCCCGTGTTTGAGATATCCATCAGCAGTTGAAGAATTTTTATTTCTCCTGCCTTAAAACATCGTCAAATCTTGTTCAACACGACACATTCTCCAAACTCGCACACAGTGACGTAGTGATTCTAGAGAAACCTTGACAATTAACGCGCGATTTGTGAATCAAGAAGAATGTATCAAAAATGTAGAAAGTTTTGCAGCATTTTTCTATAATTTTCTAATAAGCCCAAGAGCGTAAAATTAAACATTTCAAATCAAAGTTATAGTCTAATAACCTTGCTGAAATCTGTGGCTTAATGAATTTTTGTGGTCCACTGAACATGATTCTCAAAAATTTGCAAAGTCAACCTCTTAAGTTAAGAGACCCAGATCTGAAAAATTCTTGAATAATTGGAAATTTTATCATCACTGCAACCTAAACTAAAGGTGTGAGAGGGATAAAAGACAGTCGTCACACGATAATTTATTATAATTTCACCAAATTAAATCAAATGAAATGCCAGTGATTGCGCTGGTTAAATTTTCTGTCTGTGGAAGATAGAAAAGGAGAAAAATTCTTTACGACTGTCTCAAAATCATATAAAAGCCGGCGATATTACGACATATTTTGAATAATGCCTCAGTGTGGATGCTGACAGAGACAAAGATGTGCCGAATGATCGTCATCGAGGGCCTTTCTTCGGGGAGAAAGAGAGATTCTTATCTCGTTCCCCCACTCGTGACTCCACCAGGGATCCCTATCGAATTCCCAACACACAATCAAGACCGAAATCTTGCCAGCATCAAACGGTTCAGATCCCATTTTCTCCCATTATTTATTGTCATCATCATCTTCATTCTTGGGCCGCGGTGACAAATTATTTATTATTAATATCCCCTCAAACGTGCACGACGACAAACTTCTTAAGCATTTTATTCTAATTAGGTTATACTTCTCCTCCTTCTTAACTCTCTTCCCCACTTATATATTTTTTTTAGATGTTTCTGATCGAAAAATTATTCAAATTTCGTTCGTTTGTCTCTGACGATCGCGTCACTTCTTCACAGGAATGAAATATACAAACATATTGATAAACTCAGGTGTTGTGAAACGTTTCGATGAAAAGACCACGGAAAAAACCATTTGCGGTGTGATTATTTCAAAAAAGTTGCGCGGAAATTTGAAATTCCTAATCTTTATATTAGCTTTGAGTCTTCTTTCTACAATCTCACACCGATGAATGTCTTCCTTATGCTCATTTCATTAGGAAAGTGGCTGGAAGAACGACGAGAAGAAATATACAGCTTGTGTGGAATTAATGAATTAAAATTAATAATCTACAACAAATTGGACAGGCAAGTTAGTCCAATAAAAATACAGATAAAACATTTAATTAGCATAAAAAGGTTTATGGTCATAAATAAAAGGGTTAATCACAATAGCGACGAGAGAGAGAAAGAATAAAATTATTAAATGGTCATTTAATAAAGGAGAAATAGGAAGAGAACAAGATTTCAATTTAACATGTAAATTTTCCACTTGGGAAAAACACATCAGCTGAAAAGGATCAGATGAGATATGAGGCAAGAGACATGGAGAGTGGAACACAAAGTTACGGGAATTATTCAATAATATTGATGGATATCTTTTTCACTCCACACGAGGCGCACAATCTCCACAAGAAGGCTCAGTATGAGGGCATCAAAACTCCCCATTCAATAGGAAATTTGTGACAGCAACAATATTTTGTGAACAATCAATTTTCTCCCAATACCAGCAACTCTATCGCGAAATTGAACAAGAAATTCGTGAAGAAATTACTCAAGCGAATTCCCCACATTCCGCGTCGATTTTCTCTTCCCAATCGCACCTCTTTTTTCCACCACATCTCACCTATAATCTCAGACAATCTCCTTTATGTAATTTCGCAGCCACCAACACCGAGAGACGCGCTGTAATTGGGAATAATTCTGCAATTAAGTGTCCGAAATTATTTATAGGCAAAAATTCTATTGATCCCCAAAGAGACGCGAGCGCGCAAAAAAGTGTAGCAATTTTAATTTATCAAAATTATTCGCATTATTGTGTGGCACAACAGAAAATCTGTACCTCAATAATCGTCTTATTTTCTTTCATTCACAGCCCATCCTTTCATGCGGTCTCTTAATTCAATCACTTTTTTTGCCGCTCTCCCTCCTTGATAAATGATTCAAAGTAACACATTATAAACACTCTTTTGCGCTCTTTTCTCAACACTCTGTGGCGAACGAATTTTCTCCAATCGACTCTCTTATGGCCAACAATGAAGGTAGAGAGAAATACATTTTTCGTAATAATATAAAAGATATCATTGGGAGTATATTAAGAATCTCTCTAAGCGATTGCACATCATAAAAAGATCATTTTTCATGTTGTCATACAATTGTTGTACAACTGCAGTCAAAAATTTTCCGCTCTCTCAGTTGTGCGCTGTAAAATATCCTCCGGAGGAGTGAATTTTGAACAGCACAGTCCTGAGCGGCGAGAAGATACAGTTGTACTTTTCACCATATTTCATATCGAGAGCCTTCTTTTCGATGGCCGGAAAAAATTATCATCCCCCATATCAACTTCTTTCTCTGATTCTGGGCATTGTTGCGCGTTGCGCTTGTGCGAGTCTTTTCACTGCCTTCAAACCACCGCCCAGTGAATAGATGAAGGTTTTTCATCCGAACAACAAAAGGCCAGGCAACAAAATGCGCGCATAATCCATTAAAATTCAATTAATATAAATTGAATTGGAGATTTTAGTGGTGGTTGAGTCAATAAAGGGCAATTTGCTGCGCAATTTTTGCACACTCGAGCACTTCCTCAATCCTTTCAGATTGAATAAAATTCAATTATTGCAATATCTTTGCACTTTGTGTTAAATATACCCCGGAAAACGGGGGACAAATAAACAAATAGGCCAAAATTGCAATGAAATTGGAGATTGGTGTGGAAATATGGGTGGAGGCGTGAAATTATTGTGGCTAAATGGAGCACAACACACATAATGTACCACAAGAATGAACCCATAACCGAAATTCCTTGGACATCCCGCAGAGTTTCAAAAGTCATTTAAGGTCTAATAACGATATTATTACACGATACAAATGACAGAATTCCTGGCGTATATGTTTCACCCAATGGAATGCACACATAAAAGGTGTGTCTCCGCATCTCTTCTGGTCAAGATAAATAGAAATTGTCTCACTTACCAGGAAAAAAGTGCCTCAGACGGCTCGAGAGAAGAGAAATCTCCGTGATCACCATCTGCCGCCTTTCCATTGAATGCGCCTCCATGCCAAGGATGCAACATTAGTGTTTGCAGACATGCAGAGATTCCATTGTTGGCGATATCCTTCAAGATAAAAGTCCAATTGCACCCTCACCTGGGGGTCGATTTGTGCATGCTCGGATCCGGCAAATTGAGATGCACTGTTCGAGGAACCTGCCGCGCGCGAGTCCTTTGCCGGACCACAAACACCACGCAGGGATGCTGACTTTTGCCACGAGATCACCATCTGGCTCCGGTCATCCTGGCGGACAGCAAAAAACTCCCCAGACCGAGATATTAAACTGACCATTAAGTACAAGAGTTACGAGCTCGTGCCCGAAATCCCCGAAGGAAGTGCTCAAATTTATGGGTTCAGTTCCAAGCAAATATTTCAACAATTCTCAAAAACTTTATTCATCAGAAATATCAAATTCTTGTTGTTGAAAATCCATAATTCAGAAACTCAGATTAATGCTTTATCTGTTTATTCATTTCCTGATATTTGAACAATTTTAAAAGTTTTCATTCAAAAGTGGTCGAATATTTCATCTTATTCGTTGGGTCTTTGGTTCCAGGTTTAGTAGTATCCATAGTATGGATAGTATGAATAGTATCCATAGGGGTAATATCCACCCTGGGGAGCTGGCAGAGGAGCAGGAGCTGGCTCAGGAGCAGCGAAGGCGGTGGCAACGGCTGAAAGCAGAGAAAACACAAAGATTAACCTCACTTCCTTTGAGAAGATCTTAAAGAAACTCACCCAGGACGACGAGGAGGGCGAAGAACAGGAACTTCATCATTTTGGATTGATTTGGAGTGCTTCAGTTGACTTCTCAAACTGACTATGCCAATTGAGGAAAACTCCCGAGTATTTATACGGGAAAATTTCCAATCTGCTGTCCTAAAATCGTGACTGAGAGACAAATGCTAACCTTGACGACAATTTTCCCCGAAAATTGATTAGAAAAAACCGTGAGGTGGAAACAAGAGAACTTCATGATTAAGAAGTAAATTCAGTTGCTGAGAGAAATCTAACAAATTTCCCATGTTCTTTTGGATACCAGAAATTTTCTGATAAATTCAGTTGGATACAAGAATTGGGAAAACTGTCGTCAGGCTGTAATTTTTCTTTCCATCACGATTTTAGGAAGCAACTAGAACCACTATCCGTATAAATAGTCCTGAGTTCTCCTCAATTGGCACAGTCAGTTTGGAAAGTCAACTGAAACACTCCAAATATATCTAAAGAATTGCAATTAGGTGTTAACAATAAATTCAATTTGATCTTTTATTTTACAAATGCACCAATGAATATTTGATTTTTACTTTTCACATGTCAATTTGGGTGTAATTGCAGAAGAGCTGCATGTAGTACCAATTGGTGTGAGAGCAGTACTTTCCTGGGTCGGGCCAAGGGAAGGCATCAAGTTCGTACAAACCTGCAATAGTAGGAGAAGAAAATTATTATTTGCACAAATTGATCAATAATCACTCACAGAAAATCGCCATGATTGCGACTAGAATCAGAAGTTTGTTCAGCATCTCAGAAAAGCTCGAGATTAACTAAGTGAAATGGGTTGAAACTGCAGCAAATCACTCAATGTTTTTCACCATTTATATATTGACGCACACACAGCGAGAAATGCGTCAAATATTGTGAATTGTGCCACTAAATCACGTATTTGAAATAAAATCTTTCTCTGTCGTGAATTCTCATTTCGAGAGCTGGAATGCACGGCTCATGGGCAAAGATAATGTGGGGAAAAAATATGGGAAAAATACACGAATAATTTCCGTGACTTCCAATGTGTATTTGCTGTGTTGTAAATTAATTTTATTATGGTAACATGCGCCTGTTTTCGCTTTTTTGGTCGCGCTCTCGCGAATGAGACGGCGATGCTTCATTTGAATTTGCATTTTATTAAATACTCATTCCGATTCCCGAAGATGATCCACGATGGAGAGCCTCGAACGCCCACTCGCGCGTAGTCAGCTAATGATTTATTAATTTCTTGCAATTCCCTAAGAGAACATCCAACTTCCCAGATTGAGCGCCTCCGTGGAGATGTTCAATGGCAAGTTTTCGATGTTTCTGCCCAACGAGAGAGAACTGCATAATCATAATTTGTTTGCCTCGATGGAGAATCGCGCTACACTGTGAGAAATCAAGCTGCCAAAATTGACCGCCTCGCCGCTAAGGAATCCCAGTCACAGTGTTACTCTCGCGATGCCATTAATAAAGTTGAAGTCGGGACCACAAATTAACTTTTATCGAGAATTAATTTATATTGCCCGCGAATTCCACAGTGTATCACCCGCGATTCCTTCACTCTCTCTCGCCAGTATATTTATTCGCTCGAGGCGCCTGTTTCACAAATTACATTTCATAGGCATACTGGGGAAAATGTAGCATTTTCTTATTCCTCTCGCGTCCATAACATAAATCGGTAGCTCGGTTCTGTTGCGAGTCATTTTAATTAAATTACAGCGAAAATTAAACTGCTACACATAATTCTTCATATTACATTTGCTGTGGTAAATAATAAAATTAACGACGTTTTAATTAAAATGCCGCGTTATTTATGACTTTCACTCCGCATGGTGGTTTTGCTAGCGCACACACACACACTATCTTCTGTTTGTGATTAAGTTGTGAAAAATGTTGTTGTTTTTCCTTTTCGGCGACTTATCTGATGATAGACACAAGCATTGTTTTTGTAGTGAGGTGGGAAAAGCCCTCATGTTTCGCGTTCAAATTTGTCAGACGAGACGTGACTTGAGAAAACATCGATAAAACTAAAGCCAGTCACTTTGCAAATGAGCTCTTGCCACAGTGTGAAAAAATGAGCACGTTTCGAAGATAATATTCTGCATGTGTAGCAATTAAATGGAGTTTTTGATGTTAGACAATTCTTGAAACGTCTTCAAACTACGAGAGTGCTTTTTTGCATTAGTTTGCATTGAATTGGATCTTTGAATGGAATTCCTTTGAGATGCGAAACTTCTTCATCAGAAGACAAGTGAGTGAAATGGAGACGACAATTCCGAGACTGGGACGGCCCTTGAGTTGAATAGAATTGTTTGCTTTTGCGCCTCTCCTCAGCCCTCATGAGCCTCCCGCACAGAAGGCGCGTGCAATATTACCGGAAACTGCACATATTTTTGTCATAGATCACACATAGTTGAGGGTTGTCCCTTCACGGGAACCATGTCAGGGTGAGACGGAGAATAAATTGCATTATACATTGTCAAATGACATATTTATTACAGTCCTTGTGTCTTCCTTCTGAGCTGCGTCTTCCAGGAGATGAACTCGTTTGTTGGGGCGGAGGAGAGAAATTAATGAAGCAGGAGCACTTTGGCCATCTTCCCCTTCATCATATATAAATGGCATTTGATTAAGCGAGAGGCGAGTCATCATCGTGTAGTTCATGTTGTCGTCAATTGAAAGAAATTACAGCGATAATTTGGAGGATAATCCACTTGAGGATTGTGCGGGTTCAACAAGTTGATTAATACAATCCGCACTCAGCATCCGCACACCAGATTTTGACTCACGGATTCTGGGCGATTGTTTGCGCCAGTGGGGGAGCTGAGAGAATTCAATTGAATTGTAATGAGTGCCAATTTTTCTCATTCACCACAAATGGAAGCGCTACGAAAAGAGCATCATTTGGACGAACTGGAGTGAGGATTGTTGGGCAGAGAGACTCGGCGCAATTTATGTAACATAACAAGTGGATGCGATGATATTCTCATTTAATTATCTGGAAATGTTTTCTCACACAACTTGAGAGGTTCATTTCTCACCCACACCCTCTTGCATTAGACCGTGTGCAAAGGAAAAGGGGTGATTCAGGCTTTCCAGGGACATTAAATTAGTCTTCCGCCTCAATTTACTCAGGCTGATTTATTACCGAAAGAGGAAAACGGAATACTTGTTACACAAATGACTCACTTTGAACTGAAATGAGCAAAAAAAGGAAGTTCGGGTCATTTTCCACGAAGAAGCAAAAAATGACATACAAGAAAACATTGAGACACTTTTAACCAAAGAGCAAAAATCTTCAGATTAATGATATTTTAACCCTCAACAGCTCCACTAAATAAAACCAGGCTTGCTTAAGTTTTTTAATGCAAAGTGTATTTTTGGGATTTCATTTTTGACAGAATCAAAAGAAGTTGCGGCATTTCATCGTATAGATTGGGGTGTTTCGGGTTGTCAACTTAGTAATATCCATAGCCCTTGCCGTATCCATAACCGCCATAGCCATATCCGTGCTGGGGAGCTGGCAGAGGGGCGGCGAAGGGACGGGGAGCTGGCTCAGGAGCAGCGAAGGCGGTGGCAACAGCTGAAAACAGAGAAAACACAGAGATTAGCTTCGCTTCCTTTGAGAAAGTCCCAAGGAATCTCACCCAGCACGACGAGGAGAGCGAAGAACAGGAACTTCATCATTTTGGATTGATTTGGATTGCTTCAGTTGACTTCTCAAACTGACTATGCCAATTGAAGAAAACTCCCGAGTATTTATACTCAAATTGTCGTGATGTGACAATATTTTCCTGCTCTGGAAAAGTACAGAAAACAGTCGTGATGCGTTTGCAGTGCATAACTCGGTTGTTATGCACTGAAATTTTCTGAGTTTCTGACCGAATTTGTATCCATGCTGCCATGGAAACTAATTTAGAAATGCCGCTTATCACAATAAAAATTAAAGTACTGACAACGAAAAGAATTCTTACCAACAGTTCGTGAAAATTACCCTAATAATTTAGCTGACACAATCAAATTTCTACCCACAATTTTAATTTATGATTAATTTCTGAAGCCAAAGTGTAAAATATTTAATTTTTTCGTAACATAGAAATCAAACGCCAACTAATTGTATCAAAATATGCATCTTAAAGAATGCATTAAGTTTACTTTAACATGCCAACTTGTCATCCAATTTACTTACAGTTCTAGGTTTGATCATAATGGAATTGATGAGAATTAAAACTAGAATCAAATTGCAAAGATAAGAAATTCCAGAAAATTCTTTTATTTTGCCACAAGCCAGTAAATCTTTCTACCAAAAAGTACTTAATAACCATTAACAGCTCATCTTTAATATGATAATATCTTTAATATGATCATGAAATTAGAAATGATATCGAATCCTAATAATAGTTGGTGTAGAGTTTTATGTTTTTGAATATAACTTCTTCATAAAGTTACATTGTCCGCTTTGGATTTACACATCTTATGTGAAGATAATTTTCAGTATAATCGTTTGAACAGAATAGAGCTTTTTTAGTCTCATAAACCGTGCTTTTTGAACAGAATTACTCGTGAAGCGTAAATTTTTGTTGCGGAAAAGTACAGAAAGGATCGCATTTATCAATATCAAAAACTCTGTTGTGAAAATGAGATTTTTGAAGATTAATTTTTATCTTTTATTTCATTATAAATTGATTATTTGAACCTTAATTTTTTTTATTTAAATAATTTTTTATGCTACAGTAATAAATTTTAAATCTATTTGTAGTTATAAGTGAATTCTCTGTCATATAGCTCGCAACTCTCGAAAAAGATGAAGCATTAAACAGCCGAAAATACGGCTAAAATAAAAAAAAACGAGTTTTTCGTGTGTAATAAAACAATTAAATTCATTCTTCAATGTACATATTTATTCATTTTCTGAGATTTAAACAATTTTGAAAGTTTTCATTTAAGAGTGGTCAAATAGTTCGTCTTAACGTCGCGTCCTTGGCTCCAGGTTTAGTAGTATCCATAGTATCCATAGGGGTAATATCCACCCTGGGGAGCTGGCAGAGGAGCAGGGAATGGAGCTGGACCTGGAGCTGGCTCAGGAGCAGCGAAGGCGGTGGCAACGGCTGAAAGCAGAGAAAACACAAAGATTAACCTCGCTTCCTTTAAGAAAATCCCGAGGAAACTCACCCAGGACGACGAGGAGGGCGAAGAACAGGAACTTCATCATTTTGGATTGATTTGGATTGCTTCAGTTGACTTCTCAAACTGACTATGTCAATTGAGGAAAACTCCTGAGTATTTATACTCAAATTGTCGTGATTCTCTTATCACAGAATCGCCAGGAAGACTTTGTTGCCATGACGAATGTGGTTTCGAGCGAGGAATTCTTGGTGTTGCCGGCCAAAGTGTCGTAATGGTCGTAATACAGAAATCAAATCTAATTTTCTGTAATTACGCCAGTGCCAAAGGCGAGGAATCGCACCTGAGATGTGCGGCGGAGTTGAATTGTCGGCATTGGGAGAGACACACACAGATGGACAAAGGAATCGATCCGATCGATTGATCTTTAGTGTATCAATTGTTGTGATTGAAGTTGGTGAGCGCCCGCAGAGTTTTTGATTTGGGCGTCCGAGAGATCACACTCGATGGCGGAGCTCGGAGATTCATCATCGGAAGCCTGAGGATTTGCCTGGTGGTCGGGGAAAGCCGCGGAAGAGTCAAACGGGCGTTCAATTGAAATTAACCCTTTGTTCCCATCTCACCTATTGTCCATCAAAATGAGATTCACGCCGTTTGATCTGAAGCGCATCCCAGGGAATTTTCCTCATTCCACACGAGTCGTCTCAGCCGCATTGGCATCTAATTAAATTACTCGTGTGCGACCTCATTTCGCCCGATATTGGCCTCCACCCCCTGGCTTTCCACCCCTCATATGGAGCACAGAAGGTGGTCGCTTTCATGCGCTGCCATTGAGTCAATATGGAACATGATAACTTCATTTACTCTCCACTTGGCGACACGGCCGGGCCACTCTTATTGAACAACCCATTGTCATCGTGTCTCATTGGGTGACTCTTGTTGTGCACCTAAATTACGCCACGACATTTAATTACACGTGTTTCGCAACCTTCCTCGCCACGGAGGAGCTTCGTGCCATTTTTATGTCGCACCGATGGCACTTTATGTGCCATATTTTAGGGGCAATTTATTCACAATCCCAATATTCACACGTCGTTTCGCCAAGTCAAGTTAACGCGCAAAATCTCCATGCAATCCACATTCTTACGTTGGCTCTTGAGGGTTGAAGAGTGTTGTTTCTTGGTCACGATTCTTGCTTAGCAACTGACACACTTTCCGTATAAATACGACTTAGGTTTCCTTAGACATTAGTTGCCAAGACATTCGTATATCTTCACTTCATCTTTGCTCTGATATTAGCACTTGCCAATGATCTTACATTTGTTTGTCTTTTCCTCAGCTTTGATCATTGCTTTGGTGAATCCTCCGATAGCAAAATGCAATCTGGTGTCCTTCGTCTTCATTCTATCGACCATGGTTTAATAATTAATAAACAAATAGTCCCTACATATTGTAGAGAAGAGAAAAGCTCTGAAATAAAAAGAAAATCAATACGAACTGACGTGTAATTTATCGGCATCGCATGAGAAATTTTCACTCCCACACTCTGAGGAAATATCTGTTCCGCCGCGATGAAATTAATTATGAAACTCATTGGCGGAAATGAAATTATCCTTTCCATGGAGAAAATTTTCAATGGACTTTTTGTGTGGCTCAATTGAATGGCTTCTCCCCCGTTGACTTTTGTGGAACCTTTTCCCGACCATCGGATCTCTTCCTCCATTTCCATCGAGTTGTGGATAATTATAGTAGTTTAATAGCTTCTGGGTGTATTATGTGAGAGTAGTTGATGCATTTTTTCGATACGCGGAACACCCAATATGCGAGCTCGAGTGGCTCAGAAGGGAGCGCGCGGCAGAAACTGTTCCAGGATAAACAATAAGTGGCAGCAGATTCCCCCCGACAGGGCACCAATGAAAGGATATTCATGTTGTAATTCTGTTTGCAGGGGGCCAATCGCCCGGGGCGAAGCACCCTTTCATACCAATTTTATTTGTATGTTTCCAACTATTAGATTATACGTTGCGGCGCGCTCTTATTCCCCTCACGCACTTTTTCTTCCCCGGAATGACGCGGTTTTTCATCATCTCTCTTCGGGAGTGTCTGAAGAGGTGGCATAGAGTCAAGGCGGAGGGCCGAGGATCACAATTGTCTGCCATGGACTAATTCCGATTGGAAGAAAGACTCTCACACTCGCCGATTTCGTCTCGATGAACGCATCTCTTTGTTGTCATCACCCGATTCTTTCCCTGATTTATAGCCACCCAAATACTCAAGTGGATCTTCCACGAGTCTAATCGAAAAGTCCCCCGGTGGGCTCAATTCCCTACAAAACGTGGAAATTCCTCGATAATCAATTGGATACAAATACAACACTTCCCGTCCAGTCTGCCATGCGTTGTCAGGTAAGTTCTGAGGAAAAGTCGTGAATGAAGCTGCCACTTGTCTCCCGGTCACGATTTGTGGTCAGAAAATGTGCCCATTTTCCGTATAAATACTCGGGAGTTTTCCTCAATTGGCATAGTCAGTTTGAGAAGTCAACTGAAGCAATCCAAATCAATCCAAAATGATGAAGTTCCTGTTCTTCGCCCTCCTCGTCGTCCTGGGTGAGTTTCCTCTGGGTTTTCTCAAAGGAATCAAAGCTAATCCTTGTGTTTTCTTTGATTTCAGCCGTTGCCACCGCCTTCGCTGCTCCTGAGCCAGCTCCCCGTCCCTTCGCCGCCCCTCTGCCAGCTCCCCAGCACGGATATGGCTATGGCGGTTATGGATACGGCAAGGGCTATGGATACTACTAAGCTAATGACTCCCAAGGATTCAATCGGCGCGGTGATCTTCAGAATAGCAGTTTTGTCGGCGAAAACTATCTTGTTGAATGTTTCAATGGCAAAATAAATCAAAATTTGCACTAAAATAATCATATTCTTTTCTTAATGCAAGATTGTGAGCAATTTTTCCTCTCTTAAAATAAACATCGATTAGAGAATTTGGCAATGTTTAACGACAGCTTTACTACATTTCGTAATGTTAAAAATAGTTTGGTTAAATTTCCAAAGTTCAGCTTAAAGTCATAACAAAATTTTTGCTTAGCTCAATTCTATGTAAAATTCTCGAAACAATGATACAAAATTAAATCTTTGTGTAAATTACTTGAAAAGCACAATTTTTCTTCCATAAGTTGTTATGTTAAACAAATTTCACCTCCCATCTGTGAAAATATCCACGCCGTTGATTTCCGCAGCCTCTGTGTGAGATGAATGGAAAGCCGTTAAATGCAAATTCCCCCAAACCGTCCTCCTTTTGGCAGTTTTTCCGCCAAAAGAGCACAACAGAGACGAGCCGTGGGAATAGCATCGCAGTGAATGTAAACAGAATCACCCCGATCAACGCCCATTTCGTGGTTCAATTTGACTGCCAGAGTGACTTCAATTGCGCGGCAGAATCGCAAGGCATCGCTTAACGTGAAAATGTCAAGAATAATTAGCACGTAGCCGAGCAATTGTCGGCCGGGGTGAAAAGGCATGAAAAATCTCCTGCAATTCTGGCGGAATTCATTGTTTCAGCATCCGGTGTCGAATTTCTGACGGTTAGGCATTCCCCTGGTCCTATTCACCTTGACTCTCTCCCTTATTCTGCCACCAATTGTGCGCCGCTTCCTTGCACCGACTCGCCGTCGAATATTCCAATAGAATAATTACAGACTATGAGCATTCGCACATCTCGCACGATTGGAATCAATATGAGAATTTCAGTTGGACGTCGAGACATTGCGTTTCGGGACGGAGAAAAGACGCAAAATCAATGCCAGAATCCTTTCAGAGACTTTTCTCAATCGTGAAATTACATGACGCAGTGGTGCAGAAAAGACTTTCAGAGCTGCACCTCTAAACTGGCAATCACTGTGACTCCCCTATATCAAAGCCACTGATTACGGGGTCCATTCTTCTCCTGGCCGTGATCGCGAACAAAGAGAGCCAGCAAAACGGCACATTTTCCTCGTCACTGACTCGCGATTTCGATCACTTGTTGCCGAGGGAACAGAATTTTGAAACCGTGGAAACGAAATAAAACCATGACACATTCATGCTTAACAACAGAGTTTTCTGCAAACCCATCACGACTGTTTTCGGTACTTTTCCAGAGCAGAAAAAGTTTCTCACATCACGACAATTTGAGTATAAATACTCGGGAGTTTTCCTCAATTGGCATAGTCAGTTTGAGAAGTCAACTGAAGCAATCCAAATCAATCCAAAATGATGAAGTTCCTGTTCTTCGCCCTCCTCGTCGTCCTGGGTGAGTTTCTTTAAGATCTTCTCAAAGGAAGTGAGGTTAATCCTTGTGTTTTCTCTGCTTTCAGCCGTTGCCACCGCCTTCGCTGCTCCTGAGCCAGCTCCTGCTCCATTCCCCGCTCCTCTTCCAGCTCCCCAGGGCGGATATTACTACCCCTATGGATACTACGGATACTACTAAGCCGAAGACCGATGACGAACCCAGCCAATACGATGAATGCCGCAAACTCTTCTGATTCATTGTAAAATGGGTGAAATGCCATAAAATCCCAGAAATATATCTTGCACTGCAAAAGAAATTTATTCTTTTTATTATCATAAAGCTTAATTGTGTCTGCCGTCATCTTCACTTTTGGTTCGTGGTTTGTGTTTCTCTTGCTTTCATTTTTGAAATAAAAGTAAGAAATTTAATCTCTGTAAAAATTGCAATAATTGTGTATATGTAGCATCAAATGTCAGCATCAATTCATCTCTATTCTTAATTATAAACCCTTTGCAAAACCTCAGCGCTTTTTAAAAACATCAGAATTTCATCAAGATGCGACTGGTGATGCTAGTGTTCTTTTAGAAATTATTTTGATTATGTTAGATATCTATAAATTTACGCAATCAATTAATTGAACGAAGAATTATTATAGTTTGGGTTGAAATTATATTTTTGAAAACTTTATGATTTACACTTGAATTAAACTTCAAATTAAAACTAACACATTATGAGAATTATGCTTTAGATAATCCAGAAACTGAAAAAAGCAGGTGATTGTTCATTTTTTTTTCTTTTTATTGAGTTGTTTGATAATACATATTTCTAACACGAAATTGAAAGAGTAACGTCATCTTCTACTCAGTCAAGCAATCGACACCTTTAGCAAGATTAAGCATGATGCCAATGCACTCTGTGCTAAACAGATTTTTACAGCAGATTTTGTGGTACAGCGCGCAGCAGTTTGCCAGTGGAGTGTTCAACTGCGTATGCAGCGCGCAATATTGACTTGATATTTCATTACAAATGCCGGTTAGGACGAAGGTGTCGCTTAGATCTTTGTGTCCAATCGCCATTGAAAACTGTCCAAGGATAAGTCCAAAGATGAAAAGATGTCCAAATACGAAACGAGCCATGGCAACTTTGGGAACAACAGAACTTTGAAAACGCCACACTTGTGTGATGATTGCAATATCCAACTTGAGTTTTTATACTCACCACGATTGAGATAAATTGCAATTCACGATTATCGTGAAATTTGTTGCCAAGTAAGGCTCTCTATTTATAATAACTATGATGAAAATTGAAATAAACGTTTTGGGATATTTACATATCTCCAGAATTTTGTAATAAAAATTTTTGATTCAAGCCTTTAAGAATTGCTCTCAAGCTTTGTTCTTAGCCGTTAGTCTGAGAAGCGCTACGTAAAATAAACTTTAAATTGAAGAATCTGGGAAGAGCAGGCGAGATTGATTTTTTCCATTTTATTACAGTTCTTTTTAAAATAAAATTTCAATATTAAATTTGACCCTTTTGTATTATAATCATAATTTTATTATAACAACAGATTAATAATAACACGAAACTCGAAGTACAAACGATGATGCCAAATCTGAAGTTGTCGTCTGGTTTCCAATGGTCCTCAAGTAATATCCATGCATTCGAGACCTTTAGTAATATTAAGCATGATGCTTATGCATCCTATGCTGAACAGATTTTTACAGCAATACTTCTGGTAGTATGGGCAGCATCTTCCGAGTGGTGTGCTCAACTGCTGATTCAGCGGGCAAAATGCGGTTGACGATATTTCATTACAAATACCGCTTAGGATAAAAGTGTTGCCTTCGTTCATGAATCCAATTGCCATCGAAAACAGCCCAAGGATGAATCCAAAAACGAAAATTTGCCCGAATCCAAAACGAGCCATGGTAACTTTGAGAACAACTTGTTTAGAACTCCGGAATTCACGCCAAACTGTTGAGAGGATTGCAATATCCAACTTGACTTTTATACTTACCACGATTGAGATAAGCTGTAATTCACGATTATCGTGAAATTTGTCGTCAAGTAGGCTATGTTGAAAATTATAATAAACTACGTAGTTCAAAATAAGGTACGAGGTCTCTTTCTTAGAAACCTCGTAAAGTTATAAAAAAAATTCTTATTCCAGAGTATAAGATTTCCCAGAAGCTGAAGTATTTCACAAAATTACTCTTTAAACGCGGAAATAGCATGGAAACAAAACTATCTTAGAAACGAAAGAATTAAAGTGCACAACGACAAAGTTTTCTGCAAACGCATCACGACTGTTTTCTGTACTTTTCCAGAGCAGGAAAATATTGTTACATCACGACAATTTGAGTATAAATACTCGGGAGTTTTCCTCAATTGGCATAGTCAGTTTGAGAAGTCAACTGAAGCAATCCAAATCAATCCAAAATGATGAAGTTCCTGTTCTTCGCCCTCCTCGTCGTCCTGGGTGAGTTTCCTCTGGGTTTTCTCAAAGGAATCAAAGCTAATCCTTGTGTTTTCTTTGATTTCAGCCGTTGCCACCGCCTTCGCTGCTCCTGAGCCAGCTCCCCGTCCCTTCGCCGCCCCTCTGCCAGCTCCCCAGCACGGATATGGCTATGGCGGTTATGGATACGGCAAGGGTTATGGATACTACTAAGCTAATGACTCCCAAGGATTCAATCGGCGCGGTGATCTTCAGAATTGCAGTTTTGTCGGCGAAAATTATCTTCTTGAAGGTTTCAATGGCAAAATAAATCAAAATTTGCATTAAATTAAGTATATTCTTTTAATCGACACCTGGATTATTCTAATTTGATGCGATTTTCTCTTCTTGTCTTCTCAGTCATGCTCTTTTTTCTCCCCTGCGCAATTTGGGTTCGAAAGCGTCGTGCTAGTGATTAAATTGAGTTGGGATCAGTCACACTTTCGCCCCTGATTTCATTGGGACGGTGTAAATTGGCCCAATATTGAGTACTTCAGGGGGTATAAATGGCATTTCCGTCTTCCACTTTGCCAATCTGAAGGGAATTATCGATAGACGCTGGGATGAGAGGCCAGAGCCTTGGAGGATGACGAGGAAGTGAGGAGCTCTCCGTACGTGGATGTATTTAATGTCAGGATTCTCTCGGCTCGCGCTACTTCCACATGATATTGCAGATGGTCTCCCACTGTGCTCGAAATTGATCAGGATTCCCTGCCGCTTGAACTATGACGCGATGTGTCGTCATATTTATTGGGAAGTTGGCTGCTTCTGGACGAGGAGGAGAAGCATAACATTGCTCCAAACATTTTGAGTGCTCCAACAACAATGTCCTATAAATTGCCGCCGTTTATTTACTGGCTCTCCACCACAAAGATGACGTTCTCTTGCCATTTTATGCCCAAGTTCGCCTCCCTTCCGATACACGAAGAGCCAGTGAAACATTTTCTTTATTATACCACTCTTCTTTCTCCCTTTCTCAGCCATTGGGATCCGTGGGGGAAACCAAATACACGCACTACATGAAATATTGGCCAATTATTTGTGATAATTTATTGTGTTGGCCAGAGTGAGAGAGCCAGAGCGCGTCTTGGCGATCCTTCTGCGCAAGATGATGCTCTTTCGGGATGAAATTCAGAAGCGAATCTCTTCCCAAAAACTCCAAATTGGCCCACTCTTCCCAGACATGCACGGATGTCGGCTGCCGAGGCCCAAAAAGACACAAGTAAAACTTCAGATATGAAATTAATATAAAAATTAATGCAGTTGCTTCAACACTGATTGCGTGGGCTTGGCAATTTCTGGTGCTTTGTCTGCCAACGATAAATTTGTTAAAATTGAAATTTCATCCTCCTTTTGCGCCAAAAGACGCGACAAGCGGAGAGAGGAAGAGTGAACCTGTGCATTTGGGAATTTAATTTATTAAAAATGCTAAGAAATGAGAATGAAAAGAGAGGAAATTCGCTGAAAAATTCAGTGATTCAATGCACAATTCCTCTTTTCGCCTAAATATCAAATCTCACGTTCTCAAATGTTTCCATTCAACTGATTTATAATGCAAATGCAAATGTTAGTCGTGGAATTGGTGTGAGTGGGATGATTTCTGAGACAATTAAGTTTACAAAAATTGATCCAATGAAACTGAAGCATTGATATTAATTGACGCCAATTAGTGGTTATCTCACTCACTTTCCATTCGACATTCTTGCCCATCTCTTTGACGAGTGGAAGAGGGGGCAAAGGCGGAGGGAGAGGAAAATTGTGAAAAATGTTAGTTCTTCCCTGGGTGGATGGGAGCTCTCCTCAGCGGCGAAGAGGGTTGTAAATTGGGAAATTTATTATATTTGATTACCCGGGCTTCCCTCACCCCCACGGGGCGGCCGGGGTGGCGCAATATTTCCAGCAGCCACTGTGGCTCCGGCGAGAGCCAGAGGAATGAACAAATGAGAAAATACACAAGAGAAAACACTCGTCTCACAGCTGGGTTTCCATTTTTCAGCGCCGCTGGAAAACTCAACTCCCCAAACGAGGAGGGCGCATTTTCACCCTCCGGGGATGCTCGTGGGAGCGATAAGAAAGGGGTTGACGAAGAAAAATTCCACTGAATAAACTTCACACGGCGTGAACAATTTTTCGAGGGTGCTTTTGATAGAGTGGCTTCAACATTTGATCCTCATCGCATCAATAAAATTCCTTGACAAATGAAACGTGCGGCGTGCTTTCCGGAAAATCCCCACGTATACAAATTTGCCCGCGTGGAGAGTTTTTATTGAAATTTCGCTTCACGGGCTCTTTTGTGCTGAGCGGCCGCGAAAAGCCGCAGAGAAATCAATTTCACCGCGTTCGAATTGCTTCTTCAGCAATTCCGTGTTATTACTCATGAATCAGCGGATTTTTCTCCACTCCTCAAACACACCATCAATTGGCATTGATTAGGCAGGGAAAAATATCGCACGAAATCGATTGCTGATATAATTTTGCTGCTCGACTAAGTGATTTCCTCAAATGCATCGCCACAGAAGACGGCCACAATTGCCTCCTAATGAATGATAAGCATCACTCTCGAGAGGTCCATTTTGCGGCTTCTGCATAGATTACCATCTTCTCTCCACTCTCTTGATGGCTTTGTTGTCCCGGACAAAAGGAGTGTGTGATTGAACATCTGTCTCTCGGGGATAATGAATAATTTCTCATAACATTCTCCAGGCCTCTATCGTCTGGAAGAATCTATTTCCTCGACCACATCTGAAAATCGTAAAACCACGTCACTCGCTTTGACTCCCTTGTCTTCCCTTTAGAACGTTAATTGTGCATTCTCGAGTGACTTCCCAGCATCTCAAGCGCGTGCTGTGTCACTTTTCACGCTGTTCAGGTTCACAAGTTTGCGATTCGAGCATCAACCAGTCGTTGGGCTTTCAAATTAACCCCTTTCGCGGAACCATTTAGAGAGGATTTAGGGTTGATTGTTGAGTGCTAAGAAATTTGAAAGATTCGCAATTTTTCATATAAACTTCCATATATTGTCTAAAAGAAGTCAGTTTTTTCACGACGAGTTTATCGAAAAGATTCAAAATGCATAAGGAAAGGCACTCTTATTTACTTAGAATCTGCAAATCTTTTTTATCAGTAATTTTATTGAATTTAAAGCCTTGGAAGTGGATTTAATTCTATTCAAGTCAACCTACGATTTTCGCTAGATCTGTGAAGAATGAAGAAGAAATTGGAGATTTTGAATAATATCTCCCGCGATGGTATTAAAGAATGTCACGACCGAGAGTCAATGACTCTAGGACGCTTTGTACTCTTAAATTTCCCTGGATAGTCAATCCCTAACCTGCCGTTTTTGGCGCCGAATTCAAAACGCCTCCGACGGCGTGCAAAAATCTGTTGGCCACAGAAGTACGACTTCATTAAGCAATTGCTTGCATTTTCATAATCTCCTTTATTTTTGCGCAATTTTTCGGTAGACCACCTTTGACGAGTGCCGAGGGGGGTGATGACGCCCCGAGGCGTGCCACTGACATCTCCCGTCGCGAGCTTGTTTGGCCTCCTCACGAGGCGCTCTCCTGGATGGCCTGTCCGGACAATAGGGAGGCGCAGGAGGCGCAAAAAATGCACTCAACTCGTGGATTGAGCATTATGCCGCCTCTTCCGTCACTCCAGCACTCCACAATCATTTGCCAGCGTGACCCATTTTCATGCCTTCTGCGCCGCGCGCGAAAGAGCGCCAATTAATTCCCACCATGCAATTCGGTCTCGGCAGTCTCCAGGTGGTGACAACGGCTCAATGTTCAATTGCTCAGCCTTATCGTGAGCCTCGTTGGCACGCCAGACACTCGCCGCGGAAATTCACACTTGCCACCCAGTGATTAGGGACAGAGGAAGCGCGACGCGTGACACGAAATTTTATGGCTGCTGATGAGGCATTTTGTGGGACTTTTACGATTTTGCATTCACATGGAATTTGCCACTTGTTACCAGTCGATAATCCTTGAGTTCGAGCTTGAGTTTATTGGCAAATTAAACTATCCACATGCTTATCTGATGGCTGCTAAACAGCATCAACAGTTTTATTATCAATTTGCACGACAATTTGTGTATAAATTCTGAAGGTTTTTCCTCAATTGGCATAGTCAGTTTGAGAAGTCAACTGAAGCAATCCAAATCAATCCAAAATGATGAAGTTCCTGTTCTTCGCCCTCCTCGTCGTCCTGGGTAGGTTTCTTTAAAATTTTCTCAAAGGGATGAAGACTAATTTCTGTGTTTTCTTTGATTTCAGCCGTTGCCACCGCCTTCGCTGCTCCTGAGCCAGTTCCTGCTCCTTTCCCGTCTCCTTACGCCGCTCCTCTGCCAGTCCCCAACTATGGCCATTATGGTTATGGATACCATTACTAAACTGAAAAAGAAGCTGAAAAATATACAGAAAATTGAGACAATCGTTTGAAATCATTCCAAATTCGTAAGACCAGAAAATGGGGAAATAAAATTATTAGGTATCAGAAAACTGAATGTTTATTTTTTTTAATTCCTGCGCCTTTAATTGGAAAACCCTTTTTAATCCCACATGTAACTGTTGCAAATTTTTCTCCTTTTCAGCATTTCTTGATTAAAATGTTGGGAATTCGAGCAAATCGACAGGTTTTGGATCTTTGCTTGACTGATTTTCAATTGTCCATCGGAATTTTCTCACTCATGTGAGAATTTCTCAGCCGTAAATAACACATCATCGAGAGGAAATTGTCATGAGGTTCTTTGTAGTGCAACGAAATTGTTAGATTGTGGCGTATCAAAAGAAGAGATTGTGGTGTGATTTCAGTCCCTGGAATTGTTTGAGGCTCTTTTGGGGACGTCCCATGGCGACTCAACTGTCCACAAATTTGTGTTAAACGGGATTTTCATAATATTTTATGCTACATGTGCGCTGGCGAGGCGAAAAAAGAGAGAGAGAGAAGGTAATATCGTAAAAAGCCCCGAAAGGCGTCTATTTCAAATCACACCATATCATTTAACATACAAATTGGACAAATATTTATTTGGTGTCTAAATAATAACAATAATATTTGGATTCTGAAGCGAAATTCCCGCAGAGTGTCCCCTTCGGTGCCTGACAGAGTCGATGACTGTGGACGAGGCGCGGAGCGGACGATCGCGGGGATCGGTAATGAGGTGATTGACAACAAATCCCCTTTATGATCTCTGGCGGAGCCCAAAGTGAATGAGATGTTCTTGTGTCCCACGAATTCGATGTCAAATTTGATGGCAATTTACGAGGTGCACAACAAAGGGAGACTCGGCGGAATAATTAAATCATAAATTCATCGAATAATTTCGATGATCAAATCAATGGAGTGAAAGAATCCTAGTGCGATGGACGGATTTCCTATGGTCTGGAGAAGTGGAGAAAAAGCTCGTGGAGAATTTCGATAATTGTGGGAAATATTGAAACATAATTTAATCTTCAGCTGCTCGTGGGATCGGGAATTTAACCATGTCGCTATGGATTGTTATTCCAATGCGTGGCTTTATTTATTTTCTAACTCATTATCGATCGGCTACTAATGAAGAAATTCAAAGGAAGGATTTATTGAATGGAGGAATTTCTTCTCAATGGATCTGAGCGATCTAAGAAGCGATGAGTCACACGGAATGTTAAATTATAATCAAATCATTGAGATTTGTATCAAGCATCAAACGAATAAAAATGATCGCATAATTAGCTAATCTAGTGAATCTTTATCAATTTCGTCAACAGATGTCGCTCTTCAAGTCCTTTGCTGCCGAGGAAGATGATTTGTGCCATATTGAGAAATTCACTGAGAAACTGTTTGTCACGCGATTTCAGACACCGAGACAATTCAATTCAATTTATCAACGCTAGCGCGAGGCGTGGTTTCTCCGGCAGATTCCCAGCCAATGGTGAAGCCACTCCAACGGACGGAATGGGGGCCGTCTTGACGGGAACCATGCGCACTCGAGAGACTCTGAAGAACCGTCTCTTTGTCCTCGCCGCGGAAACAAATTGCGCCTCTCCACGCGATCCAGTGGAAAATGGAGGACTCTCGAGAGTTGCCTCCGGCAAATTGCTGCTGAACCCTTTACCCTGATCACATTTGTTATGGAAATGCCATGGCGAAGAGTGGCAAATATAAGCGATGTTGCGATTAAATGACTCTCTACCGTTCCCTCGAGCGAAGACTCTTGAGAGGATCAATCCTTTGTTCGTGGGAATAAAGCACGATCCCTCGTCCATTCTTCCAACTGACTGACTCCTCTGAAGATTTGCACTCACTCTGCCCCCAAACAAGGCACTAATCATGCTCGAAAGCAGCATAAAGGTCTCTGGACTGTGAAAAAGGACTATCAGAGAATGAAAATCGTTGAAGAAGATTTGAATTCATACTGAGTGTCGCTGCGCAGATGGCTCTGTCGTCTATGTGGAAATTGTTGGACCCGTGTGGAACGCAACAACAATTCTGCTGTCAAATTTGGCACTTGTTTATTTTCCTTGGATAAAAAATACGCGGAGATTAATTGGCTTGGCTGGGCATCCTGACCAGCCATCTCAGATACTTGGCACGCGCGTCGGTGTGAGGAAACCCCGAGGAAACATTTCACGGATATAGAGTGAGTACCAAAGGAGAATTGGCAGGGAAAAACGGGGGGAAAGTTTGACATAATTATCTCCCTTTGTTGACTACTTTTGCCCAATTTTATCAACTTTCTCAGGGATACCTTGAGAAATTCGCTTCCTTTGGCAATCAGAGAGTTGCGTGTGAGGTGCTGAAGAGGTTTCTGACGATTCAGATTGTGGACAGTTAACCTAATTTCAGTGGGCAGAGATGTCAAGTTGCCAGAAACCGGCGTTCCTAAATTTTTCAGTAATCCCCTGATTTTCCTCCCCGGCAGATTCATTAGATGTTCAACAGAGACTGAGAAGGATGCTTCTCGCCGGGCCGAGTCAGTCCTCTTCGTACTCCTACGCTTCGCCGCGTCTGAGCAACATTTCCTCCTCCAGAACTAGTCTGAGCAGCAAGTCCACGTCGAATGAAAGGTACTGGAGTTGATTTTCTCTCCCATGCGACATGCTGATTGAGGTACTTTTCTGTGCAGTATTCCCATTTCGTCCGCCTCCAGTCGCTACAGTCTGATGAAGTCGTTTGCGGTGCACCTGAATCGTGGCACGGAGTTGCTCAAGCAAACTGTCCAGCGTGCCATCCTCTCCAAAGCCGCCACACCGAACACAGAACTGAGGACGGTTGCGCCCACGAAGCATCACAAAGTCCCAGACCTGCACAGGGCCAGCACGGACAGCCTGGAGGCGGAACTGTGCTACTTCCGCCCCATCAGGCCATGCCCGATCACCCTCCAGACGAACTGGTGAGTCTCATGCTGTTTGTCTTCCATTCAGTGGGTTAATGATGGGGTTTTTGTGGGGAACAGGCTCTTCCGGAAGCTGCCAAAGATTCCGACAGCAATAAAGCATCCGCCACGCAAGGAGAAGACACTTCCGACGCTTCAGGGAAAGAAACAGTTCAAACCGTCGAAGGTGGCTTCTGCCTTTCGTGCTTTTGCGCCTTTTAAGACTCCCACTGGCAGTGGCACGAAAGCTTCCTCGCGCAAGAGAAAGGCGGCTGAGGAGGAATCCGTGCCGCCCAAGGTGGCCAGAGTGACGCGCAGCACTGCCCGTAAGGTGGTCGAAGTGACACGGAAGACGCGCGCCAATGGGAAACTTGCGACTGTCCAGGAGACGGAGGAGCAGGAGAGGAGAGACTTTGAGCTGGCCAAGAAGCTGCAGACTGAGCTGAACAGAAATTCCACAGCTTCCGCAACGAGTGGCTATTCGTTGCGCAGCAAGCGAAAATCCACGGAGCGGAACACCGATCCGCCGCTGAGACGCACCACCAGGAGGGCCGGCAAGGCGCTCTAGAGCCCACTCCTCGGCCACGAGGGAGAATTCAATAGTATCTAAGCTAATCTCGCGATATAAGGTCTCTCAATATTATTTGTGATAATTTATTTTTTTACTCTCGACACCACACAAGAGGGCCCATCATTGGGATGCTCAAGAGATTTTATGTTCAGCGGCAGCGCAGAATTTTACCGGAAATATGATCACAAGGGGCCGAAGTTGCGCCTTCACACAATAAATCCACACATAATGTACATAAGGAATTTCTGAATAGAAATTTGAACAAGTATCTAGAGAGACGGTCTAGTTTTGATTGCGCGACTGGGCTGAACACTTGGAGGAGGACTTCCTGGACACCGTTGCTTTCGCCTGGGTGTCCACACTCTCTGGGAAGTCTATCATGACGATTGCCGGTCCGGCGACTGCGCTTTTGCCCGAAACAGAGGACGCTGGGGAGCCGATTGAGATTGGCTTGACTGTCTGGTAGTCAATGTTGTCCGATCGATCACTCTTCCAGGATGTTTGGCTTCCGGAGGCAGACGAAGACAGTATCAAATGAATTATTGGCTAATGCAACTCGACTAAAGACACTCTTTCTCACCTCTTAGCGCGACTTGTGGGCATCGAGAGGCCCTTGTCCAGGAGATACTTAGACACCGCTGGTCCCAGGCCAGGATTCGCCTCCACGAGATCCGCCAATTGCTGCAGAGCCGATGAGTTCTGCTCCTCCAACTCCCGGGCAGTGAAGTCACGCTGAAAAGAGCGACTCGGTGAGTTTATCTTGATAATATTTTACTTATGCTAGAAAAAATCACCTCTTGAATGGTGAGGAAGTCGGAATCATTGATCTTCAGTTTGGCCGCCTTGAAGGCCTGTTTCATCTCCCGCTCAGCTCGATGGAGCTTCACCTTTTGCTCAAGAAGTTCCTTGTGCACTTTCATCAGAACGTCATTTCGATCGCCCTTTTCTCGAGACACTTCCTCAAGTTCCCTTTCGAGATGCTCTTTCTGGCCATTCAATGTCTCCAATTGGTCAGATTTAAACACCAAATTCCCGCGGAGGTTCTTGAGCTTCCTCACTGCCTGAAAGTACGCATCCTGGAGGTTCTCCAACTCCTGCAAGAAAGGACTGTCTTCCTCAACAGTCACGAAGTTCCTCTTATAGTTCTCATTGGCCAGATTCACGAGTCTCACTGTGTTCTCCATGGCTTTGATGTCCGCCTCGGCCTTCAGGACCTTAGCGTTGAGTTCATTGCCCTCCTTGAGCAGGATCTGCTTCTCCTGGGCCGCTCTAATGCGAATCTGAATGGGAGTCATTGCACTGCCGTCCTCATTTCGCCTCAAGACGTCTTCAATCAGTTGATATCTCTTCTTCAGGGTCTCAATCTTCACACTTCTGTCACCAACTTCTGCCCTGAGATGCTGTCTCTCGTCACTGAAATGCTTTTTCTTGGCCCAGAGCAGCTTCTTGTGCGCCTCAATGTCCAGGAAGCGTTGATTGATGGCCGCTTCGAGTCCCAAACGATGCCTTTCGAAGTTGAATCTCCTCTCAGATTGATTCTCTAGTTGTCTCTCGAATTGCTGCACCTTCATCTTGAGAATGCTCTGCTCCACCAGCTTCTCTTGGTTTGCCACAGTCACATGACGGATGCTCTTCTCGCCACTCTCACACCTCAGCTGTGTCTCCTTGAGGCGACTAGCAAGTCTTTCCAACTCCTGGGCGTCGCAGTTGAAGACATAATCCAGTCTCTTGCGACTCTCCTCAATGTTGTTGATTTGGGATTGCAAGAGAAGATGAGTTCTCTTCTTCCTGGCCAGGATTTCCTCCTGTTGCTGGATTTTCTCCACACAATCCGTGTCCAATTCCACAGACTTTCCGCTCATGTTGTCAATGCGCGCCAGAGTTTGCTGAATCTCAAAGTCCAGGTGATAGAGAATGGCTGTCTGCCGGCCAATCTCAGTCGTTTGGCTCCTGGCAAACGCCCTCATCCGCTTTATTGTCCCCTCGAGGCCCTGAATCTCCATGTCGCGCACCTTCTCCTCGCCCTGGAGCTCACTGAGGTGCTGTTGGGTCTTGAAGATGGCCGTGGTGAGCTTGTTGGTCTCCCCAGAGAGGATCTTGATGTTCTTCTCCTCCACTTCGTACAGCTCCTCGAGTTGTCTCAATCTCTCGTCGGCATTGTACTTCTTGCTCCTGAAAGCCTCGTGGCGCTTCGAGAGATCCTCATAAATGTTCTGCCAGTCAATCAGGAGGTTCTCCTTCGTGTTCTTCTCACTCAGCCACTGGCGATTCTTCTGGCGCTGTCTCTGCAACTCCTGACTCATGGACACCAGGGACTTCCGCAGACTCTCCATTTCGCTGACTTTCAGTGCCAGAGCATCGGTGAGATTCGTCAGACGACTCCTGTCATCGGAGATCTTCACATTGAGCTCTGCAATCTCTTGCTGAATCTCTCCTGCCTTGGCAGCGTGACTCTCTAGGTTTCCCGAGAGATCCTCTGATCGTTTTTCCTTCTTCTTCGTGATCTCACGCGTGTACTGCAGATCCCGCTCGGCTTCTTCAATCTCCCTCTCGCGCTGGCTCATCTGCAGGCAAGCCTCCTTCCATGTGGCTATCAGAGTCCTCCTCTCGGCATTTCCCTGTTGGTACAGCTGAGCCGTTCTCTCCAGCACCATCTCCAGGGACTTTTGCTGTTCCTCGCACGCAACAAGTCTCTCCCGCTGCTTGACAATGTTGCGCTGCAAAAGATGCCTCTTTGCTTCAAGAGTGTTGGCCCGGGAGGCGTCCTGTTTACAGTAGCGCTCAATTAGTTTGTTGGTAGCCTCGCCACGGGCAGTCACTTCATTCCACTCCTTCAGAGCTTCCCTGATCCATGAAATCTGCCCCTCAAAGTGATCAATGCTGCGCTTCATCCGATTCAGATCCTTCTGTGTGATCTCTTGGCGATCGTTCACGTCATTTAAATCTTGATATGACGTCTTGATATCCCTCTGAAGATGCGAATCCTCATTCTCATTCAACTTCAGCCAGTGATTCTCATTTTCCAGATGAACTCGCTGCCCATTCAACAGTTTCTGCAAAGACAAGAGCTTTAGCATGTTCTTCACAGGAACATTTCTCTCTTTCTCACCAGATTCTCCACGACTTCCTGCTCTGAGTGATGAAAGTGAGCCCTAAGGCTCTTCAGTCTCACATCCTCATCCTGAACTCTCACACCTTTCGCGTCTTTCTCCCTTATCAACCCGTTGATCTCCTCCATGAGCTGACGGTTCTCCTCACTGGCCACAGGGATACTCATCCCGTCCCAGCCCATCTTTTCCAGCACCATCACAATTGGATTCTCCATCTCTGCCTGGCCCAGGAATTCCTGAAAGTCCCACTGAAAGTTGGGTCGATTTTGTCTGGGCGGAAAACAATTGGTTGCTAGGGATTTCTTGGCGCGCTTTTCCCACCTCCAGAGGCCCGCAAACTTGCTCTATTTCTCTAAATTCCTCGCCACTCTCGTGAGTACGCACGAGAAGCACGAGTGTCGCGTCACTGGGCTATTTTGGGCGCTCTTGTGTAGATTTTCCGAACGCGCAGTGGGCATTTTTCGCAGTTAAAATCTCATTGTATCGCGTGGAAGTTGACAGTGCCTGTGATCCTTTCCCTTCTCGAAATGTGCTCCAAGGTGCTTCCCTGTCCTCTGTGCTGCCAGCCCAATTTCGAGAGTGTCGACGCCCTGAGGATCAGTCTGGTGAAGGTGGCCAATCATCCGCTCATGTGTCCCGTGTGCAGTGAAGTGCTGCTCGGACTGGACAAGTTGACTATTCACCTCTTCAGCCACACCATCGACACTCTCTCAGCTATCGAGGCGGTCAAGGAGGAGCCCCAGGGTACCGCCACAGTGACTGTGGACGTGCAGATCGCGCCTCCACAGTGCGACATCTGTTCGTGCACCTTCAGGGATGCGAATCTGCTGCAGATCCACCAGAATCTCATGCACAGATCATCACCCAGGGAGGCCCAGGAGGCGAAGTTCCAGTGCCATCTGTGTCAAAAGACGTTCAAGATGAAAGGATCTCTGCGAGTTCATCTGCGTGTTGTGCATCTCTGCGGCATTGAGCATGAGCCAGAGGCGAAACGACTCACTGAAAGGCTAAAATTAACCGAGGAGCCACCGAATAAAGTAAATACTCCGCCCGATGCCGCGTTCTCGGCGCCCACGACTCTGGTCACTCCGTCAGAGTGTCTCCCGAATCCGCCGCAGACGCCCGAACCGGCCAAGTCATGGGAGTGCGACATCTGCGCGAAGTCATTCACCACAAAGTACTTCCTGAAGAAACACAAACGCCTCCACACAGGTAAATTCCCTTGAATTTTTGCAATCTATTGGAAAACTACTTCAATGTCTCTCTCTCTTTCTCTCTCTTCTTCCAGGAGAAATGCCCTATTCGTGCACAATCTGCGGCAAGGCTTTCACGTTCCAGCAATCCTATCACAAGCACTTGCTCTACCACAGCGATGAGAAGCCGCATGTCTGCTCCACCTGCGGCAGAGCCTTTAAGGAGTTGTCCACGCTCCACAATCACGAGCGGATTCACAGTGGCGAGAAGCCTTTCAGCTGCGAAACGTGCGGTGAGAAATCATCAGTTACAAATCCGCAGTCAATCGTTACATTCAAATATATTTGCAGGCAAATCCTTCAGACAGAGAGTATCTTGTCTCGTCCACCGGAGGATCCACACGGGCGCCATGCCGTACAAGTGCACCGCTTGTGCCAAGAGCTTCCGCTACAAAGTCTCTCAGAGGACACACAAGTGTCCAGCACAGCCGCCAGGAACTGTGATCCGGCAGTCTGGAGATTTGCTGCAGAAGCTGCTGCAGAACTCCGCGCTAACAGCCGCTGATACGGATCTCTCGTTCGATGGCAGCGGTGATCTCATTAGCCAATCCATAGATGAGATTGTGAAGGAGTCCTGCGACAAAATGGGGCTCAGTGAGACGTGTCCGGAGGAGATTTTCGCGGGAGAAAATGCAGCCAGTCCTTCTGAGAAATTCCAGAATCTCTGTCTCTACTCACCCGAGCACATGGAGACAATCAATGAGGACTCCCTCAAGCAATTGCTGTACGATGATGGGAATTTGTGAAGTTGGGCTGATTTTTACCGGATGAATTATAGAATATTTTGAATACACTATTGTCCTCAGACACTCCACGGAGCCAGCTGCAGACGCGGCGAGGAGGTTTATTTGTGGGGTCGCTGCCAGATCCGCTCACCGACAACAGCGCCACGCTGGCCAGCTGATTTTGGTCAGTCGACCTGAAACTTCCTGCATTCGCATCGTCTAGCCAAAGAAGTCGCAGTGCTGCTAGTGTGCGAGGAAAAATGGATCGCATGGGCGATCAGAGTGGAAAAGTGAATAATCCAGGGACATCGAAGTAGCGGTGGAGTGTGTGAAAGGACAAATTTCACGTGTGGTGCGAGATTTGGGACAAAAATGCTCGACCTGTATTGATTTTTCTCAGAGTGTTGTTTCGTGACGGAGAGTGAGAAAATTGCTGCGTAGAGACAAAGTGAACAAAGTGCAGAGACAATCCCAAACACTCAACACTTCATCTCAATTGCCTGCGTGGACGGAAAAAGCCAAGAACATAGCATACGGTATGTATTTTGACGCACCAGATGAAATTGTAGAAAATTTTCCACAAATGACCTCGTGGATGGGAAATCACCACAAAATGGTGGTTTACGCCCAAAATTCCACCGGAAAAGCCACGAAAAGCGGCACATGAGGAACCACATGTTCCGTCAGTGCAGAATTTCTGTGAAAAATCGGTGCCGAATGGGGAGAAAAGCGCCCCAAAAGTGATTGAAAATTTTTCTCATCACCGCCATTTTGTTTTCATTCTCTGCGATTATGTGGAGAAAATAAAATTTGTATGCCGTCCTTGAGTTATGTAAATGAGGCATTTTGCAACATCACCACCGCCAACATGCTCGCGACATTTCCGCGTCAATGGCACGCATTCACCGTGTCCTCCATCCGCATTTTCCCCGTGAAAATTGCAGACAATTTTTGGGCCATCTTTCGAGGGTGTTTATTTTTCCTTGGCACACGCACACAAGCGCACGCCAATGGTGTGCGCGAGCGAGACGGCGTGCGGCATGTGCGGCGTGTGCGAGAGCGAGAGCGGAGAAGGAAATGTGGTGGCGCCTCTGTCGCTCTGGTGTCCCGTTGGGATTTGCTGCCAACTTCACGGTGTTGAGTGGGGCCCTGTCTTTGTTACGTTTTTTCCACCCCGCAGAAAGTGCCATTTTTCCTGGTTTTCCCGTGGAAATTGTCCCCCAAGAAGCGTGTGGTGATATCGTAAGTATCAGCATGATTGATTGGTGATGAAATACGGGTGGCCTTCGATGGAAAAGTTGCCAATTTCGTGGGTGAAAAAACAGTGTCTCGCAATATGAGATTTCCCGAAGAGTATGAGAGTGTGAAGTTTGTCGTGCCGAAGACTTTTAGCCAGAAATGGCCCTGAAATATTTCTCAAAAGTGTGTAATTTCCTCGGGTTTTCCACAGAATCTTGAGTCAGTGAGGCATTTTCCTGCGAAAACTGGGTCTGTAGGTTGTGCTGGTGGCGTTGCGAAGGTAGTTTTTGGAGGACTTGACAGCTTTTGCGTATCAGAACGTTGCAGACAAAAATGTCTGAAATTTCCTGATGATAAAATAGTTTCTTCGCATTGGAAATTCCAAGGAAGTGTGATTTGGTGAGACACCCTGAGAGTCCTGGCAACAGATGTCTCCTGGACGAATGCATTCTCTGCGGGTGAGTGGTGAAATGTGTCGATTTTCCACACAGGCCCCATTTTAGCCACAGAGAGAGAAAAAACATTCGTCATTTGCTTTTCTCGGAAAGTCGAACGTTTTTCCAAGAACCGAGGTGAGATCCTCACAAGGGTCAGACAGTGTGAAATTATTCAGGAACTTTCCGGCTAGTGACTCATTGACTGGCCGGTGAATTTTCCTCCCGAAATCACTCTCTTTTCACTAAATATTTAATTTGATCGATGTGGAAATTGTCTTCCAGGAAGTGGAAGAGAATTCGGAGGGCGGCGAGGAAAATGGCTTTAGTTTATCGATGTCTCAAAATTTGTGACAATTTTCCTATCTCAACCAATTTTATTACCCTTTTCCTGATTGCAAAAAACCCACATTGAACGGCATTGAGAGGCCTCAGTTGGGAATTGACGTGTAATCTTTGGATGTTGTTGACGTTTTTGGTGTGCTAAAATTAGCACATTCCTGAAATGCCCTCATTTTGTAACGATTCCCAGTTGTGATCAATTCCACGTTTTTTTCCTAAAGTTCTCTAGAACATGAATCATTCGAACTTTGGCTTCTCTTGCCTCATTCGATTTACCGATCTTGTGAAATTCTAATGCTGCCTCGAAGCGAGTTATTTTTTTAAATTTATACTAACATGAAGACTGTTAAGACACTGACGGACTCTCGTAAGACATTCTGTGCTTGTTGTCTTTGATTACATGCTAAAGTGTAGAGAATCGCTTAGCTTTGTTCAAGCCAAAGATACTTGAAGTGTTGTATTGGTGATGTTGGGAAATTGTGTGAAAATTAACTGATAAAATTCTCTCTATTTCGCCACTCTCGAGTGTGTCTAACAGTTGGTTCTGTGGAAGAGAGGAAATACACCAAAACATTGAGTGAACTTTACCAATTTCACCATTTTCTTTCATCTAGGAAAATGTCGCATTTGAATTTGCAATTCTCTTGAAAAGTATCTCAGAGTGGAAGAAGTTTGAGAGAATCTCTGCTGATGGCAGGATTTACAGGAGTGTGTTTAAGACGAAGTACAAAAAGTCCCCTTTTCGAGATGATCTTTGTTTTCTCTTCTTTCATCCTGTCGAAGGAAAACTTGTATAGTTTGCCTGCATGCAAACGCGCGCGCGTGTGTGTGTGTGTGACAAGGGAGTTTCTTGAAAGCATGAGAAGTTGGAAAGAACAACCCCTTGTCAGTTTCATGCTCCTTTGCCAATTTCCAGCAAAGTTTGTGATCTTGCTTGAAAGGTGTTTTGTGTGTAGAGAGGTCGTTTTTGGGTGTCTTCTTCATTACCTTCTCTTAGTTGAGCCATTCTGCTGCCTGAAGGTATCCCATGAAAAATATGGTGAGATTTCGATGTTGGTGGAAGGAAAAAAAGAGAAAAAACTGAAAACAAGTCATTCAACTTGCCGATGCCGACCTAAAGTCCATCTTGGAGAGCGTGGAAGAGTGTAAAGTGGAGGAAGAAGAGTCCAAAGGAGGTGGAGAAGGCCTTGAAGCAAGTCCATCGATACACAGACAAGCGTGTGCTGGTCACAAGAGAGGCTTGGCTGCTGGACTGGCGAGTGGAAGACAATGGCACGAATGTGATTCTGGTCCTTGGGAAACAGGAGGGTTGAAAGTTGCCGCAAATCCGGGATGTTGACGATGTTGACGGGGAAACTGGCCAGCGAGGAGTGGATTTTGAGGTTGTGCGTGATGCTCTGTGGGGCGACACGGGCGGGTTTTTGCACAAATTAAGGGGAGAGTGAGGACAAAAACGCCATCGAATTCACCTCACGCGGAAGGGAGTGAGAGTGAGAGAGGTGCAAGGGCGGAAAAGAAGTGCGGAGTGAGACAGTGGTTGGCAAAGTGTGTAACGAAGGAGATTACTTTGTAAGTTATAAGGGGTTACTGACCCCAATTGATGGTGTGTCTGATACTCTGCCAGACATGAAATTTTCCCAACCATACGCAGCATTCAAAATTATACGCGAAACACACTGTGTTGGGACTGTGACGCGACTGTCGAAGGAACACATGTGTCGGGAGAGCGAGAGAGAGACCCTTTTGCCCAATGCAAAAGTGTTTCACACACTGCGTGAACCCGAAAGTGTCACACTCTCGTGTGAGCCCTAAAAACAGACTTACAACTTCTTTGTGTCTCCTCAGAGTTGAGAGGGAATTTGAAGGATTTACCCTGTAATTTCGTGAATTTACGGGGATTCTAGATCACTTACAAATTAGAGATCTCAAAGCCTCTCATTATTTTGCAAGAGAAAAGTGGAGACAAAGGAGGTTTCTTAGCACTGTCTAGACAAAGTATTCTGTGTAATGATATTCACACTTGTACTATTCCATTTTCCAGAACTTCAACTAAATTAGGAATCTATTAAATTCTTGGGAAATTGACGTGGAAATTGTACAGATTAGTTAGATTAGATAATAATCACTTCTTCATGAATTCAGCATCTGTTCAAATCTAGTTTCTAACGAACAATCACGAAATGTGAAATCAATTGTTTCTGTAGAATTTCTTGTCCAGTTCGTCAAACGTTATTAAATCTATACCAAGTCGAAAATGTTATTCATATCAACTCTGGCTCTCTTGGGTGAAATTTTAGATGTTCACGCATGTTCTTGGACTTGAAGAGACATTGCGCGTGCTTGAGGTGCTCTCAAAGTTTCATTCGTAATCGACTTTTGTGTACAGAATTCGTCGCACAGCGGCAAAAAAAGTAAGATTGGACGAATAAACAGTTTTAGCGAATCGATTTAGAGGTGTATTTCAACACTTCCTGGGCTGTTGAGTGTAATCTCACATGACTTTGGCAAATCTCAGTGGTTTATTTACCTTCTTGCCACCCGGAAAATGCTCTTATGTTAAATCCTTTGTCGCGATATGACGTCTGATTTACACTGCATTGTCTTCGCATTGGAGTAGACAAGGAATTGATAACGCGGAGCAATTGATTCTTTTTCTCCCATGCAGAGTACCGAAAAAAAGAACAGTGTTGATATCTTTTTGTGTCTGTCTCTGATGGAGGATGAATGTTGCTTGCATGGACTGTTGGCGGGGTGGGGGAGAAGTTAAGAGAGTCTCAAATGGAGGGTGAGATAACAATATGCAGAGTGAATGTGCTCGGGACCCCTTTTCGGGCTGTCTAATCTCCAGTATCTCCGGCATAGGCGCAGGAACAGATGGTTGAGAGAGCGCCATTGTAGCGAGAATATATGGTTAATTAATTGAAATCGAAAACGCACTTGAGACAATTTGGGTGAAGTGAAAAAGAAGAATATGTAAAGTGTGAGACATACGAGTTGATTATTTCAATTTGGGTTGATGATGATATTAGAAGAGAGTGTGAGAAAAAAATGTGTGTGGGTGAGAAAGTGAAAGATGAGGCACAATTTTCCCTCTAGATATCTCAACTGTGTGTGCAGAGAAAGAGAAACAGACAGATAGAGAGAGAGAGAAGAAGAAGAAAAAGTCTCTGGGGTTGGAAATGTGGTGAGATTTGTGGATGATTTCTATCAAGAGTTGTTAAGAGAAGACGAAGAAATCTATAAGAGTGAAACTGTGTGGTGGTTGAGATATTGGTGTTGGAAGAGTGGAGGGCAAAAGAAAATTGGCTTTGGAATTGTGAAGGAGGAAAGGAAAAATCATTGAGAATGTTGTGACTGAAATTTCCCTGAAGAGATTCACACGCTATATTACTGAATGAGATCAGTCTTCTTTTGGGTGGCTGTCTTCCTTTGTCGGGGGAAAAGAAAAAGGATTCGCCCACTCGTGTGACGCAAGTGAAGAGAAAAATCTCAATTCTGACTCTTTCTCCAGTGATTGTTGCGAAAATCAATTCTTCTGCTACTGAATTTTGAGTGGGAAATAGTCTAATTGTGGCACGATGAGAAGAATGTGTTTGAGGGTGGGTTCGAAGGACACACCTGGCATTCTTCTGCCATGACGCGATGCTGCGAAGGGACTGCGCTTGATGGCCAGGAGAGGAGAGAGACGGTGGAAGAGGAGATAAGTTTTTCTGGGAGGCGAGATGAAGTTTCCAAAGGCACTCTCTCGAATCAATTCAACGCAGAGTGTTGGGTTGGCTGTGAAGTTGGGAAGGCAAAGGCAAGAATTTTTCTGACATAAATATTGAAGCTTTTTTTCTCTCTTCCTTCGTGACTTGAAAAATATTTTCCGCATTCAACACACACACACACACCCGTGAACAGAGGGAAAATATACAGAGATATTCCGTGAGAATTGTAACTGAGCAATTTAGTATGGTGAAAAGTGGAAAATTCTGTTTCTATATTTCTCAACATTTCGAAGGGCTGGTCTTTTCCCATTGTTGGCTGTGAGAATGTGTTTGGAGGGCAGAAAAATATTGATCGTATGGCTAACACAAGAGCCGGAGACTTTTAGGAGAGGCTGAGGTAGGTTAAAGCGAAGCCAAATGCTGAGGGGAGTTCCTTATTCTCTGGCTGTTCTACTCCAGTGCCTTTCGCATTATGTGTGTGTGTGTGCTGAAATTTGAGAAATCTCGATCTAATTGCTCTAATTGGGGACATCGAACTGCGCAAAGTGTTGTGCTTCTGGCCAGGATGATGGAATTTTCAGGTAGAGACGCTGACTGGACGACGACAAAGACACCATGAAATTGTGCATCCTGGCAGTTGATGCACAAAGAGGCATTCTTGTCTTTTGTTGATAACTGTAATCGTGTGTGATTTGTGTGGGTCACTAACATTGAGAGAGAAGACAGCCGACTGAGCGCTTCTTTTCTCGCTCAACTTTGTGGTGATTGGTGAGAAAAGGGAAAAATGAATTTTCATTTTGCAAAGAGATGTGAAACTGAGGAGAGAAAGACATGGAGAAGAGAGGAAAAAATGTATAAAAACAATAACAAAGCGCGGTCGAAAATGAATGAGAATGTAGAGTTGAGAGAGAGAGAAGATGAAAAAGAGTCTGGACTTGCCATGAAGTTTTTAATCTCCCCAAATGAGAATGATGGGCAGAAGATGAGGGAGAGGAAAAAATGCGATGAAATGTAGAATGGGAGCGAGAGAGAGAGAGAGAGATGGGCGAAAAAGTGTGTGAGTGAAGTGAGCAAAGTTGGGTCCCAATTTTAAACTTGTGATTTATATATATTTCACTCAATGGACGCTGATGAAATTCTGTCCGTTTCTGATGTTGTGTGCTGTGAATCTTGATATTTTGAGGCGACACTGTGATTTTTTACAGAGAGAGAGAGAGGAGATGATGTTGAGTGTCAAAGTGCATGAGATTTCTTATGACCTTTTCTTCCTCTCTTCGCATAACAACATATATGGAGAGAGTGAGTGCTGACTAATGCTTTGCGTTTATTTTTGTCATTTTGCAGATTGGAATTCAACAGTTCGTAAAAGGCGCAAAAGACCCCGCAATTTGCGTAGGGCATGTTTGATGGACAGTGGACACCGAAGTGTCGTCTATGGCCGATTCCGTAAGAAATCAATCGCTCTCTGCAGTGACGGAGGGGCATACTGGTGAGTTAGTTGTATGCTGGAAAAATGTGTATTTCGTATGTGTGTTTACTTTTGGCGATAACAATAATATGAGACTTAACATATCTTCTGTCTTCCTCCCATAGCCAATAATTCATCAACAGAGGAACAGAGAAATACCCGCTTGAGACGTCATCGTGCCAACTTGACCAATAGACCACCCTCTCCGGATTGCATAGCGCACAGAACACGTTCGAGACTCCGTGGCTGTGAGGCGTCAGTGAGGGGAGAGAGCAGTGAAGATTACTCACAAGACGAAGAGATTGTGAAGTCTAGCAAGAGATCCAGCGATTGTATCGCACATAGGACGCGATCGAGGACGAATTTCGATCACATTTGGCCAGACAGTGCCCAGGAGTCGTCGTCATCGTCCGGTGGAAAGAAGAGGCGTGTAGAGATTTTGCCCACCATTAGTGAGAACGGTGCGAAGAGTTGTGACAGTCAGGAAGTGCGACGCGCGAAGAGGACACGTGGAGGAGCAACTCTGACGACAGTTGACGAGGACGCCGCTGGTAATTCGTCATCGTCATCATCGTTCTCATTCTCGTCTGTGGACTCTGTGTGCAATTTTGTTGTGTTCGATCCACACAATCAGCAGACATCGACAGTGTCACAGAGTGGTGGATCGAGTGGTGGCAGTGGACACTTTAGTAAGCGTCTCAAGTTGTCTGACACACGAGATCACCATCAGCAACAGCAAAATCCGGAATCGAGTGGCAGCAGCAAAGCCCCGAACCTGGGGGCACGTTTAGCGCGAGGCAGCAGTGGTCGGGAGCCCCAGCATCATCAATCCGAGTCGCAGGTAAGGCCCAAATATTGCCTCTCGCTGATGATTCACTTGGTTCTGTGTGTCTGTGTTATCGACAAAATGGGAGATTTTGCGATAGCGAGACAGTTGAAAAATCAATGATTCATCACAAAATGTGTAGCGAATCTTCCAGGAAGTTGATAAAGTGACACAAAAATTATACCTGAAAAGATGTAAAGTTAGTGGCATGTCTCATTTGAAGAGAGTAACATTGAACGGGGCGAATTGCAACGTAAGCTTGCACAGGTGTAAAAGCGCAGTGTGAATAATATTATTTTGCTGTTCTACAAAGAGTGGAACAAAGAAACTTCTTCCATGGAATACAAAAGCATTTTGTCTCCATATATTTTCTGCACTTAGAGTTAATTAACTTCAAAGTAGAAGTTTATATTTTTCACACAAAAAAAAAACTACGAAGAATGCAATGTTTTGGAGAATGAATTGAGTGGAAAAACAGAAGTTGTCGTGTGATTTTATTATGAGGTCAGAGTGTAAATAAGTTGAAATATTTTCCGGGAAAAGCTTCTTTGAAAGTCAATCTCAGTGGAATTGATGAATGTCAGCCTCCGGCGGATGAGATTTGCGAGGGGGTGGGAAATTGACGCTGACTGTGTGTGAAATCGGTCAACGACCGTTTGCGTGTGGGACGAGGAGAGAATAACGATCAACAACCCCTTAATTCAATTGCATCGTGGCGTATTGAGAGGGTGTGTTGCCAATGGGTAGAAGGAAAAATTCCCCTATTTTCACAAACCGAGGCTTTAGAGCAGAAGAGACACACACACAGAGTGAGAGCGAGTGGAAATTTACATTCACTCTGGGGCTCTGTGAGGGATAAAAAAAAAGAACAGGAGAGGAAGAAGAATGTGTTGTCCATATTTGATTTCCGTGTGGTTTTCATTGTTTTCTAACATTGATTTTTTGGTTGTAATTACAGGGGCACCCACCAAGCCTGCTAAAACGCAGTTCTCGTGGCAAGGGCTCATCGCAAGCAGCAACGACGGGTTCCTGTGTGAGCTCCCATAGTCGTGGCACGGCGGGAGTAACACATCAGCAGAACAACATCGGCAGCGCCTCGACGTCGAAGTACTTGAGTGGTGGAGCAGGTGCTGGTGGTGCTGGGGCATCGTCCACTGTGGTGACAAGTGGCTCATCCGCGCGCCATCATCACTCGCACCATCATCATCACAATTCGGCCGGCCAGGGTGTTTCTGGTGGGCAACAGAGTGCTTTTGACAACCATTCAGGAGCGTCTACGTCACAAGCGATGGCCAGCGAAGGTGGACAGAGGGATGGGAATCCCACGGTGAAGTTGCACAAGAGTAGTCTCATGTCGACGTCATCGAGCGCCTCGGGGGCGTCAGGGAGTGGACTGACAGATACCACAAATATGCATTTGCTCACGCAGCCCACAACAAGCAGTGCCAGTTCATCGAGTGCCGCCAATACGAGTGCCACGAGTGGCCAAATGCCACCGCATCCCGATTCAGAGAGTGACGACAGCGAGGTGGGTCGTCTTCAGGCCCTGCTGGAGGCCCGCGGAGTGCCGCCGCACTTATTTGGAGCACTGGGTCCGAGGATGCATCATCTACTCCATCGATCAATGGGGGCGAATAGTTCGTCGAAGGCGCAGCAATTGCTGCAAGGCTTGCAGTCGCAGGATGAGAGCCAACAGCTGCAGGCGGCCATTGAGATGTGTCAAATGCTGGTGATGGGCAATGAGGACACTTTGGCGGGCTTCCCCATCAAGCAAGTGGTTCCCGCCTTGATCACACTGCTCAGGATGGAGCACAACTTTGACATCATGAACAATGCCTGCCGTGCACTGGCCTACATGCTGGAGGCGCTGCCCAGATCCTCAGCCACCGTCGTGGATGCGATTCCAGTGTTTCTGGAGAAGCTCCAAGTGATTCAGTGCATGGATGTGGCGGAGCAGAGTCTCACGGCGCTGGAGATTCTCTCGAGGAGACACAACAAGTCTATTCTGCAGGCGAGCGGAGTGGCGGCGTGCCTAACATATCTCGATTTCTTCTCCATCAATGCTCAACGTGCCGCTCTGGCCATAACTGCAAATTGCTGTCTGAATCTTCACACAGAGGAATTTCACTTTGTTAGTGATTCCTTGCCGTTACTGGCGCGCTTGCTGGCGCAGCAGGACAAGAAGTGCGTGGAGAGTGTGTGCAGTGTGTTTTACAGATTGGTGGATAGTTTCCAGCATGATTCGGCGAAGCTGCAAGAGATCGCCAGCATGGAGTTGCTGAAGAATTGCCAGCAATTGCTGGTGGTGACACCGCCAGTGCTCAATTCGGGCACCTTTACAAATGTCGTGCGGATGTTGAGTGTCATGTGTGCCAATTGTCCAGATCTCGCCATAACACTGCTCAAGCATGACATTGCTTCAACACTTCTCTACCTTCTGACGGGCAGTGTCGATCCGATTTCCGCCGGAGAGGTGGAACTCGTGGCCAGAAGTCCGTCTGAACTGTATGAGATTACGTGTTTGATTGGAGAACTGATGCCTCGTCTGCCCACGGATGGTATCTTCGCTGTGGATATCTTCCTTGAGCGCTCAACTGGAGGGAATCAGGATCAGATTCAGTGGCAATGGCGTGATGATCGAGGTGTGTGGCACAGTTACTCAGCCATCGATTCGCGAATGATTGAGGCGGCTCATCTCAACAGTGATGATGAGATTAGCCTCAGTGCCCTCGGCAGGACCTACACAATTGACTTCCACTCGATGCAGCAGATCAACGAGGACACTGGCACCACGAGGCCGGTGCAGAGGAAAATCAACCAGACGAGCAATGAACACTTGACGGCCGTGTCACACGATATTCAGACGAATGCGAGCGATTTGGTGGGCTTCACGGGAACAATGAATCTCGCCATGAGGCCACCGAGTGCCTATCGTGATGCCCGGATAGCGTGTCTGAAGGAGGAGCGCGGCCTGGCGGCGGAATTTGTGAAGAATCTCTTCTCTGTGCTGTACGAAGTGTACAGTTCATCCGCCGGACCGGCAGTGCGATATAAGTGCTTGCGCGCTCTTCTCAGGATGGTGTTTTTCGCGAATGCGGACTTGCTGAAGGATGTGCTGAAGAATCAGATTGTCTCGTCACACATTGCCGGCATGATGGCGTCGAATGACTTGAGGATTGTCGTGGGCGCCCTTCAGATGGCCGAGATACTCATGCAGAAGCTCCCCGAGGTGTTTGGCGTACACTTTCGCCGTGAAGGTGTCATGCACCAAATCCACCAATTGGCCGATCCGACCATTCCCATCTGCGCCAATCCGTCACCAAAGCTCATAACAAATCCCGGCAGTGTGAGTGCGCCGGCGAGTGCTAGTGGACTTCACAATAATGCTTTTGACTTTGAGGCGTCGACGTCAAAGATTGCCAACAACACGCAGCATGTGAAGAATTTGAGTGGGACGATGATCATCACGCCGAAGATGAGCATCTCCATGCCATCGACGAGTGGCACGGCTGTGGGACAGGCAGTGAGTCTGCCTGGCACGAGCAATCACATGTCAATGTCCAGCGGAAGTGGCTCAAGTGGTGGTCGGGCAGCGTCTTCAAGTCTCATGTCGACCAGTCTTCAGTTGGACTGTCACACAGTCTCAGGAATGTCCACATCGGCGGTGTCTCCGCACAATGGCAGTCTTCTGTTCACGTCCATTTACAACAGCAGCACTCCGATTCCCATGAGCACGGACTCCAGCTCCGCCAGCAACACGTCCATTCAGCATGTGTCGCAGAATCACAGTGAATTGCTCAATCTCACCGACTCGGGCATTGTGGATCGCAGTCAGACGCAGACGCCTGGAGTGCAGTCCAAAATGACGGACATACTCAAGCGGAAAGTGCCACCGAAGCGAAAACCTCAGGGAGGAAGTCGCTCGTCGAAGTCTCGTCAGGATGACACAACATCCACTTCGGCTCCGGCCGCTGTGACGCAATCATCGGTGATGCAGGAGCTCTTCAACAAGGCCACAACTCTTGGATCGAGTGGACGCAACACGCCATCGAGCTCCTCGTCGTCCAGATCAAGATTCGGCGGATCTTCCAAGACCACCTCATTTTTGGCGTCACTCAATCCGGCTCGCTGGGGACGCCAGACGAGCCATGGATCCTTCACCAAAGACTCCAGCTCTTCTAGCACGCTCAGCAAGAGTCCGTCAAACTCCAACTTGATTGCAGCGGGCAATCGTGAGAAGGCCAGGCAGTGGATTCGCGAGCAGGCCATCTCATTTGTGCAGAGATACGCCGAACAGGAGGCTTCTGGCTCCATTCACTCGGCCTCAATGGTGCTGGCGCGTCTTTCAGGTGAGTTTAGGGATGTGACATCGATTTGACAGAATGCTGAAAGGCTGTATCTTATCTTGCAGATGTGATTGTGAAGCTGAACGGAAATGCTGGAGAGTGCATTGAGGCACTGCATGAGCTTCAGAGGATCCTCATTGAGAGTGACATTTCGCCATTTGAAGTGAACTACTCGGGTTTGATAAAGGCCATGCTCAATTTCATGGCGGCCGATCAGGGAATTGTGTCCAGAGACGATAGACTGAGAGCATTCCTGCACGTATTTGCTGGTTTGCCACTTGATCCTGGGTGAGTTCTTATCATTTCAATTGCATCTTTTGGCGGATTTCTAATGATGTCTCTTCTTCATTGTCTTTGTAGATTCTGTGGTCCACTTGCCACAATCAATCCAGTGTCATTTAGTGCTTTCGTAGCTAAATTGAATGGTTGTGTCACACAACTGGAGCAATTTCCGGTGAAAGTGCACGATTTTCCGGCTGGAGTTGGAGGGAGATCAAACACAAGTGCCCTTAAGTTCTTCAACACACATCAGCTAAAGGTGAGATTGAGGATTGTTGAGAGACATTCAGAGAGTTTTGGGTGTTAATGTGTGAAATGTCTTTGCAGTGCAATCTTCAGAGGCATCCGGACTGCACGAATTTGCGCCAATGGAAGGGCGGCACGGTGAAGATTGATCCACTGGCACTTGTGCAGGCCATCGAGAGGTATTTAGTGGTGCGTGGCTATGGTGGAATTCGTGTGGATTCAGAGGAGGATTCTGAGGAGGACATTGATGACAATGTGGCAGCGGTTGTGATGTCTCAGGGTGGCTTTAAGCATAAACTTCAGTTTCTCATCGGCGAACACGTTCTGCCCTACAACATGACCGTGTATCAAGCGGTGAAGCAGTTCTCGCCGCTTGTGAATGATCAGTCAGAGACTGACACGGATACAGAGACGCCAATTGGGAATGCGAGTATTTGGGTGCAGCAGCACACAATCTACTATCGTCCGATGGAGGATGATCCGGCGGTGGGCAGCAACAAGAGTGGCAGCAGTGGCAGTTCGAAGAAGAGTGGCAAGAGTTCGGCTGCAAAATTGAGCAGGAAGAAGACGGAATTCTGGACAGAGGGAACTGTACCCATGATCTCATCGCCTCTCACGGCATTCCTCGTGACATCGCTGCCGGCGGACGTGGTGACGGTGCAGGACGCCTCACTGGACGCTCTGTGCATGCTTCGGATCGTGAATGCGCTGAATCGTCACTGGACACATTTGTACAGTGGCGTTGTGCATATGAATATCATTCCACAGTCAGAGTTTGTGCATTCGAAGATCACGGCCAAGGCGAATCGTCAGCTGCAGGATCCCCTTGTGATAATGACGGGCAATTTGCCACAGTGGCTTCAGCAGATCGCCATGGTGTGTCCATATTTGTTCCCCTTCGAGACCCGCCATCTGCTCTTCTACGCTGTGTCATTTGATCGTGATCGTGCTCTTCAGCGTCTCCTGGACACGACGCCGGATCTCAACACTGGAGACACTTCTGAGCGTGTGACACCGCGACTGGATCGTCGAAAGCGCGCCATTGCGCGTGAGGACATTCTGAAGCAGGCGGAGATGATCATTCAGGACTTTGGCCACTCGAAAGCCCTGCTGGAGATTCAGTATGAGAACGAAGTGGGCACGGGTCTTGGACCCACACTGGAGTTCTATGCTCTGGTATCGACAGAGTTGCAGCGCTGTGATTTGAGCCTGTGGAATGGCAGTGATAGCTACAAGCAGCAATCGTCAACCATTGCGGATGTTGTGAAGTCTGGACTGAATCAGATTGAGGATGAGTCTTCACAGTTGAGCAGCAGTGGCGTGGCGGCGGTGATCAGCAGCGAGGGCAGTCTGAATATGCTGATTGAGCAGTCAGATCAGATGCTGGGCGATACAGAGCCCTCGTCTCATGGCCATCATCAGAGTGGAACTGGCGAGGAGAATCGCATGGGATCGCCATTGCCGCACTCGCCGGCTGTGACATACGTCAATGCTCCGTACGGACTGTTTCCTATTCCGCTCGGCAAGACGGCGAAGCAGCAGCAGATCAACCGCGTGAAGGGAAAATTCCGCTTCCTCGGGAAGTTTATGGCCAAAGCTGTCATGGACAGTAGAATGGTGAGTTTAATTTGTGTCTCTGTACTGTTGCATGGATAATAATTTGTTGTCTCTGCACTTGCAGTTGGATCTTCCGTTCTCCATTCCCTTCTATCGATGGCTTCTGGGTGAGGAGAATGCTCTGAATCTGCAGGATTTGGCTCAAATAGCGCCAGAAGTACAGACAACTCTGGTGCGTCTCCAGGAGATTGTCCGACAGAGAGATTTACTCCTTCAATCGACCTCTCTCGATGCCATGGAGAAGACTGAAAAGGTGAGATAATTAAGCTTTCTCGTTAAATGGGGGCGAAAATTCCGGGAAATCCCATTCAATCCGCACACTGAATGTGTGTGTATGTATTTTAAGATACAGAATCCGAAGAATGTTTTTCATTCTAATAATAATCCACATTGTGAGTGGATTTTCCGAACAAATTGATTTTCTCTTATGTGTTTTTTTGCTCCTCGGCAAACATTGCAATTAAATGCATTGCCTTAATTGTGTTTTCTGAGCAATTTCTTTTCTAATGAGGAGCTTTTTTACGAGTCATTTGGAGAAGTGGAAGCACTTAATTGGACTTTTCATTTTGTTTCACTGTATAAATTGAATTTAATGGCTTTTCTTTTGCCAACAGATTGAAATTTTGGACCTTGATGGTTGTCCAATTGCTGATCTTGGACTGGATTTTGTGCTGCCAGGCTATGCAAATATCGAACTTCGTCGCGGCGGACGAGATATTCCCGTGACAATTCACAATCTCCATCAGTACATCGCTCTCGTGTCGTTCTGGTTCCAAGTTGAGGGTGTCCAGAGGCAGTTTGAGGCACTCAGAGAAGGTGAGTTCCATCAGAGTTAATTGCAAGTTCATTAGACACAAACGAGTCTCTTTCACCCTAGGATTCGACAGCGTCTTCCCGTCGCACCGCCTGCGGATGTTCTATCCGGAGGAGCTGGAGAATGTGTTCTGTGGCTCTGGCGCGGCTCAGGGTGTGCTGAAGTGGGACGTGCGAATGCTGCAAGAGAGCTGCCGCACGGATCATGGCTTCACGCAGGATTCGAAGGCAATTCAGTACTTCTATGAGATTCTCAATTCGTACGGACGCGAAGAGCAGCGACTGTTTCTGCAGTTTGTCACGGGCAGTCCACGGCTGCCCACGGGCGGCTTCAAGGCGCTCACGCCGGCGCTGACGATCGTGCGAAAGACGCTGGATAGCAACCAGAATCCGGATGACTACCTGCCGTCCGTGATGACGTGCGTGAACTACCTCAAGTTGCCGGATTACAGCAGTCGCGATGTGATGCGGAGCAAACTGCGGACGGCGGCCAGCGAGGGAAGCATGTCGTTCCATCTGTCCTAAACAGAGAGAGAGAGAGAGTGAGAAAGGGAGTAAGAGAGAGTGCGGAAAGGAAGGGAAAATATTCTAGTCCGACAATTCTCATTTGTGGTTAATCCTCTACTTATGATAAGTTTTCGCCTTCGGACACAAAAAGCGCGTGAGTGAAAATTCCCAAATCTATACGATTGATGACCTTGCATTGCTCAGAATTCAAGTGTGCAATTTTCTTTTGACTGTATTTTTGGCATTAAATAACCATTTAATTGATTTCCGAGTCAAAATGCAGTGAAAGAGAGAGAAAAGACACGAATGTTAGGATAATACCTATACATATAGGGAAAGAGAAGAAGAAGAGAAATCAGAGGTGTAAAAGAGCCAAAATAAATTCTAATAAGTGAAACGGAGAGAGGAGAAAAAGGAACGTGATGAGGAATAATTCAATTTACACGCAGATGTAATAGTGACTAAAGGGAAATGTTTTGATGAAATAATGATGATGTGAGGGAGAATTTTGTGATTTTATATAAAATACTAAGTAATAATTAATAATGGAGATATAAAGAGAAATGCAGATGTAGGAGTGAAAGAAATTAGTCGATTATGTTTTACCTCTATTTTTCCGATTTTAAGTCAAGTTCAGCATCCATTTGTCGATCTTTACTTTCACATGTTTTTTTTTTTAATTAATCATGTCCCTTGTACAAAATATTAATGAATATATAAAGTATAATGTGTAATGAGAAGAGGAAGAATTACTGTGTCCCAAGATGTAGTGTTTAAGGAAAGGAAAGGAAGGAATCATCTGAGAAAATCCCACCACGATTGATTGATTTTCTCGGATGGGAACAATACACAAAAAAAAAACAACATTGAAGAAATAAATTCGAGCTTTGATCTCGTTTTACTAATCTAAATCTACGTAAATATTACATTATAAAAATCATGGATTATATCAAAATTTCAATATCCAAGGAAAAGAAAACTATTTGAAACATTATTTCACGAATAAACATTTTGTTTAATCAGCCTGGAGTGTTGTTACTGGGTCCTGATGGGGGCGTACGGATTTAGAAAATCATGGAGAGCCAGGCCAGGATGAGACAGGAGCCGCCAATGGGCGCTAACTTCTTGAGGCGCTGACTGCCGGTCAGGGAACGATAGTACAGAGTGCCGCAGAAGAGACTCATGCCGGTGAGGAAGAGCGATGCAGTCTGAAAGAGAGCAGGAATTAGTCTGTATATCGTGGCTTTGGGCGGAAGGGAGTCTCACCAAAACGGGACGCCGGACAATGGGAATGGACATGAGGGCGAGAGTGTGCATCAGGTGGTAGCGATTCGCCGTGTCGAAGGCTTTCCTCTGGGCTTCGGCCTCCTTCTCGTCATAAGCTTCCCAGTTCCGGTGAGCTCCATAGGCACCCAGGACGACCGCTGAAGCTCCACTGAGGCCGGCTAATCGCACTATGTACAGATTCTTGCCGGCCAGCTTCCACAGAGGACTCACGGACGACATCTGTGTGGCCACCGATTGCATCTGCGTGATCTTGGGCTTCAATCCCTTCAAGGAGAAGCAGAACAGTTAGAGTGTCCCGCAGAGAAGTCCCAGAAGCGGGCAGGGGAAGTCTACTAACCACACTTTTAGCCACCGCATCCAAACCTGACCAAACTCCCTTGCTCACGGGATTGGTCACAAAAACATAATTGAGGGCATCCATTAGAAGCTACCTGAGCTGATTACCTGTCGACTGGGCAGAGAAGTATCCGTGATCAGTGCGATATCCACCAGGAAAAAATCAGCCAGTCACTTGAACGGGATTTGACCAAGATTTGACAGATTTCCGGATAACAAAACATAGAATCCCGCTCTTTTTCTATTTTATTCATAAATTAAACATAGACACTTTTTGCGTCGAACGGAATGTGTGTGGAGGACTTCCGGCACTACACAAGCAGACTTTGGGGCTTCAGGCCAAGCTTTTGAATCACATATTCGGGCATGCACAGAGTGGGATTGACCTTCTTCAGCTGGTCACTGCCCAGGAGCGACAGAGCGCCCAAACCGAAGAGCGTGTGAAAGATGTCCGGAAGATTGCCAGTGCGGTCACTGAAGCCTCCGGTCTCATTGTCCTGGCAAGAGAGGATGAACTGCTCCAGCTTCTCGGCACTGATCCAGTGGAGACGTCCTATGATGGACAGGGAGGCGAGGACCCACCACGAATAGCAGACGTCAGGCAGCTTCTCGGGGCGTCCATTGAGGCCTCCGCTTGGAAGTTGTCTCTCACAGAGCCACCAAGCCACCTTGTCGCACTCCAGCCGGTGCAGTTGATTGGTGATGGAGAGAAAGCCCACGCAACAGTACATCAGCCCAGCGTGACTCTCGGCATTGGGCTTGGAGCCAAAACCACCGTCTGGATTGCAGCAAGACATCACGAAATCCACAGCTTTGGGAAGATCAATCACGTCCAGCTTGTGCTGCATATGTAAATTGGGAATTAATAAAATCAGACCATACATTCTCCTCCGGACAGGAAATGGGAATACACACCAAGAGGGCGAGAGTGGCCACTGCGCAGAAGGAGAATCTCGTGTCGACTTCTCCCCATTTGTCACCGAAGAAACTCCCGTCCGGCTGTTGGAGGCTCTGCACATACTTCACCACGGCCTCCGTGTCAATCTCGTGGAGGCAATCGTAGATGCAGAGGATCTGCACAGCACTCAGCGTGTAGAGAATGTGCGGATCGTGTCCATCGCAGGCAGCAATTCCGCCCGTCACTGGACATTGGCACTTCCTCACAAACTCCACCACGGTGTCCCTGTCGATCTTGTCCAACTCTCCCATGAGGTCCAGTGCAGTGACGCCCCAATAGATGCCGGACATCCTGAGGAACTCCGTCATGTGATACTCATACTCGCTCTTGTCCTTGCCGTAGTTGGAAATGTACTCGACGTGCTTATCGAAGAGGAGGCTTCTGGTGTCCGGAGAGAGTTTCACGTCATTCACAACAAACGTCTGCAAAGCAGGAAGCCACATTTCAGTGATCATTCAGCTCTCAATTGGCTGTTTCTTACCATTTTCCAGGATTCTCCTCCTCTTTGTTGACTCAAAATCCCTGACTCACCTAACCGCACTGTCTCAACTTCAGCTGTCAGCGGCAGATGGCACTTGCGGCGGCATTGTCTGGATTCCGGTGTCAGCGGAATTTACTCCTTCTCTCCAGGAATCTAGCAGGAAGTAAGCACTGATTGCCCTATTTCTGCAATAATCCCAGTTTTACAGCAAACAATTTGGTCAAATATCACTTAGCATCATCTTATTATTCAATCGGCCTTGTGAAATCGTCGAGTATGGAAAAGCACACGGATTCCTGACTTTCCTGGAAAATTCCTTACATTTTACTCTATTTTTCTCTTCAGCTGTAACTCGAGGGTTGACAAGGATGGTGGACGCGAAGCTTGATGCTGTGGAAACTGTGCGAATCGACGAGGGCAGATTCAAGTATATCCTCATCAAGGTGTATGGCAAGGAGCAAGCGGATGGAACTGAGCCTAGCAAGCTGATCGTTAGAGGATTCCAGAGATCTCCCTATCACTGTGAGTCCCTCTTCTCTATTCTTGCATCCAGAATTCCCTTAGAGGAACGAAGTTTACGGAAATTTACCAATTTTTACCAACCCACGACTTTCCGAAAAGAATCTACTGTTTGAAAATTTGAATATCTAAGTATCAGTTCAACGAACGTTCGAAAATTTTGATTATTTTTCTTATCATATCTTTAGGATGATTGAATAATTGAAATAATGCGTCATATGGGGAAGCATTGCCAATGCCAGTATAGCTGTGTAGAGATAGAGATTCTCAGAAAGTCATTAACACTAATATTGCATTAGTTTGATTGATAAGGAACATGCTTTGCTAATATGAATTCCCTTTATGATATAACATACGAACAATCATTATTATCATGTATTCTTAATTAGACTAATTCAGTACCTTGCAATCAACGGAACATGCTGATTGGATGGTCTTCTCTGATTTGTGATTATATGTGCATATAATCCCTCCTCTGTGTTCCATTCGTATGCGGGCAGAGGCAGAAAGGACAGACTTTGGCACATTAAAGGACAAGATAATCTTTTGGCTATACGTTTAAAATGCTCTTTATGAACGCACAAGTCTATACAATAGGGTTCTTATTAGTCTCTATACTGCTCGATTGATGCACTTGGGCTTCGGTAACACTAACAACAGCACCAATTTCCTCTGATTCGGATGTCTTTTTGCTGCTGCACCCCGGAATGGCGCCCGCTGAGTTCCTCCTCTGGAGGGCGGGTTCGCTGATCTGCTCAAAGTCCTCCTCCATGATGCTGGAGTAATGCTTCTTGGTGGTCTTGTCGTCGTCTGGGTCACTGTCGGCGTAGCCGAGCGTGAAGGGCAGTTTGAGAGACAACTCTCCGCCCATGCCGCTCAGCGCCAGCTTCACCTTCACGTAGTAAGACACATAGATGGCGAAGACGTTGCGCTCCTCTGGCGTCTGGTGCTGCGCGCGCGGGGCGCTGGAGGCGATCTCCTGCTGGATGGTGCTCTCGCCGGCCGCCGGGATGACTGTGTACTGCCCGTTGCGGTTGCCCATGTTGCTGCCGAAGCTGCCCGCCTGCAGGGAGCTCTCCACAGCCAGCCAGTTCTTCGTGGGACCGCGCATGGGGATGAGATGGAAGGTCTTGTGGTAAGTCTCACCCGGCGCTATCTGATCCGATATGCTGCAATCGGCCACGACGTTCTTGAATTTCCCATTGCTGAACATGCACACGTCAACGTGCTGCACGACAAAGACCTGCAGAGAGGGATGAGGTGGAAGATTAGGTCGATATGGGAGGAAATTTGATGCTGAGAGTGTGGAAATTCAGGAAATTCTACAGTGATTCTGCAGTGAAGTGTGTCTTCTTGAAGTGCAGTTTGCACATCTCAGAGACACATTTTCCAAGTCTGTGGAAAGTCAATTGTGTGTTCAATTTACCCGAATCTTCCGGACAATCTTGCGACTCTCATTGTGAACATCCACAGTTGCTGAAACTTGTTCGCCATGCCGATAAACAGATTTATTGAGTGCCGCTTTGAGACTCACTCGTCCTTCTGCCCACAAAAATGGTTTGTCAACTGCACCGTGCGGTCCCTGGAAGGCGAATGCGAATAAAAGACGAAAGACACTTGAGATATATTGCTCGGGAGGAGGAAATTGAGTTCAGGGTGTGAGGATAGACATTCAATGTGAGACATGTAAATCCACTTGCTTCCACTGTGTATATAATTCCAGGATCCATTGAGAGTCTGTCTCACTTTTCTGCTGTGCTGTGAAGTTTTAATTAAAATGAATAATGTATACACTCCAGCCACCCGCAGACACGTGAATGTCTTACATTTGGTGGCTGTGAGAAGCCCAACCAGCGAAATGCAACAATAACACCATTTAAACGGGAAAACAACACCTCTCACACTCGATTTCGAGGTGATGGGTAAGAATTTGTTATGGAAATGATTGACCCAAGCCTTAAAGGGAGTCGTTCGGTTTTTTTTTTCGGTGGAGTAAACAGGAAATTTATTCATTAAGGCAATGAGAGTGAATTTGCTCATCATATCAAGTGTTTCACAGATAATGGGATCAAGTGAGGATCATCACATTAAAGCGATGCTGCTGGTTTGCAAAGAGAAAAATCACCCTTTTCCATGAGCTGAATTTGCCTATCGTTCGCCTTCATCATGATTCGCTTTTTTTTCTCTCTCCTTTCCTTGCTCTTCTCTACACTAAATAACATTTTGCCGCACTAACAGGAAAATTTGTTTAGTAATTCTGCGTCGCTTCCACGTGGAACGAATAGATGTGGAGCAACTTTGGCGCGGTTGAAGGGAGAAAAAGGTGGAACAAATGCGAGGAACCTTTTCAGTGTGGCAAGGATTGCGGGCCGACGGAGGAGGCGAGATTTAAAGTACAAATTGGATTTTTCCTCGTGGGTTGTTTATTATGAAAACACTGACGGATTATTGCGTGCGGTTCTCCTCATATTGAAGGTGTTTTTATGATCTCCCCTTTCGTCCATATCGACCTATTTGGCGTTGATGTGGAATTTAATGCAACGATAAAAGTTAAAATGATGCACACACGTGGGACTTAGTCCGTTCTTGGCCCGGTGATTCATTTTAATTTTCATCCGTGTTCGTGGCAAGGCTAATCCTTGGGATTTCTTAATTATTTTCTGATTGCTTCCTTCAGTTACATTTCACGGCTTTCACGGCATATTTTTAGGTTGAAATTTCTCAGATTTCCATTTTCGTGGGGATGAAATGGTGGGATTTGCAGAGGAAATCTCTTAACCGCAAAATGGTATCCCGGTGAGTCCCTTTTCTCTGGTCTCCACTTTTGCAAACTGCCGAATTATACTTATTGTGTAAACATCAAACACGCTTCGGGATTTATTTTTATATACATATATTTTCTAAACTCCCACGAAGATTTTCCCTCTTTCCTCATTTTCTTTCCATTTCTCGGGTAAGATGAAACTCTGTTCAAACAAGTCCTAGATTTTTTTTTTGTACTGATAGTCAAAGTAAAAAGCACACAAAGTGTGAGGAAAATATGTGATATTTTGAACCAAAATCACTTTTGATTACCATAATGAAAAGTGTGTTTGATATAATTATGTTTCCACTAAATATATCTTGACATATTACATTACATATTTGCACAATCATTACTATTCGGTTTGACTTTATCAATGTTTAATGTAGTGATTTTCAATTTGGTTGCCAATAAATTATTGATGTCGATGCTATGCTAGAAATAGCTCAAAAAGCCATATATGTGATATTGAAAAAGCTTTAAATAGAAATTTCAGCTTCAATTGCAAATATAATTGCTCCAAAAGACCTGGAAAATTGAAAGGCTTTCCTCGCGGTTGAGTATATAAAAGTTCAACGTTATAAATGCAAACGAGCTGAACTTTTAAGTGGGCAGATCTATTTTCGGTCTGTAGAGAATATCGTTTGTACTTATAATTCATAGATTTGGCGACGAGTGGGAGAAAATATGGGACTTATTTGTACGTTTATTTTCGGTAAAACTTCTCTCGCTGATGAAGTATTTATTTAAACAGAAACAATAAACGTTCTGAAAGAGCTGCAGTGTTCCATGAATTCCATAGAGAGTAGAAAAGAGTTCACGGTGTGTACACAAAACATCCATTTAAAACAGTCTTTTCAAAACGTAGATCCTTCAGAAATGTAGTACCTCGTATTTTTGCTCCACTGTGGCGAAAATAATGTTTTGAAAGCTCTACATTTTCATTTAACCTGAAAAATTCTTCATACACTAGAAGTTTCGATAAATTCTAGGAATGCATGAGAGATTCTCAGAACGTGAATGTGTAGTTTGAGAGTTTTCTTAAGAAAGAAGTTGTTACTTTTGTGAGGTGAAATTCGTAAAAATAAAGTTTGAGTTGGTTTATTAAAGTGTAAAGTGGGAGCTTCAACATAAAGATTGAATGTATAGTGGAATTTTTCAATGATTTATCCTTCCCTTTCTATGAGATGGCGAGAGGTTCTTGTCAGCACGAGATTCTCCCCTTTGAACTTTGAAAGTAAATTATAATTTTTCCCTCTCTTGGACTCCTTTTGCTCATCTCTTCGCCATCGTGAATGGGGATTGTTGAGGAAGTCACAATTGAACTCATCGTCGTCAAATGCTCACAGTGAAGGTCGTCAATTGAAAAAGGGAAAATCAAATGACGAAGTCTAGAATTATGAGATTTGGGGAAGAGGGGGAATGTGTGTGTGTGTGTGTATTGCAAAGAAGGGAATCTCTTACAGCGATTTCTTGCTCCGCTGTGACATTTACGTATGGCACAAAGTGGCAATCATTGACCCTGAGAAATGGAGCGGAATACCAAAGAGACATTCAACATTTTTGTATGCTCCCACACGAGGCGGAGGGATGAGAATCCCATGAAAATCATCTCCCGTGTCATATCTATTTTTGCAGTATACAAACGATGAGATAGAGAGAGAAAAGCAGGAGTTTTCATATTGAGATGAACAAATCTCTGGGTGGCTTTTTTTGCACTCGTGCGGAGTGTGAGAGCTTCAAAAGCTCACTGTCCTTCTATGTATCTTTTCAAATTCACCCCTTCCCATCTTTTTTCCTTGTATTTTCCTTCTCTATTCGCCCTCGAGGCGAAATAATACCAAATCACTTCGTCGTGTCCCTCCAAAAATAGACAGATATACAAGTGCACGAGCAGAGAAATTCAATGAGCATCAGAAGACGCGCCTCGTGGCGTCGAGGGCGAATTTTCATGAGATTGTAAATGAAAATATTGCTGCTGGGATGGTGTGAGGGAGTAAATCTCTTAATTTGAGATGAATTCTGAGATTTAATTAAGCCCACTGCTCACCATCCCTTCCTAATTTAACTTTTTAATTTGAAATCCAACAATGTTCTCACACTGGCCCCACCAACTACTCGCCCAGTGGCGGTGTTGGTGCCTTTTGGCCGTATGAAAATCAACAAATTACTGATTTGCTGCATGGCGGTGACATTGAGGACCTTTTCGCGATGTGCGATGAGGCGACAATTGTGTGGGTGAAATGCGAAAATTCCTACTTGTGGGAATTCGCATTGTGCGACTTTTCTGCTAAATGTGCCTCATTGTTAACTTCCCACTAATCATTTGGCTTCGGTGACGTTTTGAGGGTGGATTACAATTGCGAGGGGATGAAAAATTTACAATATACGAGGTATAAATTGCAAAAGTCACATTGGTGGAAAATTCTGGGAAGGCGCGCACAAGACGAATGGACTTGAAAGTTGTGCACGAGAGTCTCTTCTCTTTGGGCAATGGCTTCTCATGTTTCTCAGAATCCACTTTTGCTCGTATAATTCGCGAATTACAGTTTCGTGGTGTCACAAGAACACTTGTCTTGTTGACATTGAGATCTTCTCGAGGGGAAAGTCCTTGATTTTGTGAAAAATTTTCTGGTGAGCGCAGCAAAATGGCAGAATACACAGCACTCTCTATTGTTTCCTTTGTGGCTGAAGAATGGCGTCGACTGGATACAAGAGAAAATTGCAATTTATTGACAGACTTATCGAGAGGAGACATACTTTCAAGGATGTGCAAAAATAATTATGAGAAAATCGAGAGTTCCTCATTAGCAAATTCTTAATCAATTCCACCTTTCAATTAGTACTTGAAATAATTTATAAGATATCCTTTTAGCATCTCCACTAATGAGAAAAGATTTGAGCTGAAAGTTGTGCTAATATAAAGTGTATTCCTGGGAAATGCACATGAAGTTTCACGAGCAAAGTTCTCTTCTTTTCATTAAATGTATACGGGTAAAATATCATGAGTGCAAATAAGAAAGTTACAGTGCAGAAATTCTTTGATGAATCGCTTGAATGTGCAAATTTACCGAGAGGGAAATTCCAATTCGACAGCATTCGGAGATTGCTTAGCCGTCCCTTCTTCGCTAGGTTATCTTGTGGGTGTGAGATAATTTATAGATAGTTGAATAGTCTCATAATGGCCTGACTATTTGTCTCAATTAACTCCCTGGTGGGTGAACCGCACATCACTGACTCAGGCTGGCTGACTGGCTGGAAACCCTTTCGTTTTCAACAGGATGACTCTAGTTTGCTGAGGATTTTTGCTCAATGTTGCGCGAATGGGGTCAAAAGGTGAATCCTCGAGGGATTATCAGAACAAATTCTACTTGAGGATTGTTTATGGTTGGGAGATTTTGGGGGAATTTACACAAGTTCTGTGAAACACAACATGATACAAGTTATGAATTATAGAGATGCGATATCTTGTCCGTCACGTTTCAAATTAAGCTTAGCAGTTTCTTCAATTAATTTCCAGAGCGGATTGGAATCAATGTCGATATTTGCTCTGGAATCACCCTGTTTGTTTTTTGGGAGGAAACTCGGTACATTTATCAGTTTGTGAGAGATTTCCCGGGGAAATTGCTGGACTGAGAGGAGGTGGAGGGGGGGGGGGGGGCATATCTATCTCCCGTCGAGGGTCGCTGTGAGAGGAAGTAGGAAGTATAAGTGAGGAATATGAAACCAACCAAAACCGTCAATCAGATCAATCCATTTGTGGTGAAAATTTTCTCCTCATTCCCACACAGAAACAATTTATTTATGTTGCTCCTCGCCAACCTGAGTGTGGGGGTGGAGGTGATGCGAAAAGTTTGCGCAAGAAAGGATGGTTTGTCACAAGGGTGAAACTTTGTTTAATGGATTACATGGGGATTAGTAATTGGTTCAATTTCGCCTGAATGTAAAATTCAAGGTGTCTCTCAACTCACCTCAATGCCCGTCCATTGATCCCCGGTGCAGGGTTCGGTGTCGGTGGAGTCCTGACGTGATTTGAATGCCTTCTGACTGAGTCGAAGCCGGAGGCAGCGCGGCAGGGAGGCCTTCGAGGGTGTGGTGCACACAGACGGTGGCTGGTGGCACTTTGCATCCTCCGAGACGCGATGGATCAGTCGGACGCCCATCCGCACAGACGAGCGCCTCTTCACGCTCTCGTCCACGTGGGGGTCCGCGATGAAGACGCGGACATCGTAGTGCGTGCCAATTGGGGCGCCGGTATACCTCTTGGCGGGAATTAATTGAACACTGGGTGGAGCGATTCCCACCTCCAACGTGAAGGGATGGGCGCCAGCGCCGAGGCGCTCCACGAGGGCCTCCTGGTTGATTAATGAAAATCAATTACATTTGATTTTAATCTTCAAAGGACAAATTTCCTCAGTGGATTTGGCAAACACAAGGAAGAAGGCATGTTATTTGATAGCTTTCAATTCACTTGCTTCATTCTTCAACACCGCAGAGATTGCGAGTTGGAAACACAACTTATTCATAGCGTTTAACCGTGTTTGCCATGTCTTGTGTTTATCCCCAAAATTCCAGCTCATAAATAAAATATAAGCTGTGTGGATACGAATCTGTGAGTATATCTTAAGGAGATATGATTAAACATCACATCTTCTCTTTGTCATTGACTGTAAAAGTCAATGTCGTGATATCGAATAACGGGAGTATTACTAAATGTATACAAACTATTTGAATATTAACCACTTTACCCATTATTCATCCAATAATGAGAAGATGTTCAGGCCATTGAAAGACAGAATGTAATTCCTGTTTTGAACTTTCGGAATTCATACAACTGCTATAATGTTTAGAATTTGATTTTGACAGTTATGTTAATTCTTTAAATTGATAAACTTAAATTTAGTGTGCCACATTCCCAATTGGCCGCAAAAGCCCAGTTCATCATAAAATTGAGCAAAGCGTGTGTTTATCAATGCTTTTAATGATCAAAGAAATAAAGAGGCGATAGGCAGTATGATGAGACAGAAGAAAATTCGTTTGCAAATGATCCTGTTTTACAGATTCGTCGTAAATTTTTTACGATACGCTCACCATGCTGGAAGCTTTCATTTTGTCCTCATCCTCATGATTCTATGTATAATACTGGCCGGATTAAATGATTCTTCAATGCTATGGCGACATATATCGAGAAATATTTTGCCACATATGTAAGGAGAATGGAAATTGGACAAGAATTCCTTCTCATGTGCTCTCCAGCGTGTATGAGAAAAGATGGGGAGATTGTGCTCTTGTCTGTGCGAAAATAAGACATTTTCCTTCGGCTCAGCCTCCCTTCAAACACCATAAAAATATTTTTTTTGTTCTTGCCCGCGTAGTGTGAGGGAGTAAAGAAGCACGATATATTCGTAATGGAATTAATCTACATCTATAGCTTACAATATTGCCAACGAGATGTTCCGAGAGTTTCGTGAAATTTTATCATGAGGAAAAATTCATTGGATACTTTCCTTGTTTTGCTCATGTTGGGAAAATCTGTAGCTGTGATGTTGTACAACATTAGTAAGTGGATTTCTTGGCATTCCCGGGATTTATTTGCAATTACTCACACAAATTATTGACTCGCGCGGGACGCGCTTTATGGCATTTATAATGTGCAAATAAGACAGATTGACGCGAGGAGATGGCAATAAAGATGAGGTGATTGTGTAGGGATTGCTGAAAGGGAATGTGCGATAAATAGGGTGCTCATTTGTTGGAGAAAATGGTGAATTAGTGTCCTAATTAATTTACAATCGGTTAATTAAATGCCTTAAATGTGATTTTACCTTGAAAATTTAATAAACACCCTCCAAAAATGATTTCCGGCTCACTCAATAATTAATTTCCACGAAGAATTTATGATGGTGAAGAGGGAAAAATCAACATCTTGCACAGCGGAAGAATGAGAAGGTGTTTAATTGTTAATGAATATTCTCTGTTTATGATGGTTTCTCGCGTGTGAGATGTTTAATGGTGGCTGTGAAAGTTACCAAATTTTCCCTCTCACACAATTTGTAGAATAGGAAATTGATGGTATTTTAGATATTTTTGCTTGAGCTTCTTCATTTTCTTCTCAACACTATAGGAATTTCCGTGGAGAGCTTTCTTTGAGTCCCTCGAGGGGAATACTTTCACTTTGCGTGCTTTAATACGCACAAAAGAATAGGACGCATTTGGGAGAGTACCTAGAGTACACAATACGATGGAGGCGAGCAAGAGAGAAGTGGAAGAGATCAACTGCAAATTGTGTGGTGGAAAGTATGAAGATGATATGGGAATGTGGGGTGGAGAGAATGAAGTACACGAGGGTAGGAAATTAGGTCACGAAAAAATAATGACTAACATCATCCGGAGGTATAAAAAAGAAACATTGAGGGGTGGAATTATATGTGCACCAATTATAAATGGATGCTTGACAACTTTTTTGGCGGGCGCGGCGAGTGGAATGTAAAATATAGCAGTCGAGTTATGCCACTCCATCCACTTCAATTTTAATTACATTAATTGATCCTCTCGTCATCTGACCGAGGGCGTGAGGGAGGCTGTGCGACTCTTTTACTGTTATGGGGGCCACACGGCGAAATTGCGGCAGCTTTTCTACTGAAAATCCCCAACAATTGGCTCGAAGAGTGTGTGTGAGGTATGAATTTTGAATGAGAATGGGATACAAGAAGTGTTAAGCATCACGCATTTCCACATAAAGTGCCTCTCTTCTTGCTTCTACAATAACTTTCCTTCCCTGGAATTCGCACTCATTTACCCCATGTCTCGCATGTCGGGCGGATGCTGAATGAGGATGGGGCGGTGTGCCGGGGGTGATTCTGCTTGCGAAAGGCCTCTCCGTGTGGCTACAGGAGTCAAAGGATGTGCACGAGGGAGTGAGTGGTGTCAAGTAGTTGGCAGCTTTAAGCATGTTTCACTTGGGAGAGAAGGTGGAAACGGAAAAGTGTGCGAGCTCTTGAATTGCTTGAAAGATTTTCCGCCTGTACTTTGCCTTGTCGGATAATTTCCCACATCCTGACCCCAAACCAACGACTCTTGTTGGCCCTTGAAATTTTGTATATGTGTGTACAGAGATGAGTATGATGCTTCCGGATGAGGAAATCATTATGCTGATAAAGAGGAAAGTTCTCCCAGTGTCGTTTTGGGTGATATTTAACAAGAGACAAAGACTTGTGTTTTGACTGTTCACTTTAAGTCCTTCTGTTCCTCTTGTATGAGCATTTCCACCTATTGTGGTTTTGGGGAAATGGTTATTCTCATTACAGTTTCTGTATCATATCGACTAAATCACTCAAATTGTAAGCTGACATGGTTTATTTCGACCTCGAGCTTTGCACATTGGATTTACATATATTCATAAATTCTCTTTTGTGGATTTTATCATAATCTCAACATGTATTTGGTCTGATTCCTTCACGCTCAGTTAAAAATTTATCGCTCGGAAGGGATTTCGTGGGGTATCAATTTGGGAAATTATCAATTCTCCTCTCTTAAAACGTGACTTTTGCTCCAACTCTGCAAATATTATATGCATATGTGATATATGAAGTGTGTGGAGAATTGAAAGAGTCATTTTTCACCCTCTCTAAATTCCATCATATAACAAAAGCTTCAGTGTCTTTTTTCTCACACATTTTTCACACCCAAAAATCAGACTTTATTTCCTCTGGTGGGTGAAAATGCGATGGAAAAACATTTTATCTCGTGTCACGACTGTTGGATTTCAGTGGAAAAAACTATACATTTTCATTTGAGTCCTGCTGTGTGTGAATTTTCGTTGTTTATACTATCATATTTTGAGTCGTTATGCGCCTCTGTGACTCATAGGCGTCAATGTTTATTACTTGCGCAATCAAGAGAGAAGCGATTTCTTGGCATTCACACGCGACTTTCACTGTCTTTTACCACTACATTTCACTCTTTCTCTGGGGAAGTCAGCTGAAGGATGGATGGTTTGGTGCTGAAACCGAGGGATAATGTTTTACTGACACACTTTTTATATGCCACTATCACTGTGAGCGACTGAATCTTCACTTTAATCCCATTTGACTCATTCTTCTTCGCTTTCTATATAGCTTTCGAGGGGGTGTGAGTTTCATGGGAAATCTATGAAGAATGCCAAGAGGAAAAATCTGTTTTTTCCTCACTTTCACATGCGGCTTTCTCTCAGATGGAGAGAAAAAATCACATTTTATCACGTCTATTAAATCAACATTATCACACATTTTTACGTGTTTTTTTTCTTGAACTGGCCCAGTGCTAAAGGGCTATAAAAGGGATTGAAGACTATGTGGAAATAGATAGAGATGAGACGCTGAGGAGAAGGAGTTCAATAACATTGGAATCCTCTTTTTGTGCTCCTTGTCATTACACTGAACGTGTGTCTCCATCATTCATGGGCTGAATGTCTCTCCAGGGGGTGATCCACCGAGATATTTCCCTACACCTTAAATGCCTTTAATCATGCTGCCAAGACTTCCACTTCAAGCACAGAATGGGGTGTATTTCATCTGCCTGCGAGCGCAGAATTCATACTTTACGACACTGCCGTCAAATTGGTCCTATTGTGAAGTTTAAATGCACAGCTTAATCTTATTTTACTGACTTCATTTGACTACATGAGATGTAATTAAAGATTATCCACTTATCACCCAGTGCGGCGTGTCTAAGGATAAAAGGCGAAAAGCTTTCTCAAATTAAAGAACTAAAGCTCACGCTACGCCACTGTGTTTGCGTGAATTTTTCGGCGGAAAGCAGTGAATTGCTTTAAGAATGGGGCAAAGTGTAATCTTTTACAAGTGTTGTGCTATTGCTGTTCAATATTTTATTGAAATTGAGAAAAGTGGCAAGACTGTGACTTTATCAGCTATTTTTTCCTCCTGAATTGAAACAAATTGCTCTCCATATCTCATGAGTTAACTACCCCCTGAATAATTCCTACACACATTTTTTCCACACGAAGAGTGATATTTTGGGAGATATGAGGGAATTTGTTGAGACGCATGAAGAGGGGGATGATGAGGGATAATGCTCATACATGGCGTGTGGTAAATAGAATGGAATACCTACACTCAGAGGTGTAATTCTAGAGCTGTTATGGCAACATTGACATTTACCTGCAGAGGTGATAAATCCTCCTTGCGATCACCGTCCGTCTCGACTTGCGGACAAATTTGCTTCAGGGCAATGATGGCTTCGTTGCAGAAGCGCAATCCCATCACCTCCTCGTCGTCGCGGCCATAGCGGAAGGTGAGCGTGAGTTGGCCGAATATCCTGAAGCCGGACACAAACTTGGGATCGGCATACAGAACGCCACGCAGTGGTTCAACGCTCCCCATTCTGTGGATCATCTCGCGTGAGGCCAGATACAGGGTAATCATGGCATTTGATGAGGTTTTCTTGTACACTCTGCAAAATGGATGCGATGTAAAATGCCACAGAATAGCAAAAGTTGTTGTTACTTGTGGAAATATTCACGGTGCAGATGAGACTTTCATTGCAATTAAGAATACCACTAAATGAGCATATACAACTTTTTAATGAGTTCAGTGAATTATTCAATGGTAAAATTTATATGTTATACACAGTAAAATATTCATTTTCATCTTTGCAAACCATAATCTGTCTAGGAAGATTTATGGGTTTTCTCACTTTAGTGCTGGTCTTTTGCATTCCTTGCACATTTCTGACACGAAATGAACTGGGTTTTATGATTTCAGAGAGATCAGTGCTTTTGCGAGTGAAAATGTCAATTTAGGGATTAATTGCATATTTCATGCCGAAAACTGAGTTCCCATCGTGCAACTTTTGGGCTCATATGGAGCTTTTTACTGAACACATCTGCAAATCCTACCTTTCTACATAAATAAGGATTAATTAGTGTGTTTATTTTATACATTTTCATATATTTTTAACAACATTGACAATGTTACGCAAAACATTTTCCACATGGTTTTTTTTTACCTCTGCGTTATGAATGATTCGCCACGCGAATGATGTTGCTTTCTGATGGCGTTTGATTCGCAATATTTTCAAGAATATATTGATTTTTCAATAGTCGTCAAATGTGGGGTTGGTGTAAAATTTGCAGTTCATCAGCAAGAGAGAGGAAGAAATTGTTAGCTAATTTTAGAGAATCAACATGGTTTTTTCATCGTTCTTGTCTGTGATGATTCTGAGAAGACTTATTGGTAAATAAGCTGGAGAATGGAATGTCTTTTGTGTGTAGTAACATTGAAACTCCAAATATTTAATTATTTTCACACTCTGCGGTAAATTTACACAAACAATTGAGTGTCTGTATGATGTTTATTGATAGTGTGAATGGGAAGAACATATTTTAATAATGTGTATAATTGGGAACAAGAGCAATGAAGCGGTTGTGATGATGAAAATGCTATTGATTGATAGCACCGCAGTATTTTATGGTATTTAACTATTGCTTTCAATGTGGCTGATTTTCATTAAACATCCCGCGAGCTCGCCTTGCGTCGGTGAGAGATATTTTGTATATACTTGTATATTTTATATTAATTTCAATCAGCGAATATCTGGTGCCCTGAAAGCCTTTCGGCGGCGAGGTGGGAAAATTAAATTTGCACGACTTCTTGTGAATGGAAAACTCCATGGGGTGTATTTGTGTGTGGCTCTGTATCTGCCTGGGGGAGGGAAAAGTGTGGACACCCAATGAATTTAATTGAAAATGGAGAGATTTACCTGGTGGTCTCAACTGGTGCGGCCGCGGGGGCGGGTGGTGCCGACGAAATGCCATGTTCATCGTCAGTTGTGTCTGATGATGTGGAGCACATTTTTTTCACCATACACGCTCGTGGTGAAGAAGATTGGTGTTTATGGTTAATTTTATCGTACACACGAACACACGGTCGAAGAAAAGACTATGCGTATAGTATTTTCTTGCTATTTGCACAGCTTTTCTCTCTCTATCTTCTAACTTTTCCTGGTGTGTTTTTGTTTCCCGCGCGCTGAGAAGATATTTTATTTAGTATATTGTTGTATTTTCATACTTGGAGCACTTTTGACTTCACATCTCGTCTATTTTTTCTTCACACCTCCTTCTGTAACACTTTCCCTCGCAGGCGCTGCTTTCTGTGGGCGGGAGTCGTTCTTGCATATGGCCTTTGCGTCTCACTCGACATGCTTTGCCGACCATCTTATAAACTGGCACTCACATTTATCCGACATTGTGTGGATAGCAATGTGTCGTCGTATTTCACCTGCCAGACGTCGGAGCACTACAAAAGAATGGGTGAAAAAATAGCGTATTTAATATTGATTTGGTATGCACTTTATCAGATTTGTTTAGATGCTGTGCGAAGGTGAGCTTTTTGAGTAAACATTTCACTCGTGAAGTGTTAAAGACATCGCGTTCAATCCTATTTACTGCATGTTTACCTGGGTTGTAAAATGAGACACTTTATGTTAATGAAATATGATAATGAATTCAAGTAGAACTTCTATGAAAAATGCGGACATTGTATTTCTTGACGTCGGTTGAAGAAAAGGAGACTATATAATTAAGAGGATTGCAAAGCGAGGAAGTCTGGCAAAAACACTTAATTGTTCTGGTATTATTCAATATATTCTCGGCATAATACTAAGAGTCTAATTAAAACTTCCTGAAGCGTGTACATTGAAGGAAACTGAGGTTTTAAGTATATTATTTTCATTATGATTGGATTGCAGGACTTTGTTTTTCTTCTCGTCTACACTTCTGCCAACTCTGGAGTGTGAAAATTATACAGAAGTCAAGTGAGATGTCCGAGGCTTGAGCAAAGCACGATGACAAGTGTGAAAGTTGTATGAAATATGTATGTAGGTATCAACGGAGATGGGAAAAAATGGCGCATATGTAATTGGAAGGATGGGACGCTCTTTTAAATGGAGAATTCCCAGGTGTTGTCGAGTGCATAGTTATTTCAGGGTGTCCATGGGCGTTGCTATTGTGAGTATAGCGAGTGGAAATCATTAATTCAGAAAGCACAGGAGAAGTGTGGGGATTTGTATGAAAATACATGAGATGCGGAATGGGTGAATAAATGAAAGAAACTCGATGGTGGGTGACAATTGAAGGGGTCGAATGGGGCGGGAGATTTCCTGTCAGGACACATTATTTAATGCTGGGTGAAAGTATTACAACTTACAAATGCTTTATGCAGCGTGTTCGGGGGAAAAGTGTCAAAGGTCGGAGACACATTGGTCAGAGAGGAGAAGTTGTTCCTCAGGGGAAATTATTCAGGTGGCTATTTTCACTCAACTCTCCCTCGGTATCATTAGCTAACTTTCAGTCAATTACTCTCCCATTGCATGAGCAAATGTGTTAATAATTAATTCTCGAGTGGAAAAACTATTAGGAGAACTTTCTTTGACCGAAATTCAGTGACGTCGCGAAGAGCGTTGAATTCCTTGAAAAGCTCTGTAGCAGTTAACGAGAAGTTTTATTAAAGCCGCTGTGAAAATGTAAAGAGTATTACATTATATTTTCTCTCTTTTTTTCCTTATTTTCTCACAAACCACGATATTTTCCTTCCCTCACTTCTTCCCATCCGGAGTGACATAATTAAATAGATTTGCAGACTTGCGATGAAGGCAAATAATATGAAAATTACAGAATTGTTTCAATTTCATTTGTTTTTCTCATCAGACTCTACTCTCATTCGTTTTCCTCTGCAGACTTTTATCCTCGCGCAGATAAGTTTTCGCCTCAAGAATAGCAATGACGATGGGAAAAATTGACCTAACAGGAAAAGCCTCAATAGTCATACAACAAAGCAAGGCGTGTGGAAAAGAGGAAATAGCCCTGGGCGCGAGGAGCTCCAATGGCACAAAAATATCGGATTTCATGTTGAATTACAGCATATCTCACACTCTTTGACATCCGAGTCACTCTTGTTTGAAATTATGTACATTTCTGAAAGGGTGGCGAGATTGACATTTGTTTTTTTAACACACTTCTCAGATGTGAGTTGCATTGACGGGTGATATTTAATCAAAAAGTGTGCTTTTGCGGAGCAATTTTCTTTATTAGTTTCTGATTGTATTTTATAGTCGAATGACTTGCAATTGAAGCGTATGAATAGTCACTGATTCGAATCATGTAGAGGCTGAATTTTTTGATGAATACACTTCATGACAGAGAATTCAATTGCGATATTGAGAATTTGTACTGATGGCGTGAAAGTCACTCAAGATAATTTGCTGGCTGTGTGTTCAATCATTGAGTGGAGGTCTTGTGTGATTGAGGGAATAAAATAGAGTGTCTTAAGAGCATTTTTGCGGCTAAAAATAGCAAATTGATATAGGGGTGGCTCTCGTTTGTGGAACCCCTTTTGCGAAATCTCTCAATTTTCCGGTGGTTTCAATTCACCTCCGAGCCAATACTCTTCATATCGCCTCTAATATATTGATGAAGCTTTCTTATTTTCTCTCCTCGAATGCTTCACAACATTTTCCTTTTAATAATTTAATACTTGGCTTCATTTTCTTGAAAGTATCCTCACCCATTTTCCGTTCACACGTAACATGAAAATGTTTATGTATTGTGATGTATTCGCAGTGGAGGCGCCAGGTGGGTCGATATATAGGGGTGGTGGATAAATGCCTTGAGTATCGTAGAGGAAGTTAAAGGAGAATACAAACCTTATATCCAAATGAAATTTACTCTTCCAATCGGAACATTGAAGACTGTGTGCAAAGACGTGGAGAGAGTCTCCTTTTCCGCTTCGACACAGTGAAAACTTTCAATGGGATTTAATGGGAAATCGATATCAGTGTACATACAATTTACTAATAAATAGTGGAAGCGAAATAGTAACCAGCGGATACAGTTGGGCTTGTTGCATTGAAAATAAATTCCCATGTCACGCCGCAAGACCACAAATAATATGTTGGCGCGCGAGGATGGGTGGATTTGTGTTGGGGAGAGATATCTGTAATGTAGGGATTTCCATTTTGGGGCACAGCGTGTCACTGCAACAAGTGTCCAACATGGATAAAATGCTACACTGATGCCGTGACTGTGGGGATTCTATATGGCGTTTGCTTGTACGACCCCGACTGCTCACGCTTTCGCGCCGATGAGGGCAGGAAATTGAACTTTCATACTTGAGAATGGACTCCAGGAAAGAGTGATCACTTCCATGAAGATTTTCTCATCAGCCACGCTCATCTACTTTCCACATCACATCACTGACCTCTGCGGAGTCTTTAAATTTTTCTAGCAAATGCACTCGATGGACAGTGAAGTTCATGCTGTCCATTGAGCTTTCGGCGTAAGAAAGTTAGTTGATTGCGATAGAAAACAAGCGGCCGGGGAAAAAGAGGGTGGCAGAAAAAAGAACGGAAACTTGCTAAATGGAAAAGGTATAGGAAGAGGTCAGGGTTATGAGCCATTGAAAAAGTTCCTCTGGAAATAGTGTTGATATCCTTTCCATTCACCTTTGTGACCCTATAATCGTGAAAGAGCTCCACGAGAACTCCATTCTTCTTCCCAAGGGAAAATTGATGGCTGATGAAAAATCTAAAATACAATTGTAGCAATGGCATGGATGGGAAAATAGATGGCTCGCTCTCTTGGCATGGCGCAAAAATTGTGGGTGGAGATGAAAGCTCTCAATCTCTGCTATTTGTATGTCCTTCTTTCAATATTTGCACTTCACTGTGTGTGTATATAGTTTTCTTCCCCTTTTGCAGAGAGTGAAATGCTACCAATTTTTGCAACTTGAAGTGTATCCATTGTTCCGCTCAAGACGCTGCTTCTCTTGCTTCTTGTGTGGTGGGATAATAAATTTATTCTTGGCGAAAGAAGGAGAGAAAAAATCACGGATTTTACGATGGTACACACTAAAAGGGGGGTGAATTGAAATATAATCTAGCGCCATATCACGATGTATCGATCTTGATGCATTCATTGACCTATTTCATCTATAAAAAGGATATCTCTGATGAGAGAAGTGTCCGTAAAGGTCACGGCCTTCGCGACTAGAATACATGATCAAAAAATAAATGAGTTGTCGTAGATGGATTGCTACAAAGACCTATGCCAAAATGCACTTGAACTTTTGCGAAGTGACGGTGAGGAAAAGGCGCTTTTATCAATGCTAATAGGGAAGTTAAATGCATATACATCCTTTCCTTATCTGCGAATATTCATTGCATTCCTCTTCCTATCACTACTGCATAGAGAAATTCATGTGGATTACCACGTAATTTATTGCAACTCCTCAGGCTTTTCACTTCCCTTTAATTGCATTAAGAGGGTGGAGAATATAACAGATATCACTAGCATAGATCTCATGCAACAAATAGTTGGAAAAGTTTTACAATCTCTGCACAAAGTGGTCATATTTTAATGAGTGATTCTGTTCAGTGTCCTTAAACACAATAAACTCTAGTGCACTGAAACTACCCTCATATGCTATGTCATTTCATCTTGTTCGCTCTATGCCTCGCTGGACGATGAAAGAGGAATTGATGAGGTTGTCGGATCAGTAGGTAGCAAAAAAAAAATGTCCACTCAAAAGTGTACAGCTCATGGGAAATTGCATATCTGATGGGGCTTTTTGCATTAATGGGAGTGGACAAAAATGAAGCGTGAAAGCTGCTCATGTGCCATGTCGCGTAGTTGTTATCAATATTATCGCGGACATGTGTGACGCAAGGAAAAGCCGATGCTGCGTTGAGATATTGTCGCTACGGTAAATGGAAGATGGGTTTCATGAAAATTTAATTGTTTCTCTCCATTTGTCACTCACACGAGGAACTTTATAATAATGTCCGGAAGGACTTTTTGCATTCTTCTGTGCTGTTCATCGTAAACTTGTTATGGGTTGGAAGTTGAAACAGGATAGAATAGCCTTTCAGGGATGTGAACAGTGAGATGGGGTGGTGAAGAGGATAATGAGGATGTTTGTTAGTGGCAAGTGAAGATTGTTTTGTTCTAGAGCGGAGCTTCTTTTTGCCACCCAAAACCCTAGCTGTGATTCTCTATTTTGCTTTAAATGCGCACTCATATCGAGGGCAGTGAGCGTAAGGGTGGCACAGTCCAAAGTAAATGCACACACAACATATAGAGTAAATTGTAGATTGAGAACAAAATCCCCTTGCTTATTTATTTATACAATCTACACGTGTTGGAATTGAACTACGTCTTATTGCCCTTGTTCTGGTATAACATACAAATATACAAAGTCCTTCTTCTCATGTGCCTTCCAAACCAAAAATATTGATTGACATAATTTAACGGGTGTGCTTTGTTCTATGGAGAGGAATATATGAAAATTCACTGAACGAATTGCACAAATTTTTGGAAATTGGAATGTGATTATATTGATTTTGGTGTGTGAAAGGGATATTTGATATTTCCACCTTGTTCTGAGTTTTTGCATTCACAAAGGCTTTTCATCATCAAATATAATTGCAGCTCTCTCCTCATATTACTGTGCATGAAAAATATCATTTGGAATTTATTTTGTTAATTATTGAGATATTACACGTGACCGTTTTCCGAGTTTTCAGTGGAAATCACTGTGGCAGAAGCGCTAAATTATCAGTTTAAAACATTTTAACAACTCAACATGTGTAAATGGCAATGGCGTGGGTGGAATTGAGGCCTGTGTGTAGAATTGCCCTGCTGAATTGCCTGTTGCTTCAAACTCTTCGATAGAGTATTTATTTTTTATGTACTTTACAGACACACAACCTTCATTTACCCATTCTGCCAATTCAATCGCAAAAGATCCACAGAAGAGTTCATTTTCCTAGTGAATAAAACAGTCTTTTGTGCTGTATAAATAATCTATGGCTTTCCTCAAAACGGGTGGAAATCTCCTAATCTGTCGCCTTAATGAAAATCCAGGAAATGTTTTGGTCGAATGAATGTAATTCACTCTCTTTCACTCTGTGCTCACAAAATGACTGAAAGCTTTTCTCTTGAATTCTGTAATAGTTGGCAGATGACTATTTAGGCTGCCAGCAGGAGTGCTTTGTTGTGGAATTTCCTTTCTTTGGCATTTTAAAGTTGAGTAGAATGTTTGATTAAATTTCCGTCATGTCTTTAGTGATGTCAATTAGCAAAGGTGTAATTCCGCCCAGTTTGAGAACGGAGGATTTGAGGTTTCAAACTTACAGACACTTCGGGAAGATTCTTGTGAATTTGATGGAGAGGTTTTGCTGTGAGGAGGCTTTGCCTCTGGTGGGAGACAGATTTCCACCCCTTTCTTGTAGTACCGCAGAATCCCTTTGTCTTGTGCGCTGTGTATCTATTAATCCTATATATGTAGATTTGTAGAAGAAGAGTTCTTCATAAATTTTCATGCAATTTTTTCACAGTGGATCTCCAAAGTGGTCAGAGATGAATTATAAAGGGCTTCTTTCCGCTCCTAAAGTCAACAGTATTCAGGGAAGATTTTTCGGAATGGTTTTTTCTTCCCCATCCAAAAGCTCGAGCGTTTTACCCTCGAATATGGATATAAAAAAAAACCTCAGCGTTTCTTGTAGTTAAAAATTGGGCTTAACTTTTTTCCGTTTTTGCCTTCCGCGCTTCTATATTCACTTCTTGTCTCGTGTTTGCGTGTTTTTCTTGCGGGTGTGACGGTGGAGTGAAAAATGAAATCAAAAAGTCCAAATTAGATATTCTGGTTCACTGATTAAATTCACAAGAGATGGTTTAGTAATGATTTCCCTCTGGTCGGGTGTTTGTGTTCACCGGCAATTCGCTTTTCAGCTGGTAGAGAAAGGTGGAGAAAATTGGGACATTATTGACGTATTTACATTGAAAGGACTGAAGTTAACTCTTTTCATGGGAAAATTTCTCGGGCCTCAATCGAACCTATATTTGTTGTTATGAAAGTCAAATCTCAAATTACTTTCTAAAACTGTTCCATTCTCTCCCATTTTGTTTACCAAAAGTTCGAGAGTTTGAAACGCCAAAAACATGATATTTCTGCGGTAACAGAATTAGGAGTGAATATAAGTTTTGGGATTGATTAAGCAATGGAGAAGAAGCCATCGCGTGTATTGACAAGGAATGCCATTGTTTTGGATTCATCAGATTGAAAACTAAGCATTGTGAGTCCAGCTGAGATTCTATATGATAGTCACAGCAAGGAAGGGTGAAGATGGGGGGAAAGATGTGGCGATATAATCTAATTTAGGGGAAAATTAATTGGACATGAAACGTGTGTAGGGCAATTCGTCAGTATCGAGGGGCTCCCATCATCATTTGGTGTGGTTGTACTTAATTTAACATTGATGATGGGTGTCGTTTTTGGGCCTACATCCACTCGTACAGATATGATTGGTTGGTGGATGCGAGAGAAACTTGCTGATATAATGTAAGCTAATTAATTTGTACATTTCTCCTGTAATAATTTGTTAGCCAGCGAACTGTTCTGTTTTGCACATGTTCCTCTCGTCCTCACAAATGGACCAGAGCTGGAGGTAATTTCATAGCTTGCGCACTCATAGTTGCGATAATCCATCAAGATCGACAATATGAAGTGAAAGCTCTGCTAAAGCTATGTATCGAATCGTTGTGTTGCTCCCCGAGATTGGGTATTCAGCGTATTGAATAATGCAATTCTGCCCTGATGGATCTGTAGCCGAAAATTGTTGAAATTGTTTATTTTTACTACATTCTTTAATTGGCTTCCGGTTGGTAAGTCGGGGAAATTCATTTATATTTGACTTTAAAGGTCAAACGGCAGGAATGTACGATGCCAATGAAAGTTGGAAATTGAAATTCCGGGTAAAAATGCATTGTGTACTCACTTTCAATTACAGTTAATGGAGAAAAAAATTCAATTAAATGCATCTTTTATAAATCCTTTGAGAATGGTTAACCTTTTTAAACAGTGAAAAATTGCGGAGCATTTCCCCGTGCAATCCATAATTTCATACAGTCGACCTTAATGGATTAAAGGGAAATGTACTGTAAATATTCTTTGAGACTTCGAAAGAACAACAACTTCAATATTTATAACGTGTGTGTGTTTAGGATAATTTCATAAATCGTTTTCAATGGATTTTCAGAGACGCCGGATTAAGGAAGATTGCGAGATCTTGATCCAAACAATGTCATAATAAGGCATTTTCCTTTAATAACACAAAAGAGATTTGGAAATGATGAGACTGAGATAATCCTTATCTGGCATGTCTCTGGGGCCACTGTGGAGTGGGGGCGATTGCCTAATTTACTGTTCTGCTATCGCGCTATCAACGAGTACTCGATGACGGTTGCTGAAATCATGAAACGTCTATACTCTGTGCCAGTGCAGCACAATTGCGATGGCAATGCGCTATCATCGATTGGGTGATCATGATAAATGTTGTGAATGAGGGAATGTGCGCCTTCGGGACGTGCGAGTGTGTGGCGTACACCTAAATTTACCTCTTTCACCACCTGCCGTTGATTGACACAAAATCTCAATTTAGTGCTTGTTCTATGTTGAGATTTAAATCGACCGCCGCACGTCCGAAGGTCCTTTTTCGTGCGCCTTCCGCTCTCACTCACTCGATATTATGGCTATTAATAAATGTTTGTTACGGAAAAGCTCTGAGTCTACGACTTCTCACACTCAACACTGATTTTCTATTAATTTCCCTCCGATTTTGCCGTCTCTTCTGCGCTGTGGAGATGGAAATATCGGTTCTGCGGTGGAGCGGAAGATATCCTGAGTGGGATATGAAAAGTACCTTCGAAATATGCTTTTTTTCTCCGCCCTATATTTAAATTCAATTTGAAGCATTTGCATGAGTGTCGATTGAATTTGAAATTAGTCCATTTAGCAAGTCGGCGAGTGGCACAAAATATGTATATGGTATTAGGCTCCTGAGAGAAGAGAAATTTGTCGATTTTTTGGCACTGGTTGGGTGGATGGAAAAAATCAGGGTTTTCGGGTATTTAAATGCTCGTTCTTCCCTTCGTTTTGTGACGATGGTGTTGAGAACATGTGAGAAAAGGTGGTGTGGAAAATAGCGTTTAAATTATTCACACACACAAGAAGGTTTTTTTTCTGCTAAATCACTGAAGTGGAATTCGCTTTTCTGCCTGGCGTAGAGGGAAAATCCGTGTTGGGTTTCGCGCACCTGTGGAGGGATTTTCACAGTGGGAGAGAATCACTCTTGCCAGAGACCGATCGAGCGGGAAAATTCGCACAACATTCCGCCACGGAGTCTCGAGTGGAACTGAAGCACTGGCTTTGCTGAGCGATGCCTGGAAGTTCCAGTCGTGCTCAAAGTCCTAAACCAAATGTACAAAGTGTGAAGCTTTACAATTTTCATCCCCTTCGCGCACAAGTTTTCTCTCTCTCTCTCAACGCTTCTCTCAGCTTTCCGCCAAACTATACATTTCCACGTACTTGTGCTGTGGGAAGGCGAAAGCAACAAGGTATGGAGAAGAGAGAGAAAGAGAGAGAAAAAATCCTCTCTATTTTGTGGCACAAATTTATTTCGTGATAGCATTATGAATGTCTGAGTTGAGTCTGAAACACTGTTGCACTGAGAATTTTGCCAGATGCTCCCATAGACTGTCAATCTTGCTCCTCTTCCTTCACATCATCGTCATTTCACGGGATTTTCTCACTCCATTAACCGTCGCTTTGCCATTCTCTACACCCCATTGTCTACGTCACTGGGGTTAAGTCTGAACCAGAGAACTTTTATGCTGCAATTCCCGGTGGAAGTTGTATGCATTTGAAGGAATTTTGCATTGCCAACGAGGAAAATGTCACGCTGCACTCAAGGGAAATTTCCTACTGGCTCATAACACGTTTCTATCTCGTTTTTTAGCGACATTTTTCTCTATAATTTAAAAGTTTTATTCGTAGAAAGTTATGATACAACATATAATCTTGATTATGAATTTTAATATCCATCTCAAGCCGAGAATAAAAGCGTGATTTTCAAGCAAATATGCATTGTAATACGTTCAGATCATGATTTCATAAAATTTAATTTATCATGTTGATAAAGGGATTTTGAGCAAATTTTTAAAACAATATTATTCTAGTCTAATTGCGCATTTTTCATTACTAAAATACTATTCGGTTCTATATTAATCAATCAATGATATTTGGTTTCCAGGTATTTTCCTAATAATCATATAGATTATTTAGTGTCTGTAGCTTTCCCATCTCTGTTATAATCTGATTATGTAAAGCACACCACCTTTGAAGCATCACAGAACAACCCATTCTCATGGTGCATTTAATTAATCTTCCTCAGCTGATATCTACGATGAAGTGAGCGGATCACTTCAACCGCTGGGATTAGATTCCGAATGCTTGGGCGGTGGCAAGATAGAGCATCGGCCGGATCTGAAGCACATCAGAATCTTCAGCTACTCTCAGGGATTTGGCAAAGCGGATCACCACGAGGCGAAGAAGTTACTCCTCACCAAATATCCCAATTACAAGATTGAGGTGTCTGAAAGTGATGAATACTAAGTGGTGCACATGTTCTCCGGTATTTCTACTTTATCGAACGCTCTAATGAACAGCACGTGTGAGAGAGATCTCATTCAATTGTAGCTGATGTGTTTTATTTACACCATTTGCTGACTATTTTCGCTATTTTTATCCCTTGACGAAGATGATTTTGGGCGCGCATTCCGGAAAGGCGCGTTGTCGGCACCAGCGCCCTCTGGCAGTTGTCACTTGCTCCGGAACACCGAGGGGCGTTCTGCGTGTCAGAGAGTGTTGAGCATTTTTATTGTGTGCTAGACGAAAGAGGTAGGTGAAGAAAAGATGTCTTCAAATTCAACTGCTAGGTAATTTCTAGGTGCCAATACTGTAGCATTGTCCTGTCTTCCAGGCGCAGGCAGCAGCGATGGTGAGAGTGTGTGCCGTGGAGGGCTGTTTATCGTCGGACTTGACGCATTTGGCGCATCGATTTCCCAAGGATGCAGCGCGAGCGAGAGAGTGGCAGGAAGCTCTAGCCTTGCAGGGCAAGGACGTTGAAATGCTGATGGAGAAGCACACGGTGTGCACGCTGCACTTCGAGAAGAAGGACTACAGGAATATCGAGTCCAGGCACTTGAACAAGACGGCTCTGCCGAAGCTCGTTACGAGTTTCTGGTCGCCTCCGCTCAAGGATAAGACTTTCGAGATTGCCATTGAGATGAAGGATGCGGCGAGGGACAAAAATGCATTGCATGTGAATATCATTGACCACAAGAGCATGACCATTGAGGAGATTGAGCAAGAACAGGCGGATGAGCAGCAAGAGCTGGAGGAGTTTGATGAGGAAGACGAAGCCGTTTACGAGGCAATGAATGACGGAAAGAGCGTCGATGTGGTGAGAAAGCTGAAGTCTAACGAGCGAGGAGAGTATTATATTGTGGTGGAAGAGGAGGAGGACTTGGGTGATGAGCCAAAGAGTCAGAAGAGGAGGAATTTGGACATTTCCTCGCAAAAGAGCAAAAAGCAGTGTGCAGTTGCTGAGAGACACGAAATACCCGAAGAGTCCGTATTAATTGACGACGAGGAAACAGAGGACTATGACTTCGAGGAAAGGGTGTATCATGATGCAAAGACCCAGACGGAGGACGATCTGGAAGATGTCGATGAGGAGCTCCTCTGTTCTGGCTATTGGCAATACTCAAAGGAGGAGCTGATTCGCATGCTGCTCAAGAAGGATGAGAAATGCATAGAACTGGAGAAGAAGGTATTGGATTTCAAGCAAGCCAAGGAGAAGATGCTTCAGAGTATTGAAATGCTGAAGATGATGTAAATAAATCGCTAATTATTGTGCTGAAAGCAGATTCAGTTTCTTATGGCGAATTCGCGGCGAACGCCCAAGAGCCCGGCGAACGACTCACAGCATAGTGACAGCATTGCCGATTGACGTTCTGTGGGTTTATTGGAAAATTGTGTGATTGGAAAAATGGCTGCAGCGACGAAACTCAGCATGATTGTAAGTTATTTTCCACACCAATCTCTCAAGACAATCCTCAAGTAGCCTTTCGTGGCGGAAAAGAGTCCCGAAAGTGGATGGCGAATGAGAATTTTCACTTCTCACCTCGCCTAACCTCCAATCGAATTATGTAATCTTCCAATGATTCCCTGACTTTCCAGGCTCGCAGCCTGAGCACATCGGCCCCGGTGGCGCAGATGGTGAAGCCTCCAGTGCAGCTGTTTGGGGTGGAAGGCAGATATGCCACTGCCTTGTACTCGGCGGCCACGAAGCTGAAGCAGTTGGAGGCCGTGGAGAAGGATCTCGTGCAGATCCAGGCGGCTGTCCGGGGGAATCCAACCGTCAAGGAGAGCCTGTCCAGTCCCATCGCCCAGAAGCGTGACTTGGCCGCGGCTCTCAAGGAGACCGCAAGGCAGGCCAAACTTGCCGATGCCACGTCCAATTTGCTGGAGTTGATGGCTGAGAATGGGCGCCTGAAGCGTCTGGACGGCGTGATCAACGCCTTCAAGACCATCATGGCTGCCCACCGAGGTGAGGTGGTATGCGAGGTGACCACGGCGAAGCCCATGGACGACGCCCAGCGGAAGCAACTCGAGACCGCCCTGAAGGCTTTCCTGAAGCCCAACGAGACGATTCTGTTGACCTCCAAAGTGGACCCCACGATCCTGGGCGGCCTCGTTGTGTCCATCGGCGACAAGTACGTGGACATGAGCATCTCCACGAAGGTGAAGAAGTACACAGACCTCATCAGTCTGCCCTGCTAAGCGGTCTCTGTGCGCACTCAGTAGTTTCGTCTCCCAGAAGACCTTGTGAGGTGTACATGAAAATTTATTGGTAATAAATGTAATAATATTGAAAAAGAAGGAAAATCCAATAATTTCACCAAATTGCATTCTCTCCTATAAATTATCGTAAAAGAACATAACATTCTCTCTATGTTACTCGTCTTGACGCTGCAGGAGTTCATTGTGGAGGCGCTTTTTATTAATACCTGTTGGGGAACTACTTTCCTCTGTTTTCCGGAAGAATTGGTTGAATTGTCCTACCACCGCGAATCTGGCCCCATCCAATGAGACTGCAAGGAGGAGAGGAGAGAATTTAGGACAATTCTTGGGTGAGAACCGAAAAACTTACCGCCAATGCTTCTCCACGCGCCGACTAAGGGCGATCTTCTCGCCGATTTCCGTGCACACGGGATTCGTGAGTGTGATCTTGGCCAAATCAGCCTTCGTGGCGGTCACGCGACCGCCAGTGCTGAGAGAGCCAATGTTGACCAAGAGAATCTCAGAGCGAGCCAGCTTCTGCACCTTGGCGCCCTTCTTGTCGCCCTCCGTGCGCACGCCGAGCAGCCTCTTCAGCAGATAGTACGAGAACTCCAGCTCGATGAAGATGTCCGGCAGAGCACCCACGGCGCCCAGCACCTGACCCACCAGACGATCCGCTCGACAGAGTGTCGGCTCGATTTTCGTGCCCACACCAATAAGTCCGCCCGGCACGGCGAATTGCAGCTCATTCTGCTCGGCGAACAGCGACACAATCTTGGAGAAGATGGGCCGACACGTGAGCTTGCCATCGGCATCTTTGCTCACCAGGCCAGGACGCACCTCAATCTCCTGGCCCACCTTCAGCACACCGCGCAGAATTGAGCCTCCGGCCACGCCGCCCTTCAAGTCATTCACCTCACAGCCCGGCTTGTTCACATCGAACGACCGAATGACAATGAGACGCGGCGGATCCGTGAAGTTGCGCTGCGGGATGGGAATCTTCTTGGTGATGTACTCGCACAGCACCTCAATGTTGTACTTGAGCTGTGCCGAGATGGGAATTATGGGCGCTCCCTCTGCCACTGTGCCCTGGACAAACTTCGTGATCTGCTCGTATTGCTCCTTCGCCTGGCTCTCCTTCACCAAGTCAATCTTGTTCTGCAGAATCACGATCTGCTTCAGCTTCATGATCTCAATAGCTGCCAAGTGCTCAGATGTCTGCGGCTGCGGACAGGACTCGTTCCCGGCAATCAGAAGCAGTGCGGCGTCCATCACGGCGGCTCCGTTAAGCATCGTGGCCATGAGAATGTCGTGACCAGGGCAATCGACGAAGCTCACGTGGCGCACCAGCTGGAAGCGACCCGTGCATGCTGGCCGCAGACAAGGGAAGCTATCATCCTTGCCGGAACTGCCAGAGATGAAGCACGTCGGGCGCAGGCATTTCGGGTTGTCGCACTTGTAGATCTTCGCATTGGCGTAACCTGGAAGAGACACCGAAAAATGTCACTTCTTTCCTACAACATTCTTGCGATCATTCGAGTAAACCTAGCCAAAATCTCGCACAGCTTCATTTGTATTTATCAGATTGCCTATGCTTATTACATATTCCTTTAAATTTACAGTACAATACGCTCTCAGTGGGAAACACTAATAATTGTTCCCAAATTTCTCTCTCTCTCTCTCTCTCTCTCTTTCTCTCAGATGATTAATTTGAACACTTGGTGATATTGATATGTACTTAGAAGACAAATTGACGGCACTCTTTCGCCCCACAGAGACACTTTCCCAGCTGTTTTCCCTCTCCAGACACGCCCTTAATGTAATCAAAGCTCAGCTCCTCGCCAGCCGGGATTTTCCGGAGTGCGAAAAGGCACAAATGTGGCAAATTGGGGTCCAAACAGTCCACATACACTGCCCAAACACCGCAATTAGGTACGCAAGAGTGGTTGATGAAGTGTGTCGCATTGCCATACTCTATGGCGTCCACGGAATACGGCTGATCCGCCCTGTTGAAGTCCAGATCAAACAGATAAGTGATGCCCTTCTTATCATAGATCTCTCCCCTCGTCTCCGCCTCATCGTGCGTGATGATCTCGCCCACGTACTCGCCGATAAACTGTCCAGGATACAGAGTCTCCATGGTCTTCACGCCCCATCCGCGTCCGTCGTTTGTCTTGAAGATGCACAGACGAAACTTGCGACCATTCTGAATGACACGATTGTGGCATTCCTCGCCACACCTGCACCTCCGGTTGCACTCGTAGATGGGCACGCCTTCGGGCAGCCGCAGGCGCTTCTTCTGGTACGCAAACAGCGATGATCCCGACATCTTGCCGCAGCACTTCGTCCTGCCATTGCATCCATCCTCGCATTCACACCCAATCAATGGATCATCCGGAATTGTGATATTTGCCCCGGCGAAGCACTTGTTGACGTAGTGGAAATCCGTTGGCGGCATCTCGAGGTCAACTTCGTTCTCCACATAAATCCCACGAGAGGGATCCGCTCGATTTAGCTCATCTTCCCACTCCCTGAGTGCTCTCAGTTGCTCCTGACGCTGACCGAAGAGACTCCTCAATTCCAATTGACGCCTCACCACGGCCGTCATGTGCCGCGTGAGCCGCGCATCGCGCGTACCAGTGAGACGATACAGTGCCAGCAAAAGGAGATAACTGTCCAGAAGTGGTCCATCGTACTTGGCTAATTTCACCATTATGGTCTCTTTCTTTGGCTCTTTGGTCTCCTCTGTCTCGGCACTCTCCTGGATCTCCTTCACCACCACCTCAATCACATCCTTCTTCACCGACAACTCCGCGTCCATCCACTCCTCGAACACCGAACAGGACCTCACGTGATCCAGAGGCTCCCACGTGTTCACCTTCTCACTGTATCCAATCCACTTTATGTGAAAATGTGGCACTTTGCCGATAACATTTATCCTGCGGATCGCCTCGACGGCGTACGAAGACTTCTCGTGTGTCTTCTTCCTCGCATTCACCTCCTTCAGCACCCCGCGGTGTGCCTTGCCATTTATATACGGAGAGTCACTCCATCTCATCCTCTTGACGGATGAGCAGTCGCTCAGGCTGCTCGATCGCGATCTTCGCCTCTTGCCATTCTCCTCATTCAGGCACTCTGGGAAATTTTCCTTGAGGAAATGCCTCAATTTGTTTGGTGATGTGGTCAAATCTCTGATTCTTTCATTCGATATGCGCTCTGTAAACACAAACAAGTCGCGGAATTACTTCCTTTGCCATCTTTTCTTCACGGGCATTTTACAGCACCACTAAAAGGAATCTTTTGTATCCACAAATTGGGCAACAAAGGCAAACAAAAACAACACAAGCCAATTTCCAAAATTGTAACAAATCAAAAAAACTGACTACAAAAGTCCTTTAGTGGCGCCTCCTTTCTTATTCCAGCGACCAGAATTTGTGCCACAATTTGCGCATTTGATTCCCAAACACTTTCTTGTGCTTGCATTCTGAGAGAGATACAGAGTGTGTGTGAGAGCACGAGAAAAGGGGAACTAAATTATCACTAGAGATACTCTACAAAGAGAAGACACGATTAAAGGTTTCCGGACAGGTTTTGTCCACTCACCCAATTTGATGGTGATATTCCTCTCCAGTTCATTCTTGAATCGAACAGTCTGTACGCCAGAAATCGCCTTCACCACTGTCGACTTGCCGTGAGCTACATGTCCGATCGTGCCGATGTTTATGGTAGCTTGCCTGGAGATCACTTCCGGCGACAGAGGCGTGAGTTTTGTGATATCCTGCAAAGGAGACACCAAACAATCAGTCATAACCTCACTTTTACCCACATCTATTGCATCAGCATCGCACAATCTCCTCCCCCAGATGCACACTCTGCATCCCTGGCTCCCCCAGCACCCCCTATTGAGGCCCAACACTGCCCCGAGTGGGTACTTTCCCATTTATCCGTAAAAATGCCACGTGCAAAATATGCCAACAACGCCTTCAATGGAGGGAGAGTGCCCCGCACTTCTGATGCACTTTCCGCACAACTTACCAACTGCGACAGATCCTGTTTATGTAGATTTGGCTGCCCGGTTGTTTGTCCTTCAGTTGTTGCCATCCTGGTCGTGTTCAGCACAGAAATAGCACGGGGAAACTATCAATTGTGAAGAGCGACAAGTCACTTGCAGTCACGGTATGTGAAAAATGGCCGATCGCCGCCGCCAGTGACATCTACTCTCGCCACTGATGGCGCGCGCTTCGCGGCGGTCTAGCGTCACGGAGTTTTCAAAATCTGCCGTTTTGCATCAAAAATATTCTTTATTTCCTCTCTAAACTTCCTCGGGATTTCGAGCTCGTTTCCTGATCATATCCGCTTTCCGTCGCTTATCCTTCTCCTGACGCTTCTTCGTGATTTCCTTGAACAGCTCCACACCTTCGCTCTCCTCAATTTGCCTCTGCATCATTCTGAGACCGTAATAATTCATCCCAATCATATCCCTGAGCTCTTGCACAACTTCCTGCAGCTTCCTGATCATCTTCTTGATATCGCGGTACAGCACGTGATTCGCTACGATGGGCTTCTGGTGGATGCGGAAGAGGAAGAGCACCACTTTGCAAATCAGCTCAGTTTGATCCCTTCTCTTCTCCGCCAGGACGTGAATCCGACGGATGATGTCACAAACTGAGGTGAATGGGAGCAACAGGAGAGACTCCTCAAGGTCACTGGGTCGGATGTGAGACAGTGTGACAAGGAGGAAGTCTGAAGAGGTCGCAACGTCGAAAGCCTTCATGAGAGGATGCAGTTCCTTGTCCTCGCTGACATCAAATTGGCCACCAATTTCCAGGCACTCGAGAATGGATTCCGCTCCCTTTTCCGCACCCACGGTCTTCTTAGAGGGTAGCTTGAGGCCTGGCATTCCTGGAACAGTAGACTCGTCTCCAGTGGCCAAGATTCTGTTCTCGATCTCCTCCCTTTCCTCCTCTTGAGCATCCTCCAGGACGATGGGCTCGTCTGTCTTCTCAAATAGTCTCACCACGCGATCAGTTCCCGCCGTGACCACGAACATCCCATTGGGACTCACAGCCAGAGCGTTCGCCTCTCCCACGTGGTGACCAGAAAGCGTGGAGATCCTCTCGAAAGTGTCCGCGTCCCATTCCTTGATCTTCCCATCTTTGCCACAGGAGAAGAACATGTGCGTCTGTGGAATGAACTGCACTGCCAGGACGCTGTCGTCGTGAGCGAAGAGGGATTTGTGGCAGTCGCCAAAGTCCATTCCCCACACCTTCACATTCCTGTCTCCTGATCCCGTCACAATTAGGCTTGAATCGTGTGAGATGTCCATCGAAGTCACAGGCAATTTGTGGCCATATAGAGATAAGTAGAACTTGAGCGTGTCTCGGAAGAAGATCTTCACGGTGGAATCTAGAAGGGCGCAAGCGATGAATTTGTTGTCCGGAGATATTCTCACGCACATTATTGCCTCTTCCAGCTTCAGAGTGTTTCTGTGCATCAGTGAGAGAACCTGCGATTTACTCTCTGGATCCTGAATCAACTCGTAACTCCACATCTTGACCGTTTTGTCGCCTCCGGCAGACACACAGCCCTTCAAGTCTGGCATCGAGCAGATCGACCACAATTCCTTCTCATGGGCAGGAATTGTCTCCACTATCGTTCCCACAACAATGTTGACAATCATCAGCTCTCCACTCTTCAATCCCAGCAGCACGTGGCGATCTCCCGGTACGAAGAGACAGCACAGAATGGCCCCAGTTTCCACCGTTCGGATGCACTTCAGAGACTCCTGACTCCATACTTTCAGCGTGTCACCGCTTCCTGTGGCAATGGCCAGACTGTCAGAACTGAAGGCCACACTCCTGATCTCTGTGTGATGGCCAATGTGAGTCAGTGAGCGAATCTCCTGTGCTTCGGTGTTCTTCTGTTTGACATTCACTGAAAACAGTCGAATAAAATTACTCGCTGAGCTCACAACGATTCTCAACTCGCCATTCACGCCCATCAGAAGATCCAATCCGCGGATTTTGCACTGTGTCCTGATGCTGGGCAGTTTCTTGACTTCGTCAAACAGACTCACTTCGTTCTTCTCCTGACCAGCGTCCATTGAGAGCTTCTTGAGGCGCTTCGAGAGACGCTTGAGTGCTTCAGCTGGACTGCAAAAGTAGAATAACTCCACTTGATTATCTGTTCCATGGCAGGCCAACACACTGCCCTCCTGATCACTCGCCAGAGTCACAGTTCGGCCCTTTCCTGCTCGCGGAATCACACCCAGGAGTTTCACCTGAATGGGATTCATGGCTTCGCTCTCATTTATCGTCTCTTCGGGCGTATTCGGAGTCACGCGGTACACGTTGAGAGTTGGCTCGGATGATCCACTGATGAGAAAGCCTCCACGGAGGATCGCCAGTCCCCAGACTTCTGTCGTGTGATCAACCAGAGTCTTGAAGCAATTCTGCGTCTCAATGTCCCAGAATTTTATGTGAGTGTCCTTCGAACAAGACACCACAATCCTGCCTGAGGCGTCCAGGAAGTGAGCATCAGATATTGGGCCTCGATGGCCACTCAAACGACACAATCCCGCCTCAGCCACAATGTCCAGAACCACAAGATCTGTGTCCAATCCTCCAGTCAGAAGCTTCATTCCCGTTGTGTCGTATCGCAGACAACTCACAGCACTTCTGTGAACCACGAAAGAACCCACGGACTGCCGGGAGTCCATCTCGAAGATCTGAACTGAGCCATCGGCATATCCCACGGCGATGTGAAGATTATCCGGACTGGGCCGAAGCACTGTAACTTCGTGCTTCTCATTAGTGATCTCGAGGACTTTCTCACCAATCCTGGAAGAAGAGCAAGTTAGTGAAGGAAACTAATATAATCTGGAGAAGATAAATCTAACCTTAGATCCCAAATGAGGAGTTTTTCTGCTCCTCCTACAGCAACGCATCTGCCCTGGACACCCTTGAATGTGACAAAGGAAGTATTTGGGCGAGAACTCGCGATGATATTGAAGGCCCCAGCGGGCTTGAAGGCGAGATACTGTTTAGTGATGCCCATCCCTCAGAAAAATTCCCGAAAGTCGAAGATTCCACTCACTTCACTGCCGCACTTTTATCAGTTATTCCGACAAGCACTTTCTAGAACCTCTTCAATGTGGAAAATCAATGGATTCTGGGGTATTTCCCTGAGAATTTGCGAAAACCCGATGCTCCTCCAGAAGTAAACACACCTCTCCGGATTCGTTCCGAAATACAACGTGCAGAAGTGAGGTTATGCGCCAATACCTTTCCGGTTGTCAATTGAGTCCGGAGAAAAATTCTAGACTGGCTGATCCAGGTAAAATCTCGCTGAGATTGCATCATTAATCCAGGGAAAGTACAGTGAGTCGGTTGCAGCGGACGTCAGCAAAAAGTGATGCAATGGAGCGCGTGCCGGAAACGATAGATTTCCCGCAGGAAGAGGAGAATATCCTGGCGTATTGGAAGAAGGAGAAGTGCTTCGAGAAGTGTTTGCAGCAATCGAAGAAGAAACCGAAGTAAGACATATTTGTAGTTTTTCGCCATTTTCTTGGATTTACGGGGTGGATTTCTTGCAGGTACACGTTTTACGATGGGCCCCCATTTGCCACGGGCCTGCCTCACTACGGGCACATTCTGGCGGGCACGATAAAAGACGTGGTGACACGTTATGCTCACCAGCAGGGCTACCACGTGGACAGGCGCTTCGGGTGGGATTGCCATGGACTGCCGATAGAGTATGAGATCGACAAGTTGCTGGGCATCCGGACGCCAGAGGATGTGCAGAAGCTGGGCATCAAGAAGTACAACGATGAGTGCAGGAAGATCGTGATGCGCTTCGCCAACGAATGGGAGCAGATCATCGGACGGATGGGCAGGTGGATAGACTTCAAGAATGACTACAAGACCCTCTATCCCACGTACATGGAGAGTCTGTGGTGGGTGTTCAAGCAGCTCTACCAGAAGGGGATGGTGTACAAGGGAGTGAAGGTGATGCCCTACTCAACGGCCTGCACAACTCCCCTCTCGAACTTCGAATCTGGTCAGAACTACAAGGAAGTCGTGGATCCGGCAGTCACAGTGACTTTCCCGATTGTCGATGATCCCGACAACGCCATGCTGATCGGCTGGACCACCACGCCCTGGACACTGCCCTCGAATCTGTCTCTCTGTGTGCATCCCGATCTGGAGTACGTGAAGGTGAAGGAAGTGTCGTCCGGCAAGGTAATAATTCTAATGGAAGCTCGTCTCGAGGCGGTCTTCAAGACCACAAAATGCTATGAGATTCTCGAAAAGTTTCCTGGAAAGAAACTCGTCGGATTGCGCTACAAGCCGCTCTTTGACTACTTCGAGAAGTGCAAGGAAGTCGCCTTTCGGGTGCTCATGGACACGTACGTCACTGAGGAGTCTGGCACGGGTGTCGTCCACCAGGCACCATACTTTGGCGAGGACGATTACCGTGTTTGCTTGGCGAATGGTGTGATAACGCGAGACCAGGAGATAATCTGTCCAGTGGACGCCAGCGGGAGATTCACCGCCGAAGTGAAGGATTTCGTGGGACAGTATGTGAAGGATGCGGACAAGAACATCATCGCGTTGCTGAAGAAGATGGGCAGACTGTACCACGCCAGTCAGACTAAGCACAACTATCCGTTCTGCTGGCGCTCGGACACTCCCTTGATCTACAAGGCCGTGCCGTCCTGGTTCATCCGCGTGGAGCACATGTCGGAGAGGCTGCTGAATGCCAGCTCGCACACTTACTGGGTGCCGGACTTCGTGAAGGAGAAGCGCTTCGGCAACTGGCTCAGAAGCGCCCGCGACTGGGCGGTGAGTCGCAATCGCTACTGGGGCACGCCGATTCCCATCTGGCTCAATGACGAGGGGGAAATTGTAGTCGTGGGCAGTATTGATGAGCTGTATCAGGAGTCCGGAGTGCGCGTGACTGATCTCCATCGTGAAATTGTGGATGCCATTGAGATACCGTCTAAAAGGCCGGGTGGAAAGCCTCTGAGGCGCATTGATGAGGTGTTCGATTGCTGGTTCGAGTCGGGATCCATGCCTTTCGCTCAGCTGCACTATCCATTTGAGAATTCTGAGGACTTCGATATGAGATTCCCAGCTGACTTCATTGCCGAAGGCATTGATCAGACCAGAGGCTGGTTCTACACGCTGCTCGTGATCTCGACGGCGCTTTTCGACAAAGCGCCCTTCAAGAATCTTATCGCCAATGGACTTGTACTGGCTGCCGATGGCCAAAAGATGTCCAAGAGGAAGAAGAACTATCCGGACCCAATGGAGGTGGTGCACAAATACGGTGCCGATGCTCTGCGACTCTATCTTATCAATTCACCAGTTGTGCGGGCGGAGAATCTGCGCTTCAAGGAGGAAGGAGTGCGTGACATTGTGAAGGATGTCTTTCTGCCGTGGTACAACGCCTTCAGGTTCCTGTACCAGAACATTGAGCGCCTGAAGAAGGAGGACGGCGTGGATTTTATCTACAGCAGCACTCGAAAGGCCGATAATGTCATGGATATTTGGATAATCTCGTACAAGGAGAGTCTGCTGGACTTCTTGGCGGCGGAGATGAAGGCCTATCGGCTGTACACAGTGGTGCCAAGGCTCACGAAGTTCATTGATCAGCTCACCAATTGGTATGTGAGGCTCAACAGGAGGCGTCTAAAGGGTGAGTGACTGCAAAAGCAGCTTTTTGGGAGATCTGTTAATGAAATTGTGTTATTTTTCCAGGTGAATTTGGGAAGGATGATTGCCTGGTGTCCCTCAACACACTCTATGACATCCTTGTGACGATGGTGAAGATGATGGCACCGTTCACGCCCTTCTTGACAGACTTCATGTACCAGAAGCTGAAGGAGCTGGATCCCGAAGAGGCGTCTAATGGAAGTGTTCACTACCAGATGATGCCGCAGGCCAAGAAGGCTCGCATTGATCCGAAGATTGAGCGCAGCGTGAGCAGGATGCAAAGCGTTATTGAATTGGGTCGTATCCTGCGTGATCGCAAGACCATCCCAATGAAGTATCCGTTGCCGGAAATTGTTGTGATCCACCAGAACGAGGAGTTCCTGGAGGACATCAAGGCTCTTGAGGAGTTCATCACGAGCGAGTTGAATGTGCGAAAGATGATCTTGAGTAGCGACAGGGAGAAGTATGGAGTGTCAATGAAGGCAGAACCGGACTTCAGAGCTCTTGGACAGAGGCTGAAGATGAACTTTAAGGAGATCACGCAGGCTATTCGCACGCTGTCAGATCAGGAGATCCAGGAGGGCATTAAGAGGGAGTATTTTGAGTTGCTGGGCCATCGCATTGAAGTGGAGGAGTTGCGATTCTTGGTGCAAGTGGCGGAGAAGCACGACAGTGATCAGAAGTATGAGGCTCAGACGGATAACAATGTGCTCATCTTGTTGGACACGAATCCCAGTGCGGAATTGCAGGAGGAGGGATTGGCCAGGGAGATAATTAATCGTGTGCAGAAGCTGAAGAAGAAGGCACACTTGGTGCAGACGGATCAGGTGCACGTTTACTACTCCGTGCTGCGCGATCCCGAAGGGACAGTGGAGAAGGTGGCCAGAGAGTACAACAAGTTCATCGAGACGACCATTAAGAGCAAATTCCAGGTGGATGATCTCAAGGCTTCGAGCCAATTCCCGGAGATTATCAGTGAGACGTCAGACATCAAGGCGGCTCAGCTGATGCTGAGAATTGTGAATCCCAGTGGCGAAGTGCAGGCGCCCAGTGCCAAGATTCAGCTCGTGGGCTTTCGACCGCGCTACGGTCGTTGCGACACGGGCGTCATCTTCCTCCAGAACGGACGTCGAGAGACCATCTCGCTGGAGAAGCTGAGGGAGGAGATTGCCAATCTGTTTGGCATTTATGACCTGCCGTTCAAGATTCGCCTGCAAGGACGCGACCTGGCCGATCCGCTGGCTGCCAGCGGTAAAATCATCAGCATTGAGAAATGAATTTCGACGCCTCTCCGTCTCTTGATATAATTAATTTATGTAATTCGATGAAATACACCTTTCCTATTTGCATTACAAGGGTTGGCTTTTGGGGTTTCCGGGGGAGGGCTCGCTGCAGCGCTCGTCTGCGCATCCACAGTCACTCGGTGACTGGAAAGGTGTCTTGAATGCAGGACAGCTTCTGCCAAATAAATGTGGAAAATGTGTTTATCGCATTTTAAAACATAGTACTAAATTTTTGTGATTTGCACTGGTAGAAATACTAGTTCTGCGGTAAAAATCCATGGTGAAATCACACAATTTCCCTGTCCTGCGTCGTGAGTGGATTCAGGTCACTTTGCCTGTGGAAAATCAATAACTCTGCCCTCTCATCTCCCGCGAGAGTGAGCAATTAGGGTTGGGAGTGCGTTTATTGGTGATGCTCAAGGCATTCATCAGTGCTTTTGACCTGTGAAAAATGTCTCAATACCCAGAAAACATTCCCGAGGGCGACGACTTGTCCACGGAGTCTGTAGAAGTGTTGCGAGAGCGCCTCAGCACCATGAAGCAGATTATGTCGGAGCGAAAGGCTCACCAGTCGAAGAACCCACGAGAGGACTTCTGGACGCAGCCACAGAGAGTGAGTGGATCCTGGTGAGTGAGATATTACCAGAGAGACTGACGGGAATGTCTTCTTTTCAGTGCGGCACCGGAATCATCGACGGCACGTTCCTCAGCGTCGCCTTCGGGGGCGCTCTGTGTGTGATTGTCTCGGTGTCCGTGTACGCCTTCTACAATCTCTACCACGCGATCCTCAAGAAATTCCCATCCCACCACACGGAGCTCTAGAGCTCGCGGGCAGAGAAAGACGCTCATTGATGGTTCTCAACCGACTCACGTGTATTTTCTTCGATATATAGTTAATTTTACAAATAAATATGTTTCACTTTGATTGGATATCATCGATAGTGTTGTATAGTCAAATATTTACACACAGAATCCTCGTGCTTCGTTCCTTCGAGTCCGCGAAGACATCGTCGGAAGACGCTCAATACTAAATCCAGAACAGATCTCAATCACATTTAGATTATTTCTATCTCAATTATATGCTTAATACATTACAATGATTCCTTAGCAAGGTAATAAAACTGTATAGAAAGTTTTTTAGAGATTTTTCTCTCTTGCAATTTCCTTGTTTCTGTCCTCCTCGAAAAAGGGAAAAACCCCATCTGCACTACATCTACAATCTGTATATTGATAATTTGTAAATTGTAAAAAGTTGTCCTACCGTTATATCCTAATGACAATTTCAGTAATTATTCCTCTTCTATATCAATTCCATTTTATCATATCTGACCTCTTTTCGCCAAGGTGATGTTTTAAGGCAATTTTGTGTGCTCTTCTCTTAGATAAATTCGACAAAATTCGCTGGAAATTGACCTGTGCGATTTCTGATGGTGCCAAACAGCCACTCGCAGTTTATTTCGCGCAGAACATCCACCATTTCGCCCTCCTGCAAAAGGAACAAACAAAACCAGACAATCAATGAATGAGCGAGCAGACTTGCATTCACTCGAAGGGGCTTTGCTCCCATTAAAATCAATACCGTGGGATAACAATTGCAAATTCTACAGCGCGAGACTAGCAAATTCCAATTGACGACCTCTGATAAGCAATTTCAACTCATCTCTCTTGCCTCGTGTTTGACCTAAAAGGTCTCGCACGAGCTTCTGAAATTCAACTTTTCAATTTTTCTGCAGAAAAAAAACATTTACTGTACAAAAAGAATGGCAATATTTGAAGGCTGACTCGCTAATTGAATCGTGAAGAAACAGTGGAATAAAGTAAAAAGAAATTCCCATAATTCACATTTTCAATAGCAAACACACACTTGAGTTGCCATATTAGCAATTACAAGTCATAATACAGCGTTTTTCTTTCACTGAACACGCATTTAATCCCTCTGATGAATCAATTTTCCAAGAAGATGAACAATTTTGCGATAGTTCAATCTTCCAATATTCCACCGAAATTGCATCACACTGTAAAATAATTTAATTATCCCCTTAATTAGCACGAGATCTTGACGAACACTCTTCACTTGGCGCAGAGCAAGAAACTCTCGAGTTGAATCAATGCGACAAAATGGTTCTAGAACGAAGATTATTTTGCATTGTGACCCAATTTCTCTCCGCGTACACAATAGCACTCATTTAAATGCCGCCAACAGCAAAACTGTTGTGTGCATTTCATGAAAAAGATCGCCAATCGCTCAAGTGTGACTCCCAACACATGCGCTGTCCTTGTGACTAAAGCAAGTCAATAGAAACTCACCCTTATGGTAAGATCTTCTGGCATTTCCGCCGTGAAGTCGAACAGCACCCTCGCTTTCCGCGCACAACTGCCGCCAGTCACACTCTTGCCCGCCGCATGGCCATTTGTCTGCGGCTTCTGTGGCACCTCTTCCTTCAGTGGCACACGAATTTCAATGAAGTTAATCGGAAACATTCCCTCACAGCCCCGCTTGTTCCTTCCGTACATCCACTCGGCGTCGATTTGCCTCAGCAGATAGATTTTCTCGTTTTCCTAGCAAAAAAGAAGGACGTTAATAACTTTAGCTTTCAATCTCAATTTCAATCAATTTCAGTCTCTGGTCAGAGGTTAATTGTATCGGTGAATAAAAATCGAATCAATTCGCCAATCTGTGTTGTGTTACAGAATTTCGGTTTTTGCGATTTCACGAGAGCTTAACCATCAAAGATTTTCATTAACAAAATGAAAATCAATAAAAACAATACACAAAAAGCTATTTAAAATTCAGATCTTGTCAACCAACTATCGAGAATGCATCAAAAGTCGCGTCTTAAGTCACGCTTTTGTGGTAGGAATTTTGATCACAACCACGATTTAATGATGATAAATTGAAGTGCGTGATAACAAAGCACGCATTTATCTTCGAATTTTCAGCGTAGAACATTCCAAATTGTGGTTCAACACACACCTTTTGGCGATAAGATGATCACAATCGATATAGAATCAACTGAGATACAACTCTCTATAAACATTTACTGAAAGGTGACTTATGCCATCAGTATTTTTCCCGTTCTATTTTGCATAAGGTCAAAATGCAAAAACTATGCTAATGATAAAAATTTATACAACTTTCTATATGTTATCGTGAAGCAACAGAACTTCTTTAACTGTCTCTGTAGACAGTTGAGATCACTGGGAAGAATTCCTCTCGCTGAATCTCAATTTCGCAGATGTTTGAGAACGCCACGGTGTTCAGCAAAGAGATTTGCTTAGCGTGATGTTGAAGACATAATTCCTACTCACTCTAAAGTTCAAGTCTCCGACTTCTTCCGTCTCGAACGTGTACAGAGCGACGCCGTAGCTCGCCGTCTCCTCAGTGTCGTCGAGGTAGCAGGCTGGCGGGGGCGGAGGCGGCGGACACGTTGGCATAGGCGGCGAGGGACACGGATCCTCGAGGCTGTCCTGCTGGAAGACTCCCTTGAGTTTCGCCACGCTGCCGCCCGATTTGCTACCCAAAGCGCTCGGCTTCGGCGCGATGCTGGGCTTAATGATAGTCGGTGCGGTGGCGACAGGTGTTGGAGCCACGAGAGTCTTGCCGTTGCACAGTGGATCGTCGAACTTAGCGCCTCCGCCGCCCCTCGCTGGCTGACTTCCTGTGATGCTGGGCGCAAAGAAGGAAGACGAACCCGCCAGATGGACGGGCTTTTGTGCTACTGGCGGACGAATTTTTGGTCCCACATAGTTTTGACTGACTGGCGGCGAGGTGAAGGGATCAGCGGTGTCTCCCCACGCGTCCCTGTTGCTCTGCAACACATCCACCGCGGTGAAGTCATCCTCGAAGCCGCTCTCAGCCTGCGACGAGTGTCCGTTGTTGGGCGAATAGTTGGAATCAGAGCTGAAGCTGTCCACACTCACGCAATCGCTGTTGGATTTTTGGGTGAATGTCGGCGAACTTGGCGGAGAATTGAAGTCAATTAGTTGTACGTCACTGGTTGCTGATTGATGCTTCGTTGTTGGCGGTGGCAGAATCTGCAAGACACACCAGACATTCAGTTGATAGAGTCCTCACAAAATCAACACACACACACTACACATCTGACGACATTCTCTTTATCAGAGCGCACACACAGCTTTATGATGCGTCACAATAATAATAATAATACCAAAATATATTTTCTGTAGAGCTCAAGAGCGTGAATTTTACGTAAGAAAACAGAGAGAAAAAAGCCCATAAAGTGGAAAATACATAAAAACAAACAGAGATTAACACACCATACAACACTTTAGTTACATGACACGGAATCTATGTATGTATCATCAAGAAAGCAGCCTCAAATTTACAGCAATGTAATATTAACGTTTATCTCTTTAACCACTCTTCCTAAATTTTACTTTTAAATGCCCTCCAATCGGAGGTGTTTTGAAGAAACACAAAGACTTTCGCTGACGTGAACGCACGAGAAAAATTTATATTTCACCTTTTTTCGCTAATTGCCGTACATATTGCTTTACAAACAGCAAAATATTTATATTTTATTTCCTCGTTTTTTTCTTCTCCTTCTCACTTTCGCACCCAAAACTCAAAACTCAATGACTGCACTGTACGCTGAGGTCTCTTTAATCAACGCCACATAAAAGGCGAGCAACGAGACTGAGTCATTATTGATTCTGTCAGGATTCCACTAAAAGGTGAGGGAGTCTATTTAAAGTTCCCATTCATTGTGATAAGTGGTTTCAGAAGAATTCCATTCAGCCACAATTTCACAGCTGCAGTCAAAAATAGACTGGAAAGATCAGAGTTGAATACTACAGAGCTTTCGATAAGCTCTTCCCACGCTTTTCATGCGCACAAACCCTTCGCAACTCGCGAAAGAACCTCTTTTACACTATCTCGTTTCGTTCTAGTCGTTTTTATAGGAAATTCAACTGTTTCAACAAGCAGTAATTTTGCCTCTCTGCGAACGAAACCTCACCTTTGGCGGTGGTAACTTGAGCGCCCCAATGTGAGGCCCCGTTGCCTTCGTGGGCGGCGTCTTGGCCCTGCGTCCCGTGGCGCCAAACAGATTGGACAGGATGTTCACTGATTGCGGCTGACCGCTCTTCTTCAGGGGCGGTTTCGTGGCTTTTGGCGGCGGCGGCCGTGGCGGCGGAACCTTCCGTCCAACTCCCTGACTCGCTCCCGACGCTGCGCTGGTTGCCATGTCGAATGGCGAGTCATCCCAGTCCGTTGTGGGCGTGTAGCGCAGCTGTGACGCTGTCGATGAACGCTGCTGCGGTGGAGCCGGAGCCGGTCGTGACGGAATCGTCATGCTTCTGCAAATCAGGAAGGAGAGAAAACAGGAGATTACATCGCTTCCTCACTTTGCCTTTGATTTATTAACAGGGAATTCCTTTGCAGTTAACACCTGAGCGATTGACTTGTGTGAAAAGTGATATCAATTGAAAATCCAAGCCAGAGACACTGATAAAACCGTGATTAATCGACAAACATGAGCACATGCCTATCTTATCTATTAAAATCCAGTTCAATGTAAAATGCGTCGCGAGAATTCAAACAATTCTTAGGCTAGAAAGACTAGATAATAAACTCTTAATAAATTTGCCACAATCTTCCACAGTGTTGATAAACAAGAGAAAAGAGAGGAAGTATTTTGCCTCTGCGTTTCCTTGCCGCCATGATAAGCACGAAGGAAATTCCTATCATGAAAACCATCAGTGAATTGGCTGGAAAAAATCAATGTTTGTACTGGCAAAAGTGAATTTTCCCTCCAAAATACATTGAACCGAACCTGAGAAGCATTTTCTTCTGCCTCTTTTTGCCAATTTGCATAAATTCCCTGCCCTCGGTGGCCTCGCGACCTCTCCCACAGTTTGTTGCCCTCCCACAACGCCGCATTTTTCCCCTGATAGCAAGCAATGAATGGGCGTGAAAAGCTGCGTTTTTGCGCCACACTTTCAGTGCACTTTTCTCGATGGGCTGTTTTCGCATCACCCAAATGCCAGACTCTCTGATGTAACCCGATCTCTGGGCGAATATTTTCGCTCTCTCGGCGTGTCATGCGTTGAAAATCAAATGAGAAACAATGAATGAATTTATTGTAATCCGCTGAGTTTTCTCATTAACCCACTAAACAGTTTGAGATATGGAATCAATCTCTCGCTCATCCAACTGTGAACAGTTCGAGCGATGTTGCTGTCGATTTCATTGAGAATCGCTCAATTTAATACGACTTTTCTGGGGCTCAGCCTTGGGAGATGAATCTCAACACTTCTAGCCCACATCTTTGCCCTCTAATCCCCGACAAGATAGCGAGTCGATCTGCAAGCCCTTCGCAGTGCAGTGGAAATCACTGTCCGCGGCAGAGTGGACACACACTCGGTTTTCTCGCAATTACTTGGAGGTTTCCGCCTCTTATTCAATAAAAGAAGAAGGCAAAAACACTTCCACTTTCGACACAATGCTCGTGTGTGTTTCAATGAGGGGCAATTTGAGGCAGCAATTTGTACATTGTCTCCACTTGCCCTGAAAGGTGTCCCCCATTGGCGGAGCACCTCAGCAGTGGCGCAACAGATGGAATCCTCTCTATTGCGCCACTTTCTCCGCACACTCGTCGGGGTGGGTTATTAATAGTCCCAATGGTAAATAGTGGTGGTATTTCGCAGCAATTTTCCGCGAATGTCGTCCGGAGGGGCGACACCAACCTGTGCCTGGAGGGTCTCGATTTCTCAGCAATCTCCTCGCCTTGCCCACGCTATTACATACAAAACAACTTCACCACCCACTGCACTCGACACCGATTGTCCGTTTTACAACTATTTTATACACGACAATAGTGGAAAAACACGGAAAATTGACGAGAGAAAAAATTCCGCACCACAAAGCTCGCACTTTTTTATGACGATCTGACTCAAGAACGTGAAGTCAGCTGAGATTGAAATCCGTTGGACGAGTCGCGACGACAGCGCTCCTTCGTCAAGTGAGTGAACACAGGAAACACAGCCAAACAAAAAAGACAAAGAAAGCAATATTTTTGATAAGCATTCCTCAAGATCAAACTCAAGACTTGTGTGCGAAATTTCTGTGGGTGGTTTTCTTTAATTTCGTGGTGGCAGCATAATAAGGTCTAGTGGAATTGCAGAAAATACCTTTACGCGCCAAGATTCGCCGGAAACAGCTGATTGGCATCATGAGCGCCACCAGCGCCACGTAAAAGAGGTATTTGAAATTGAAAGCGTGAAAGCATAGTCAGCTTTTTATTTGCACTTTGCAATTCTTCCTTTTTTCTCTAGTTTTTTCACCCTTTCCGGCTCTTACACCTCACAATGGGGGCCACTGAATCCACACAGTCACAATCGAATGTAAGTGCATCCTCAGGAGGCGAAAGACCGTGGCAAATGACGGATTTTCCACTTCCACAGAGTACTTTTGTTGACCGGGTGTTCTCATGCCCTGTTTGCTATGAGAAGTACACCTCCCACATCATGCAGTGCCAATCTGGACATTCTGTGTGCCAAAACTGTCACGGGAGACTGAATCAGTGTCCCCAATGCTGTGCCAGATACAATGGTACCCGCAATTACACACTAGAGGATATCATGACGGAGCTTAGCCAACTGCAATGCTCTCCGGAAGATGCTGTGAAGGATGTATCTGATGCTGCCACAATTCGCAAAATGGCCCGCCCAGCCTCCCAAATAATTAATAACGTTCCTGACGCCAATGCTGTTACTGGAAATGCATCATCGTCACAAGCGGCGCAAGTTACACCTCCGCAGGTCACATCGAGTCCTGGAAATAGTGAGCGAACGGTGTGCAGAATGCAGTACTGCCGAATGACAATGCCGCTTAACTCTCTGGAGAACCACTTACTCACCAGGCACGATTCAAACGTGAGGCGTCTCACGGCGACAGCCTACCTCAGCAAGTCCTATTTCACTCTCGATCGCTTGTGCGTCGGACATCGCTTTGCTCTGCTCACTGAGTTCGGCATATTTTTCTTAATAATCCGCGTGGAGAAACTGAACACCAGAGATATAAGAATGACTGCCTGGATTCAGGGTGCATGCTCAAACGCAGAAGCATCGCTCTTCTACTCATATCTCCAAGTTCAAATCAACAATATGAAAGCGACATACCATGACATTGTGCACGGAAGCCGATCCACTGTGGCACAAATTGAGGATGCCAGAGAATGCCTATCATTAATCGTGAAAGCAGACTCATACTGCAATTTTCACATGCAGGGATTTGTTAGCCTCAATAGGAGCCAAACTGATGCTCCTCGCCAAAAATACACCTTGACTGAGTTTGTTCGAGTTGACGACTCTACAAGTGACGATGACTCTTACTGATTAACTGACTTGCTGAATTTCAAGCGGTAGTTCTGGCATCACCAAATTGCCGATTTACTTCCCGGACCACACGTTACCTTCAGATTTCATGTTATTTCCTATGAAATTAGACATTACGCAAAAATTGAAAGCCTTTATTTCTTACCCTCCACCATAATTATGTGGTAGCCAAACTTCGTCTTCACCGGAGGATCTGTGTACACGGGATTGGCCACAGTGGACACAGGGAGGGCGAAGGCAGCGTCTTGAAACGGTCCAACCATGCTGCCTCGGATCTGCCAGCCCAAGTCACCACCCTGGCGCGCCTTGTCCTCACTATAAGCAGCTGCCACGTCTGGAAACTTCTGACCGGCCTTCAGTTTCTCCATGGCCTCGAGGACTTTACCCTGCTTCTCGCACAGGATGTGCCTCACCTTCACGGAATTTCCGCCTTTCTTCTCCTTCTGACCTGTTGATACACAAACACTGACAGTTTACCAACAATTTAAATACTTTTCACACCAATTTTACCTTTGTCCCCATCTCCGCCACTTGCGCCGCCTTTCCCACTCTGTTTTCCTTTGTTACCATCCTTTTTGGGTGGCATTTCTGTGATTTGTGCAATTCCACGAACCGCAATGTTTGTTTTTATTTTCCGCCCAAAGTTGGGTTATGTGAGCTTTTTCCGAAAAGCTCCGAAAGTCACTCACGCACACAGTCGCAAGTCGTCGTCGTCGGGAAAATAATGTGCGGAGAATTGTGGAGGAATTTCCGTGAAAATACTCAGTAAATGGGTGAGTTTCCACTCAAAATTGCTACCCATCACCAGTGTTTGCAGTCTCGTTTGAGTGTCCAAGGAATTAGAGTCTGGACAGCAAAGGGATTGTGAAGTGCTAATTTTAGTCAATAGTGAAATTTTCCTTTATCTTTCGCATGGTTTTCCACCATTCTTCAGACCCCGGTGGCGACGATGATCGGTGCCAGAGGTCACAGAGTCCGGACTCGAGTGTGGTGTTGGATGTGAATCCGCCGCGGCAGCGAGATAACGAGTCGCTGGACTCTGAACGGCTGTTCTGGTCCGGGAGGCTGAAGCCGGACAGTGGGGCGATCACTGCCAGGGATCTCAACGCCATGTCCGTGGCCAGCCTGTACGACCGTGAGGACGAGGACACCAAGGAGATGGAGACGGGGAAGTAAGTTTCATTGCATTAGTGAACCAGATGTTGGGTTTTCGCATGACTCATGGTCACATAGCGGAAAGAGCGTGTGAGTCTGTAATGTGAATTATCTTAATTAGCGATTGTGAGCTGGATGAGAGAAGATTGCGCCACAGACTCTTGGCCAGAGTGGAAGAGGACAGCGACAAGATAACCAGCGACGAGTAAGTGAAGAGGCTTTCTGTGTCCAGCAAGTCCTTTGCTGTCCTGCAATCGCGCCAAGAAATTGCTTTTCTTTTCACGCTGCTGCTGATTTTGCGTCACCTTGACTTGTTGCACGCAATGACTGGGAAACCCGCTTTGTTTTTCAGTGACGCAACGCCTGAGAAAGTTGACATGACCAAAGACACATCAACAGACTGTGATTGCCCGCGGAATCCCTTCGACAACAAGAAGGCCGCCAGCGAGAGCCTGTATTTCGCCGATGGCAGACGCTCAGTGGACTTCGTGCTAGTGTGGAAGAGCTCGAGTCCTGAGGTGGCCGCAGTGGAGGAGCAGAGGCTGAAGAAGCGAACGATCTTCGAGGAGAATCTCGTAAATGATGGTCTGGAACTTGAGATGGAGTCCGTGGAGGATGAGCTGTTCTTCACGAAAATCCACGCGCCAGTGGAGGTGCTGAGGAGATACAGCGAGATCCTGAAGCTGCGAATGCCCATGAGAGAAGTGAGTCTGTGTTCATCGTCACATTTAGTTTTGTTTTTTTGATTTATGTTCGCGATTATACTTTTCAGTCCCTTTGCACAGTTCACAATAAGCCATTGAAAAGATCAATTTCAAAGAATGCTGCTCAGTATCTCACGCGCAAGGTCAGAGAGTTTTACCTGAAGGTTTACCTTTGTGGGCTAATACAATTTCGTTTCTTCCTGCTTTACACGCTCTAATATTCTAGCTTTCCTCCGTTTCATTTTTAATATTGTAACCAGAAAAATTAATTGACTATTTGATGCTTCCTTTCCAGATTCCTGGACTAACAGAAATGATCAAGAAATCGTCTCAGCCTTCCTTTCTGAACCAACTCAATGGTTTGTGGGGGTCATTTGTGAAGAGCTTCCTGGTTGACGAAACACACTTCCCGCCAATTTCCCATCGATTCACTGCCGTCTACAGCAGAGACAAAGAGTATCTATTTGATGTGCAGCAACCGTGTTTCTTCTCAGCCGCCGTGAGATCGAGAATCGTGCAGTTCATTCTGGACAGAAAACGCTTCACCACCGAAGAGGCTGATGACTATGCCTTTGGCATTGATCGCCTGATATCTGATGAGGTTTACATTGCCGCTTACCCGCTTCACGACGTAAGTATTGTCAATTAACACTTCTCCGAGAAGTCAGCAGAGTATTGATGTGTAATTGTCGCTTTTTAGGGAGAAGTTAATGTTCCCGGAAGCACGAGGCACTTACTGTACACAGAATGGGCCGCCGTGTCGAAGTGGTATCGATATCAGCCTCTGGACTACATCAAGGAGTACTTCGGCGTGAAGATTGGCCTGTACTTTGCTTGGTTGGGATTCTACACGTACATGTTGTTGCTGGCGTCAATTGTGGGAGTCGCCTGCTTCATCTACTCATGGCGTACAATGGACAGTTACCAGGTGAGCCGCGATATTTGTGGCAGCAGCATGGATGTGAAGATGTGTCCACTCTGTGACCATTGGTGCGATTATTGGGACCTCAAGGAGACTTGTCTCCACGCCAGAGTTACATATCTCTTCGACAATCCCACCACGGTGTTCTTTGCCATCTTCATGTCCTTCTGGGCGACGCTGTTCCTCGAATTGTGGAAGAGGTACTCAGCCGAAATCACGCACAGGTGGGACTTGACGGGATTTGACATCCATGAGGAGCATCCAAGGCCGCAATACCTCGCCAGACTGAATCACGTGAGACGCCGAACAGTGAATGTTGTGACGAATCAAATGGAGCCTCAAGTGCCTTTCTGGCGAGTGAAACTCCCCGCCACGATCCTCAGCTTCTCCATTGTGATGCTTCTCGTCGCACTGGCAGTCGCCGCTGTTCTGGCTGTGGTGCTCTACAGGATGTCAGTGCTCGCGGCTCTCAGCGTCTACGGCGACAGTGTGACAAATTCCGGAGCTATTCTCTTCACCACTGCCACAGCGGCGAGCATCAATCTCTGTCTGATCATCCTATTCAACTGGATGTACACATTTGTGGCGGAATATCTCACCGAGCTGGAATTATTGAGGACACAGACGGAGTTTGATGACTCACTGACGCTCAAAATCTATTTGCTCCAATTTGTCAACTATTACGCTTCTATCTTTTACATCGCTTTCTTCAAGGGGAAGTTTATCGGCTATCCAGGAGACTACAATAGGTTCTTCAACTTTCGCCAGGAAGAGTGTGGCTTTGGAGGATGCTTGATGGAGCTCTGCATTCAGCTGGCCATAATAATGGTGGGAAAGCAGACGATGAATAGTATCCTGGAGATGCTTCTGCCACAATTCTATCGCTGGCTCAACGTCCTTAAGGTTTCGGGATCCAAACTCAAGAGTGGGTGGTCGATGAAAGGAGGAGCGAAGCGATGGCTGAGAGATCTGAAGCTGGTTCAATGGGGATCTAGAAGTCTCTTCCCTGAGTACCTCGAGATGGTTCTGCAGTACGGTTTTGCCACGATTTTCGTGGCCGCCTTTCCGCTGGCACCCTTCTTCGCCCTGATCAACAACGTCCTGGAGATGAGACTGGATGCCAAGAAGCTCCTGACTTACCACCGTCGTCCTGTGTCTCAGAGAGTGAGAGACATTGGCATTTGGTACAGAATCCTCGACTGTATTGGGAAGCTGAGCGTCATCACGAATGGCTTCATCATCGCATTTACATCGGACTTCATCCCCAGACTTGTGTACCAAGTGGTAGTGTCTCCGGATGGGTCCTTGGGAGGTTACATGAATTATTCTCTAGCGTACTTCGACACACGACATTTGCAGGCGGGAAGCGAACCGCAAATGACAGAATACAACGTGACAATCTGCCGGTATCCTGACTATCGCGAGCCTCCGTGGTCATCGAAGCGCTACGAGAAGACGTCCATGTATTGGCACATCCTGGCCGCGAGGTTGGCTTTTGTGGTGGTGTTTGAAAACATCGTGGCTCTGGTGATGATTCTCGTGCGCTGGTGCATCCCAGACATGCCGTGCGAACTCAGGGATCAGATTCGCCGCGAGGCGTACATCACTAATGAGATCATCATCAAACAAGAGACGATTCGCGCGAGGAATGAGAAGTGTTGCGACGTCAACGCGCCAAGAGCCACCTTTAGAGACTCAAATCCGTCGGCTAATTTTATCAAGATGGAGCAAATTGAGCAGCTGATGAATACTAAGCTATCAGCGGCTCAACTGGATTTGGTTATTCACGGGCCAGACAATCCTGTCGCTCCGGGATACGTGAGATCATCACAAAAGAGAGAGGAAAGCATTGAACCGGTGTCACTTTAGTAATTGATATACTCATTGCTCTTTAGTTAGGCTTATACAAGGGTTTTCCCACTTCATTAATTTAATCATTTATTTTGTGATTTTGCGTTGTGAAGAAGCTTCATCCTTAAGAGACTGAAGTGAAGAAATCGAATATTTTTACCTCAATTTGCTGATTGTGTTTTTTCTCCAATTTAGTGCAATCGAAGAATCTCCTATTTTGCACAGAGAATTTAAAGCTAGCTTTAATGTCAAATGAATCGTAAAGTAAATGTTTATTTTTGCCGGCTGTTCTAATCTCCGGGGACTTTTTTTGAATCTCTGTGTTTATTGTGAAGGCAAAAATGTTATCCATGATCAAATGAAGACATAAAATAATTGTATAGAGAATAAGGATAGGAAATGTGTGGAGGAATATTGTGCCTATTGAGAATGTCTAAATTTATCGAATGTGTTACTATTAAAGTATGGTTATTCCTCCTGACTCTGTTCATGTTTATTTATCTTACGTAATATTTGGTGTTGTGTTTTGTTTAACATATGAAAATATTCGCCAAAGAAAATTGTGAAATTTAACCTTAAGGACAAGTAATTCTCACTTCATTGAACTCTAGTGCATATATTTTACGAAATGTTATTCATATAAATTTGTGTAGTACTTTTTATTAAATTTGTGAAGAACCCGAAAACGAGTGTTTTCTTTAAGCGGCGGTGATAAAATTTGGGGGGAAAGTTTATGAGTGGAAAATTGGCCATTTTCCAGTGGCGGCTGGGGATGTTTTAATCAAGAATCCACGTCGAGTGTGTGGATGTCTCACGAGGCGACTGGCGAGGACAGGCCATAAAGAAGCTTTACCCTTAAACGATTATCGAGCCTTTCCACTTGATCCACTTGTCTCTTTGCGCCTTATCTTCTTGTCTGCCACTCGCTTTCTGGCGCCCAATTTCGGGGGTGCGAGAAGCTTTGTCACCTGCTGAAAACACTCCATTAATCGGCTCTTCCTATCGCTGATATCACGATAGCGCCGCTGAATAGCTCTCAAGTAACGCGGAAAATGGACGGTGAGTCATAATAGTTAAACCCTGAAATTCATAATGCATTGATTTTAATATTTTATTTTATTTCACTTTGATATGTTCTATAATAATAATTTTTTCACCAGTTTTAATTATATCCATTTCTCTCTCTCCCTCTCTTTCTCTCTGTCTCTCCCTCTCTCTCTCTTTCTCTAAGAAGATGAAGCAAGAAGTGAACTTAAGTGACTAGATAATCTTCAAACGGAATAAGTTAGATTTAATTTTTAATGCTCTTTAAATATAAATATGCATTTTTAACCTCTTTTGCTGCAGGAAGTATTTAAATATTAATAGTTTTCTCCCCTTCATTCTCTTGTCAGTTTATTATAGTAACATTTTACATTAATCTTATATCTTTCACCACTTTCTCTCTCACCTCTCAACAATTAGGAAAGTTGCAGATTTCTCTTCTTCAATTTTATATATATAGATTTTTCTCTTCCCTCACTAAAAATATAATGCAAATATATTTATTAATACTTTTTCTCTTATTTTACATTGACTTTTAAACGACTTCTGTGCCTCGCACCATGCATAATTTATCCATCCTCGCCGCAAGAAATCCTCCTCAATTGAATGCCACGCTCTTGTATTTTAGTTTTAATCAGTAAGAGAATAATTAATGGTTTTTGCCAGGGTGTGTTTCGGTCGTGGAATGCGAAGTCCTCTCGAAGATTGTTCAGTGAAGAGAGAAGGGATGTCTTGGGGAATTTTGAAGAATTGCTGCTGGGTATTTCTCACTCTTTTCATTGCCCTTTAATGTCCAATTTACTGCTCATTTGCGGGCGAATCTGCAGGTAAAGACACAAAGTACTGCGTTATTTTTGTCCCTCGCCACATGTGATTTTTACTTTGCAGGCTCCTTTCCCAAAGTACACGGACTGATGGTGTCATGCAGGACAGTATGACAAATGGAGAAATTTGAAAATATTCCACTATATATTTTTCAAGGGCTGTTCATCAAATTCCTCATCATTCCTACTTATGAGGGGGTACAAACTTTATTTTCTATTTCCCTGTGCACTTCCTGTTCATAATAAGGATGTCCTGTCACTTGTTTCGAGACTCCTATAAATTTTTTTGCCTCTCTGCTGGCTAGGAAAGGGGTCGAGGGAGAAATTTACGTCTGCGGCAGCCATTTAGTTCGACTTCCACTGTGATTTTGATCGTGTGACGTGTAATGAAATTACAGCGAAGCTTCCACCTGCTCTTCTCCACCCACGCACCCCATCAGTCCTCAAGGAAGCAAGACTGTGGCCCCCAGTCATTCCGCACACACACGCGGCGGAGATGATATCACACACAGGGCCATTGTACGTGCCAAAGAGGACAATTTATTGTATCTTGTGCAGACGTTTTCATGCACACGAAATCTCCAGAACGAATGCCTTCTGGACCCTTTTCAGGGTCTTCGAGGGCAATGCGGGCACTTATGCGGAAATTCAAAACAGTTTTCACCGCCCCGAGAATGACCACTTGAGATTTCCAGGAGTTGTGATTACGTGGAGAACAGAGCAGATGGGAATTTTATTGGGGCGATAATTGCCACAATGCGAAGATCCTTCCTGCCACTAGACAATCCCCATAAATCCACCCACATTCTCACGGGGGAGGCTTTAATTGATGTCGCACGCGATGGCCATGCCAAATGAGATTTGCGAGGGTTATCCAGAGGGGTGTGGGAGTTCACTCACCTGACCACTTCTTGCCGCGCATCCCCATGAATCCACTGGGAACCCGCTTGATGGGCGCCTCCTCGCTCTCCACCAGCTGTGCCGGCTGCAGAAAGCCACCGTCTGCTTGGAGTTCATCCAATTCCGTGATTAATTTATTCAGTGCACTCCCAGCGGGGATTTTCTTGCCTCTGACACCAACAAACTTACCGCGGAATTCGTAGGGGCCCTTCTTGGATTTCATGATGCCAAACAAGTTTCTTCGGTCGGCGGTGACGCGGAACTGCAAGTGATGCAAATTGTATCTGCTCTTTAACTTCTTGTCTGCAAGGCACATTAGTGTCTTTGCAGATGATGTCGCATAGGAGGGGTTTTAAATTATTATTGCAGAGACAGACAAGTCATACTCACTCCTGGCTGCTTCTTTCCTCTCATCCCGAAGAATCCAGCTGCTGGGGCTCTCTTCTCCGAACTCTCGCTCAGCAGCACATCCGTCACGTCCTTCTTCCCGCGCATCCCGTGGAATCCCATCTGGGGCGCTCTCTTCTCCATCTCCTCGTCAAATCCCACTGTCTCCTCCTCAGCCAAATCGGACCACTTCTTGCCTCGCATTCCTTGAAATCCCATGGGAGCGCGCTTGTCCACTGAGTCGTCGAAGGAGAACTTCTTGCCTCTCATGCCAAAGAAGCCATTCGCGGGCGCCCGCTTCTCATCATCCCACAAATGTAGGCCATACATTTCGCTCAACCGCGCCAGCAATTCCCGCTCCTGGTCCAGCTTCGTGTAGATTTGATTCAACTGCTCCTCCTCATCCACAGGCTCGCTGTGCATAAGTTCCTCCTCTACTTGAAGATCCTCCAGTGGTGGCCAGACGTGGTCACTCTCTTTCTTGCCACGCATCCCCAAGAAGCCAGATGGAGCTCGCTTGTAGGAGTCGAAGGAGAACTTCTTCCCACGCATTCCCATAAAGCCTGACGGAGCGCGCTTCGGGATGTAGCGAAAAGGTAAGTTGAGGAACAACTTCTTGTCTCTGGGCTCCTGAAAGTCCATCCAATTTTTAGTATTTGATTGCCTGTCGCGGGCGGATTTCTCACCTCAATGTCCATCGGCGCCTCATCCACGGTGACCACCTCAGAGTCCTTCTTGCCTCGCATGCCCATGAATCCGACTGGGGCTCGCTTTACCAGTGACAGCACCGGTAATCCCCTGTTGATAGGAAAAAGAATGAACTGTGTGGGAGCACATCGTCCCCAAAATCTTGTCATATTGCCACTCAATTCCAATCTATTCTTAGCATTCTTACTCTTTCCCTTCCCCAAAAAGTCCCCATCTCATCCCCTAAATGGAGACTACATTACACGCCTTATTAATATTTAATAATTGTAATAAGGCAAGTTGGAGAATTGAATGAGTTTCCTCAGCATAAAGTTCTGCAAATGTCGCTCCTCTGTCAATTCTGGGTGAATTCAACTAGTGACGAGTAAGAGCACTCCAAATTACACTTTTAACTACTTTTCAATCAATCTTCTTTTTCAAGTCACTTTATTCCGTCGGTAAAATTATTATTGCTCCTCATTTTCACTCACCGCTAATTCTACGACTTTTTTCACTCACCTAATGTATCCGCTGACCTCATTTGTGGTCACTGGAGGTGTGTTGGGCTGCTCATCCTCCTCCTGGTCCGGGGCTGGCGATTGGGACATGGAGATGTGCGAGATGGATGTGGGAGGCACGTCCGTGGCACTTCTTCTGCCCCGGACGCCCTGGAAGCCGATGGGATCGCGTCTGTGCGGCGCCTCTTCGGCATTCGTTGGCACGACTAGGAAGAGCGGTGAACAGCAGCAGATCACGAGGACCAGAACACTCGTTGAGAGGGTGCGCATATTTGTCGGATCTGTAATACCGGAAGCGACTGTGAAAATTAATCAAACTCATCGCTCAGGATGAAAAGTGTATGAGAGCAAATTTTTTGCAAATATTTGCTCAGGATTAAAACAACAGCAAGCGATTTCCGCCCAAGGCGATCGGTGATTGTGACATTGACCATTTATGCAAATATCATAGAGAATAACAATAAACATTTGCCACCCACTGCCGCTCTTCCCGCACCACATGATTGTGCACGAGTGAAATGTTTTATGGATTCTTGAGCAAATATTTCAGGATCTCTCGAGTCGTAAATTCTACAGCGACTGTATTTACTTGCGAAGGAATATGGGGAATACCTTCTGGCCAAAAACACTGCGAATGTCAAGTTCTCATCAGCTCTAATTTCTTGCACGGCGTGAAACTTCAGCTCGCGATACAATGTAGTGTGTCCTCTGTATCATTCGACTAAATCAAATATTGTTTGCGCTATGAGATTACCAGTGAATTTCCATACAGTACGTGAGGTGATTGCCGAAACAGCCCTCCTTCTGCCACTTGAGATATTCATCATAAGACATGGGATATGGTTGAGGGTGAAATTTCTCAAGAACTTCTCCAGCATCTTGCCACACACACACACATACTGTTCCTCGGCAAATATTTATCAGCGAGACTGATCATGAACTCTCCACTTTGGCGAACTCTGGGCGGAAAGGTCAGCCGCCCTGAAGATGGACGAGAGGTCAGAGATCTCCCCAAAATACAATGCAAATCAAACACTGTCAGAAGCGATTCCACGAATGAGCGGAAACTTGAGGACGTAGCTTCCGGAATGGCTCAGGGATATTGTAGATTTTTAAGTTTGAGAATGATAAACACAGCTTTCTGAATTTTCTTTGTTCCCATTGTTCCCCACCAACGCCATTTCTTTCACCAGACTTATCAAAAATTCACATGTTCTGATTATTCAATCATTGCCACAGCCTCTCTTCCATCATGGAGTTTTTTACCACTCCCTTGGACAGAAAAACTCCCTCTCTTTGCCTTCATTTCATTGAGAAAAATCGTAAAATCGAGGAGCGAATTTATGGTTGGTTTGAGCGACTGTAAAATGATTCTTTCATCCCATGAAACCCACCACAGGACTCTCCCTTCGCGCACCCTCGGCAAAACAATAATCATATTTCAAAAAGTGCCAAATATTGATGCATTATTCAGGGAAAATCTCACTGATGAGACCATAGAGAGAAACATAAAAGTGATCTCGTGTGAAACAAACTTCCCAGGAGCAAAGACAGTGCATAAAAAAATGTATATTCCAATGTATGCAAAAATTCCTTCCACGTAACTAAACTCGTATTGTTTCATTGAATTTTTCAGAGGCACTGATTGAAGTGTCGTACTTTGAGTTTTCCGCCCAGATGCGTTCATTTGCACTTTAGAGCTTCACGCGAATTGATTGCTACGGAATTGTAATTAAAATTCAAATGCCAGAGCGACAAGGATCATTCGAGTGCGATCTACAATTTGAGACTGTTTCTATGCCAGACGAAAAGCACTCAAAGCTCTCAAGAAAAGCTCCGCTGTGTTTTTCTCGTCACATGAAATCCATTGAAGATGTTTTGTATTGGCACGGAAAATCCCATTTGTGCGATTCTTTCATATGTATTGTGAAAAGAATTTCCTGCTCTCAATAAATAAATCAAAAGTTCTCTGCAAGTATTCAAAGAGGTAGTTAGATTTATATTTATCAAACAACACTGCCTGTTTTCAACCGTTCAACTAACAATTGACGGTGAAACTTTATTGGCAGCTGGCTGGCAAGTATATGAAAAGCACACAAACGCGCGTGATTTTTATTGATTGAATTCAAAGCTTCATGTCCTCAAGGAAAAAAAGCACGGTGAACACATAGTAAACTGTAAACTAACAAAAACTGCCAGGATGGCTAGGATAATTAAATATCCAATCAATAGAAAGCAAAGGTGAAAGGCTAGCTTTTTGTGATGACTCCTCCCTACACGTCATGGGATTCACGGCTTCCCTGCGCCATTCGTTTCCATCTCAGATAATCTGTGTCAACGAAGGGTTTTCCAGGGGTTTGAGTTTGGGATTTTTGCTGCACATCCACTTGTTGCATCGCTTCTGAGAGATTTCCACTCCGCATTCTATAAGGTTACCCTTGGTGGAATATTTAGTGGCCTCTCCATAGTTTGGCAACACAGAAATTCGATTTGTTAACCATTTTCCCGTTGATTTTTGCACTCTCTTACCTATATTTTCACCATCACCGCAATTTTAAAGTGATTTATAAGCCAACGAGGGGCTGTGAAATGGCCATATATTGAACACTTGGCTAACGCTCGTGACTATACTTACCTACACTTGCAATAAAGTGTTAAAAACTCGTGATGATTTGCATCCCTCGGACTTTTCTAGCTGATCGCAGAAGTGAATTGTACGAGCAACCCTGCAGCTTGTTATTAATTTATTATGCATTAAACCTCTTCGATAAATTAATTAGCAACAGCTTTATAACACTGTTGAGCTATTTGTTCTCCCTTGTTGTTCTCTTCCTCTGTTGTGCGCTTCCAAAGCACCCTCCCATGAACTAGTTACTCTAATTTGAAATTATTTACCACTTGGGGAATGGATTTTTCATCGTAATAATTTCCACCCAACCGTCAGCCTCCGGAGTAGCACACCAACATGCCACATTGTGTGGAAATTTATTTAGAAAAATCTCCACCCAACCCGTGCTGGAGAGTGTGTAAAGATGAAAACTAAATATATTGTCTTGTCGTTTGGCTTTTAAGCTCTCCTCAACCTGGGTGGAGAGGAAAAATCAAACTTTACGATACACAATCTCTTGCAAATTTCATTTTTACCCTCGCGAGCACACATCAGCGCGCAGCATCACGCAAATTAAATAAGCAAAGTTTCTTGTCGCAGCATCTCTGGCCTCCCTCGCCATCCGCCTGATCTCTGCATCCTTCTGCACTCGCGCCGGGAGGAGTCGCGTGGGTGCTTGCAGGGTGGGCGCAGATCAAGCGGTTCGATAGGGCGGAATCGCAGGGTTGAAATCATGAAATATAGCTAATTGGATGAGTTTCGCTATCTTTCATCTCGCCACAGTCTATGCTCACTCTTGTGAGGCACGTATGAGATATAAGTCGCGAAATATTTCCTGGAGCTCCTTCACTTTGCCTTTTTTCCGCGAATTTTCACGTGGGGCGATATAAAATATGCGCTTTCGTGAATTACACTATGAACGCTTCTCAAATTGTCACTCAGCCGTCGACAGATTTCCTGCCCAATTAAATTGAAATGTGTTTCTGCCATGCTGAAGGGCTGCTGCTCCACTTCTCGCGCTAATTACCAACTGGGATGTGTCAAGAAGGGAATCAGGTGCAAGTGGTCTGATCGCCGCGGAGAAAAGTTTTCTGATTTTCTTGATGGCCCCAAACAAGAGAATACAACTCCCGAGTGGGTGTTTCTGGCCATCTCACCAGAGACGCATTTCTCACTTTCACCCTCGGAGACTCGCTTTCCTTTGATAACCACCCCAAATTGGCTGAATTCTTTCGCTCCACAATATGTTAATGGCACCATTTATGAATATTAGATGAAGTCTCTTGTTCTTGGCTTTACAGCAACCTCCGCGCCCGGGAAATTTGCATTAAATTGCCATTCAACACAACCCGTCACATGTGGAAGTTCTCCTGTGGATTATTAAGAGTTTACACCTCTTGCGAAAGTGAAAACTAATGCGGCAAATTAGTGAGTTGAACCCAAGGAGCGCGCACCCACGTTTTGGCAAAGTCAAGCCCGAGAACGTGCGGATTATCGGCAAGTGCCGCGTGTGAAATTGATTCACCGCGGAAAGTGTCTTAGAGATACGACTACTCAAATGATAATTTCCATCCGTACTATCATATTTTACGCCTCCGTGCATTTACCATTTCCAGCAGTTTGTTTTTGCATATTTTACTGAGAAGGATCAGCTTTTAGTGTCATTAACAGATTTGCTGTTCATTTCCTCTTTCTGACTTCCCTGGCTAATTGCATTTATGTGGTGGCATCAATTATTAATTTTTACATACTGAGTCATGTTGGCGTATGAAATATAAGGACATACTTATCTAAGCTCAAAGGCAGGGGCATATTAAACAAAACTTCGCACCCATTTCCAATAGAAAAGATCATTTGCAGACTAGAAACATGGACCAAAATCATATTAAGATCTGTTTTTCAAATGTCAAAAGAATAATTCTTTCTTAACTATGTTATTGCTCGACCCCAGTGGTCTTTCACGAAGCAGAGAAATTACACCCTCTAAAATTATTATTCTCAAACATTCTAATTCTCACAATATCTTCCATTTCGCAAGTGAAATTCCCCTAATAAAACGATGCCTAAAGCACATTTGCAAACACTCTCCCTGTCCAATTTGCATATTTTCCTGAATTTATTACTGCACTGAATTCGGAGCTTTCTTGACCTTTTGGTGGGAGGATTTTTCCTTCTCATAATTAGCACATTAGCACTGAAGGTGCAATGCCTTTGACTGCAGAGTCTGTCCCTCGGGCCAATGAGCAATTGTGGACAATCTCTGGGCAACACAGGAGGGTGAATTATTTGCGGAAAGCACAGACAATTAGTGCTGGGAGAAAAGAATTGCAACACAAGGTAATTAGACACGAACAGAATGCTAGTGTTAACACATTTCTTTGTGTCTTTATTCTTCATTCGAGTCAGTAACTAGTAAACATAATATTTGACTTGCTTTCTCCAAATATATTTCAATGTGGCCAAAGCTTAAAATTAGTATAGTTTAAAATTGTGAAAACTCTCATTTCTAAATTCGATTACGATTGACATTCAGCAGTGCGAGAAGTGAAATAAAGCGTGAACAAGTGTGTTGATTTGTAAAATTAGTGTCTAATTGAGAAGAAGAAAGTTTCGGGTCACCAGAAAATTTGCATAATTCCTCCTCATTTATTCATCCGTGCTGAGTGAACTTTT